TTGAGGGAAAAATTGGAGATTGCGTCTTATCCCTAGACCTTAGTGGGTTACCCTCTTTTATTCCTAATTGGCTAATCTAAACTTTAAGGAAAAGTTCTACTAATTGACAAATATTTTGTCCCTTTACCGAAAATAAATATCTATTTATATTCCATTGAACACTATATCTTGCTATGAATTTGTGTTATATTATGGGAGTGTACCATGGATGATTTCCTAACTCATACCCACTCCCAACATAATGAATCTTCTGCTAGATAAAGCGATTTCATGATTATGGTCTCTGGTTGGTAGATGATTATGCACTTGAGTTCCCAATAGGTAGGTTATGATTAAAGTAAAATGTTCATGGCCTGCTCCTACTATGATACAAGCATGTACATTCATAAAATGCTTCTTACCAATTTTCTTGTCCTGGTTTGCTCGGTGGATGTTGACTGAAAACAAGTTTCAATTGTAGCTGTGATCACTTGCCATTCTGCACATTAGGGTTGTTCAAGATCCGTCTGATCTCAGGTTTATTTTAGCATATTTGAGTTTTAAAATTCAACCTAATATATTTTAAAGATGATTTTGGGTTATATTTTCAGTCTTTCTAACCCAACCCAGTTTTTTTAAAAAAATTATACTTTTTAAAGCAATTATAATTAGTAATTATAAGATAAAAATAAATATATATACTATCACTTAATTATTAATAATATAAAAATTAATATAAATTTCCGCATAAATTGAATTCACCCAATCTTATCTCAATATTATCAGATATTAACCAGATTGAACACACATTTTTAAAAAAAAGACGTAATAAGATAAAATAAAAATAAAAATGGAATCGTGTTAGTACGTCCGTACAGCACACCACATTGTCTGACTAATAGCTATTCAAAGCTGTTGAAAGGACTGACAAATATGGCCCCTTTGTCATGGCAGGGAATTATATATATATATATATATATATATATATATTCTTCCTTTTATTTTAATTTTTTCATTTTTGTGACCAAAAGGTATTTGTCTTCCAAGTGGGTAGATATTATTTCAATGGCCTAACGTTTGATGCTTGGAGCAGGGTGGTGGACCATTGTCATAAAAAAAATAAAAAAAAAAAAACTTTTTCACAACACATGTGGGATATATAATTATTTTATGTTTTGTGCATTATGTGGGGCCACTGTGGCATTTTTTAATATAAAAAGGAGGGCTAGTCCGTGATCATGCACTAAAAGGAAATCTAGTTGCCTTGGACTAGTAGTCACCTAAGAGAAACCAAAAGGAAACATAGCCTAAAGCTATTGAAAATCAACCAATAAAAAGGCTCCTAGTTGTACCGTGTTCTCTCAAAGAAACATTAATTTATTCAAGCGTTACAAAAATGATGAAGATGAAGAGCACTCCTTTCCTTTGACTCATGTCTCATAATATGGGTCCTACTCCTTCTCCTTCAACCCTTTCAATGCATATGCTTCATGTTCCCAGCTGAACCTGTCCCTTTTCAATAATATACTCAAGTGTCTCAGATGGATTCAGACACATAAAAGGGCAAAATAAATTTAATTTTTAATAAATACTTTTTAAAAAAAATAAGTAACATGGATACAGGCCCAAAAGGGCAAAATAGTAATTATCCGTATCGAAATCGAACTAGGATAGGATCTCTTGAGGATAGAAATATGTGGAAACACACCAATAAACAAAGTGCAGCATTAAACACGGTCTGGTCTCGTAGGTCCAATGGAATCTTGGGAAAATGACAGTAGAACGATTTTGGTCGTGGAATACGCGTCATCATGCACGTTATCATCAAAATAAATTAAGCTCCAAGAATCTCATAACTATATTATTACGTGACACATATAATGTTTATCAAAATATATATGTTAAGGTACATTACCAAATGAATTTTATTAAATATATCAAACACGATGAAACCAGTATATTAATCTATTTTGATCAAAATAATTTTAATTTTTCAATAAGTATCTTGTATAATAATCAGCATTTGCTTCAATATATAACAACAAAACAATGCTGATAAATAATCTTTAAAAAGTAATTGAAGAGTTAAAAATATATTAAAAAAAAACAGTTGTCTTTGCAATTTACTTACACATGTTTACCGATAATTTTTTTTTATTAATTACACAATCAATATGTTAAAGGACTCGTTGACAAGAGAACAATGCAAGATGTTTTCGTTTCACCACTGGGCTTTGCATCTGTGCTGTATCGTTTACATTGTATTACATTTGCTCTTTCACCACTGGACTTTATCACTGTCTTTTGCATTATTTTTGTCTTATTTTATTTTATGTATATTATTATTACGTTATATTTTTTAACAACATTGATTAAGTGAAGTAAAAATAAATTGTAATCCTAAAAAAATATTTGGTAGAAAGTATCTGTGAGACATTTTTCATTATATCCTTTCAATTTTACTATAATTAATTAATACTCAATTATTGTAATTAAATTATGATTCTTCCGTTTGAATTTTTTAAAATAATTAGAAAAGTGTTAAGTATTCTGAATTCTAAAAGTATAATTTTATTTGTTTATATTATCATTTCACTATATTAATATTTTTCTTATTTTAGTTAGTAAATACAACAAAGTAAAGTTAATGAAAAACTAATATATTTTATTAATTTTTAAAATACTTCTAAAAGATTTAAATCCCAGATACAAATAAATTCTCACAATCACTTCGCCACTTATGTGGCTATCAACGAAAGGTACCACTGGAAGTTTGAGCAAAAGGCAAAGGTAGAAATTCGTGAAGTTATAAGAATGGAAAATAAAACACCAGAGAGGTCACTTTGAGCAAAGATAATACACTAAATAATGTCTAAACATACTTTTGATTCATTCTACATTTTCTTTAAATCTTATCACTCACCTTCTTAATCATCTCAAAATACTACATATGCTTTAAATATTAATTTTTAAAGTTTTTTATTCTTATAAAAATGTAAAGATATTAATTTTTTAATCTTATTTTTTGGAATTTTGTTAAGTAAAAAAATTAATATGATAAAAATATATTTAAATAAATATAATAATCTTCTTTAAAGTTAATAATGCTTAGTTTTTAAAAAAAAAATCGTGAAAAAATTGTAACACAATAATTATTTTGAAATTGATGTGTTTTTTTGTTGTTGTTTAGTTTGTTTAATAGTACATAGTAATAACTGTATAGCATGACCATAAACCTCACTTTCAATAGAGGAACAGCTAAGGTAGACAGTAACACGGGTTAGGAAGATACTAGTGTGTGGAATGATCATGATTAAATAGTTAAAAGTATAAGTTATATATTTAATAACACTAAGGTTTGTTTTTTGTGATTTTAAATAATAAATTAAAAATTATGTTTTTCTCTTATCTTAAAATACAAACTCATCTTTTTTGAAAGATTAACGTGAGTTATACTTTAAAATTTTAATATAAATAAATACCTTAATAGAACTTAACAATTATGAAGGTGACTTTCAATGATATTTTATATTTTTATATAATGCCAAGTAACGTAAAAAAAAATTTGTTATTATTTCAAAATTTGGAAGGTTTTAAGTATCCTTATTATTAATTTTAATTTTTTATTTTATTTTCAATGATACAAATTAATAATAAATGTTTAGAATTTTTCATCAATCATGTCAAGAATTATAGCAAGAGAAAAAGATATTTAAGAGGTTAAATCATTTAAATTAAATTCATCACCCTAAAATTTTAAATATATTCATAAAATATAATATATTATTTATTATATAAATTAATAAAAATTTCTTAAATAAAAATAATAGATAAACTATTTAAAATATATTATTTTATATATTTTTATTAATTATTAAATAAAAATTTAATTTAAACAATTTAAAATTACAATTAAATATAAAAAATTATAATTAAAAAGACTAAAATTACACAAAAATCAAAGTAAAAAATTTAAAATACAATTCAGTATAGATAAAATAAAATTAAATACAAATTATATTATATTTTTTAAAAAGAGAGTATATATTTAATTTAAATTTTTTAAATAAAAAACATAATTAAAATATATCTAAAATAATATAATATAATTTACTCAAAATTATTATCAATTAATTTCTTAGCTGGCTAATAATCTCAAAATTCAATTAAATTATTAAGATAGTCATCACCGTCGTAATAATAATAAGAAAAAACAAATATTACTGAATATTTTAATATTATCTATTGAGAATTTTAAAATAATTTTTTTAAAAAAATAATACACTATATTTATGACTTTTAATACATTTTTTATGTTTAAAATATTTTTATTAAATTTAATTTATAAAAATAAATTTATATTAAAAATATTTATTATATTAAATATAAAAATGTTATAAATATTTTTCTTATTATATAAATGCTTAATTTTATTCGAAAAAAATTTTAAACTAATTTTTTTAACTTGTGTTTGAGAACACACATTAAGAACATATATAATAAGATTTTAATGAAAATTACATGGCATCACAAGGCTAAATAAATTGATAACATTACATTTTATCTATTAAATAAAAACACATTCTAAAAAAACCATATAGTTTAGATTAATTTATATATATATATATAACCATTGCCTTTAAAAGTATTTTGTAAAGTATGCATGAGACTGATAGAATCGATTTTATTTCGAAAATGGATTCGTAGCTCTTAAATAATGAATGAAATAATGATGAAATTAATTCATAAAAAATAATTCTAATAACCTTTAAACTAAACCAGTAATTAAGACAGAGACTAAAAAGAAGAACAGCGATGAAACGTGGTTTGAGAAGTGATGAGAGTTAGAGAAAGGGTTACGTGACAAACCTTGCTGCTGCAGCAGAACATGGAAATGCTTTGCAATAGCACTTGTAAAAGGGTCCCACAATGCAACAGGGCTCGTGCATGTCACGGGATCTATGATGCGCCGTCAGAACACAATCACCACAAATTCATATTCTCTATGGTTCTCTCCTTTTGAGATTGAGAAGCATTGCTCTTCTGCGTTAGCTTTTCCTTTTCCTTCTGCTTCTCCTCACAGCCTCAGCCACATCCACAGCCACAGCCACACACTCACCACCCTCCCTCTCTCACTATGCCTTTCATCACTTTCTTCTTCATCTTTTTCTTCTTCTGCTGCCTCTCAGCTCCTTCTTCTGTTTCCATGTTTTCTGGTAATTTCTTCTTTCTCTTTGCTTTTTCTCTTCCATTATTATATCATAAAGAAACTGAAATAAAAAACAAAGGAAGAGGTTGTTGAAGATGTGCAAAGATACCTTTTTTCAAGATTCAGATTCCGTTTCCATTATGTTAGCACAAGATCTCTTTTTTCTTCTTTCTCTCTCTCAGATTTCGATGCAACAGAAACTAACAGAGCCCAGAAAAGGCATGCATACCCCCAACAAGCGCCACCTCAGCTTGATGACGCTTGAGATTTTTCCGTTTCTGGCGTCACCTTAGTCTCTCTGAACCAAACAAAGACTCTTCTTTTTATAAAATATTCATGTGGGTCCTTCTAGTTCTTCCTTCATCTTTCATACACTCTCTTTCACTATGTGTGTTTTCCGGGCTTGTGTTGGGGTCTGAAGCTGACACCCCATTAAAAAATAATGGAGTTTGTTTGTGTGAGATGAGGAAGATTAGAAAAATTATGTTTTTATGTGTTTGTAATTTTAGTTCTCTGAGAGTGTTGAATGGGTCAATTCATGACACTTGTTGGTTTACTTGAAATGTTTGTGTTGAAAATGATAATTAATAATTAAATAATCTGACGGGGACATCTAAGTTGCTTGTTTCTGACAATTGAGATACGTTTCTTAGTTGGTAATAATAAGAATTTGTGTGTGTGGGCTTAATTTAATTTTGAAAAGAGGAGAAGAGGAAAAAGGAAGCATTAATTAGCTTCCCTTGTTGATGGTTGTGATTGTGTGAGTGTGCTAAGTATCTATTTGAAATGAGTAGGTATTGAAACAGGAGATTTAGAAAAAAGAGATGATTTGTTTCCACAGATTCTGAGAGATGAGGCAGTAGGAAGGCTTATTGAGCTTGGGAAGGTATTTAAACTAAACTCAGCTTTACTTTGTTGATCATTTTTTAGTTATGTTTCTACTATTGTCCTAATGGAGTGTATCAATTGAATTTCTGCTCTTGACTTCAATTGCAATGCTCCAGATTCAATTTTATGTTTTTCTTTGCTGTTTTGGTTTACAGGAATGTCTGTAAGTTTTGAAGTGTAACATTTTCAGAAATTTGCAATCTAAATTGTTTATAATTGCTTACACTTCACTGGTTATTCCTATCCAGTGGCTGGTGTACCATAAATTGTTTATTCTTGGAAGCTGATGTTGGTGTTGGATGAACAGGTGAGTGATGCAAGTGGTTATCTTGAGAGGACATTCTTGAGTCCTGCATCCATGAGGGCAATTAATCTTATTCGTAAATGGATGGAGGATGCTGGTTTGAGAACGTTAGCCTTCTAACTTCTTCAACTCTGAATAGTTTTTCTGAAGGCTTGACTGATGCTAATGTTCTTTCCAGTTGGGTGGACCAAATGGGAAACGTACATGGTCGAGTCGATGGTGCAAATGCAAATGCTGAAGCGTTGTTGATTGGCTCTCACATGGTGAGGTGTTTATATCCTCAATTTATTTAAATGAAATTGAACCTTTCCTTGACAATTAATGAAAATTTTAGTGATGATTCATATTAATGATGGATTCTAGGACACTGTTGTTGATGCTGGGATGTTTGATGGATCACTAGGAATTGTCTCTGCCATATCAGCTTTGAAGGTTATGCATGTCAATGGAAAATTGCAAAAGCTAAGGCGCCCGGTTGAGGTTTGTGAAGTAACTGATAAAGTTTGCAATAAAACAATACTGGTTTATCCTCACTGATCTCTCTGATCACTGATCTATTGATTCCTTTTATCATAATGATGTGGGCTGAGAAAAAAGATTGTTGAAAAAGTTTCCGTGGAAATGTTGGAACTATGCTACTTGTTTATGGATGTCATCTTAATATTGTCTGTACTCTTAATCTTGCAGGTTATTGCATTTAGTGATGAAGAGGGTGTCAGATTTCAAACTACTTTCTTGGGCAGTGGTGCTGTTGCTGGTATTTTACCTGCTACAACATTGGAGATATCTGATAAGAGGTTTCTGCTACAAACTTTCTGGTTCCATCTATAGTAAAATTTCATGTAATCGGTATATTTATTCATACACCTCTTTCAGGGATGTAATGATAAAAGATTTTCTTAAGGAGAACTCAATAGAAATTACAGAGGAAAGTCTTTTACAGCTCAAGTATGACCCAAAATCTGTTTGGGGTTATGTTGAGGTATGAAAAACATTTGTGTTCTTCATATACAGTGCTGTTTAGCTCAATGATTTCACCAATGTAGCTCATTGTGTATTTATTACATGCTGCAGGTTCACATTGAGCAGGGTCCTGTGCTAGAACAAGTTGGTTTCCCACTTGGTGTGGTTAAAGGCATAGCTGGGCAGACACGATTGAAGGTAAACAAATAATATTTGCTGTGGTGTGTTCTAATGCATTCAGTTGCATCAGTCTATCATTATAAACCACTTATGTGAACCCAACAAGATATAACTGTTTTCCAAATAGTCTTGCAAAGTGCGCTTTAGTTTTTACATTCATGTGAAGCACATTATGCGAACTCTGTCACCAAACTACATTTTATGACGTGGTGTATCTAAATAAAATTTTCAGCATCAATATTTGTGAAAGGTATTTTCAAAAACAGAACTATATGCATACTGATTTTGGTATTTTTATTTGTATAATGTATGTATTGCTATATATACTTGCTTGCCTGTATATACGTTGATTTATAATTAAATAACTGTGCAGGTTACAGTTAGGGGCTCACAAGGTCATGCTGGAACTGTTCCAATGTCCATGCGTCAAGATCCTATGGCTGCTGCTGCTGAACAAATTGTGGTCTTGGAAAGCCTCTGCAAAAATCCTCAAGAATTCCTTTCTTATGATGGTCATTGCAGTGATTCATCAGTGAAATCACTTTCAAGCTCGCTTGTTTGTACTGTTGGAGAGATATCAACATGGCCAAGTGCCAGTAATGTCATTCCTGGCCAGGCAAGAGATGAATTTCTAAAATGTGGCTGACCCTGGAGATGTCAAAGTGGGCATGCTGTTTTTCCTTTCTTATTTTGGGAGTTGGTGCTCATGGTGACAATGCATTGACTTGGTGTAGGTTACATATACCGTGGATATACGAGCGATTGATGACCTTGGACGCGAGGCTGTTATCTATGATTTATCCAAGCGGATTTATCAAATATGTGACAAGCGTTCAGTTTCCTGCATTGTGGAACACAAGGTACGATCTTTATTTGGTTTTTTCAGTGTGTTTGGAAACACGTTGAGAAATTTGTAAACATGGATCCAATACAGAAGCTATGACTAATATAAAAGCTACAAGTGCATCGAAGTAAACGTAGATTTATACTCATTCAAACGTGAATCTAAATACTTGTTATCTGAATTGTGCAATCAATGACTTTGTTGTGTTCACCTCAGCACGATGCAGGTGCTGTGATTTGTGATTCTGATCTGAGTTCACAGCTCAAGTCAGCGGCTTATTCTGCACTCAAGAGGATGGAGGGTGACATTCAGGATGAAGTGCCAACCTTAATGAGTGGAGCAGGCCATGATGCAATGGCAATATCTCACTTAACAAAGGTTTGTATCTTTGTTCTTTATGTAGATTTTGATATGTAAATTTACCCTTTAGAATATGACAGTGAATGACGATTTGAGCAGGTGGGAATGCTGTTTGTGCGCTGTCGCGGAGGCATAAGTCACTCTCCACAAGAACACGTGCTAGATAATGATGTTTTGGCAGCTGGTTTAGCAACCTTGTCATTTCTAGAAAATCTATAATAACTGTGTAAACGAATAAGTAGGCATTATAGCTTGTAATTATAGGTTATTTATTATTCATAATTCAACTGTTTCTTTAGTTGCTTGAGTCTCCTTATAGTTAGTGATGTACATTTGTACTTGAGTTTTTGGTTATCTTTATATCACGAAAAGGGCCCCAAATATTTGTGCATGTTCTTTACTAATGTCACATTAAACTAAACATGCTGCCAATGAACGAATTAAAAGAAGTCTTTGGCCACATGCATAATTTTAAGTATTGAAAGTTAAAAAAGATTATCCAATAATCAAATTTGTTTTACTTGTTTTTTGCGGTCTTTCTAATTAAAAAATGACATTAAAAAAATCTTTTTTTGAATAAAATTTTCTTAATTGTCAATTCTTCTTGCCTAGTTGTGCTTTAATTGGAAAATGAGGGTTCTTCCCGACTTGATCCTAGCACTAAAACTTCATCTGAATTCTTGCCGAGTAATTACTGTTTGGTACAAAATAATTTCTACCGAAGTTGTAAGCTATGTGACATGACCATTCATGTGTTAGATGACCCAAATATTGGTGGATGAAGTTTCAAATTTAGTGGTCACAATAAAGAAAGAATATGGGTGTAAGCTCATTCCTTCTAGCTTTTGTCAAAAGTAATTCGTATCTTCCAACATTATTTATTATTGAGATACTGTTAACTTACAAGCTGGAATCGAAAGTTCAAGTGAGGGTGAAGCAGAAGGCTGCTGCATTCATAGAATCAAACCAGAAAGAGGTTAAAGTAGACATCATTAGGTGCAATATGCTACACGTAGTGCCAATGCATATTTCACTCGGACTCTATATTTGTGGCACGTAGGAGTGGCATGCATAAGCTAAGTGAAAATAGAATACCATTTTATCTTGTATTTGGATAAGGCATTTCTGGGCTCTAGATAGCAACGTGTGTGTCTGTGTGTGTGTTAAGAGAAAGCGCGAGCACGCTGACATAATTGTGCTTGTAATGGTTATGATGAATTTAAGAGTATCATACAATCGGAAGGAACGTTTACAAGGAAAAATAATAATACTTCTTGAATTGTTGCAGGGATAATGGACTCGTATCCAAGAAAGTTAATTTTTAGCACATCAACTGGGTGCCAAATTATTTTACATGACTTATTTTATAAAAATTTTAATTTAATAATTTGATTGATAATATTAAATATTTATAACAAATAAGTATATTAATATTTTTAAATATGCAATGATATAAATACTTAGTTAATATTATAATTTATAACAAAATTTTCTCGACTTAAAAATGAACAAATTTCACACGTAATAACGAGTTTGTGGTGGCAATTTGAACATTAAAAATCCTGCTCCTCATTTTGCCCTCAAAATTCGTTGAATCTGATATTAATGAGCGTTTCAATTCAAGTCCAATTTCTTCATTGACATACAAAGTTGTAAACTACATTTTGTAGCATTCAATAATAACACCTTCAATTTCTGCACTGATGGATAAATTACAGTTTATAATATTCAACTAAACATGCATGCCTTTGATATATACAAATACTATTAACGAATATTTTTATTAAATTTGCACTGCATCATTTTTGGACAAAAAATATTAATCTGGATATAAAATTTATAGCATGTTTAATTTTTTAAATTTAATAAACGTAGATTTATGTTAATATAAATTATAATTTTCACATTAAAATATAGTTTAACGTGATTTTAATAAGATTATTGAAAACCAGCTGGGCTAGGCATTAGGAAAGCATATGGAACAATCTCATGTCGTGAAAATTGCATAGATACGAGAAGAGACAAAACGTGATTTCTAAGGATAAGGTCGCACACAACGGGGAACACGTATAATATAATAATAAATGAATAAATAGTTTTTAAGTAAACATAGCAGCATATTTTTATTTTTTTATTGGTTAAAATTTATTAAAAACGATAAAAAAAATTATATAAATCACACTTTTTATTATTTTAAATGTAATATTCTTAAAGGGTTTTGGGTTGTGTTCTGAGGCCATGGTTTTGGGTGTTAGCAAAGCGGTATTTGTCACTTTAACTACTTCAAAACGGTTTTTCAGTGAATACCGCAGGACAACGCGACCATGGTTTTCTTTCATTGTAATTTTTGCATTTTCATCCTTTTCTTTTTCCTATTTACACAAACCATCGTTATACCATTTTCATCCCTCACGTTATGTTTCATTGTCATTACTAGACACCGCTATTTCTTTTTCACACACCTAACTAACTAAGGGCTCTTCTTATACAACAATTTATAAAAAATGTTATTTTTTCAATTTATTTCAATAACTTTTTATTTGACTTATTATAACTTTTTATATATTTTAACAAGTTTTAAAGTCAAATTTATAGTATAGTTCGTTGTGAATAAATCATGAATGAATAATATAGAAACGTGCAACTTCATGAAAAAATATATTAAAATATCTTTATCTTAATATTTAATATTCATTTTGTTTTATTATTACACAAATATAATTTAATTTGAATATGTATAATAATTTGTAATTGATCCGTATCTTTTCGGTGTTAACTGTCTGTTATGTTTCTTTTATCTAAGACAGACAGTTAATACAAAAAAATTAGATTATTTGTAAATTAAAAATAATATATTTTCTTAATATATATATATATATATATATATATATATATAAGACGTGATTTAATTTTTCTAATATATTGCAATGACAACAAAATAATAAAAACATGCATTTGAAAACAATTTCACGTATCAAAATTGCATAAGAAGTAATTTTATATATAAAGATTATATTTAAAATAAAACTTTATATATACAATATTAGGAAATAAATATGATATTTATTTTTAAATTATATGGTAAAATGAGAATTTAATTATAAATTTAAATAAAAATAATAACATTTGATGCCTGTATTAAAAAAATAAAATTTTGTTTAAAATATAAATTCTCATTAAACATATTTCTGTATCAGTGGAGATTTCCAAATATCAGAGACTTAACTTAAAAAGGGTACAAATGCAAATAACGACTAGTGCGGGGAGTATAAATGAAATAGGTGGCTCAAGATGCAGACAAGAACGTGAAACATCCCATCAATAATGGTTTTTTCTGCGTTAAATAACCGGTCTTGTTAAGCATATAAAAAATAATATTATTACATTTTTTATATAATAAATACAACTTATATTCTCGTTTTTATTTATTTTAAATGCTTTTATTTTTATTTATATAAAATTTTAAGATAATATTAATTGTTATTTTTTATTAATGTCTTTTTGTTCACATAAAATATTTATATTCTTTAGGTTGTTTAAGAGTAAAAAAACCATTAATAAAAGAAATTTTTTTATATCTTTATTAATTAATTCTAATAAATTATTAAATTTATTGACTTATTCAAATTTTTACAGATTGAAAAAGTCAAAATGGATATATTAATGTCTTTTCTAACAAGAATTTCTCACATTTAATTACTCAATCTCGGTTTTTAAAATTGAGGCTAATACTTTCATTAAATTATAAATTATCATGTTGTTATGTAAGATTTTTAAAATTTTTAAACAAAATAAAATAATATACGATACAAATAATAAATCATAAATTTTATTAAAAATTATATTATTGAATGTTATTAATTAATTAAATTATGTGATATTTATAATTTTTAACTACAATTTATGCTATATAAATCCTATTGAGTGTTGTTAAGCATATTTTTATTTATTAATATATTTCATTAATATATTATTGTTTACAAATTCTAGGTATAATAAATAAAATATTTATATTACTTAAAATTAAACAGAAACCAACTAATAAAAATAAATTAAAAAATCTACTAAATAATTATAATAAAATAATTAAATTCTTTAATCTATGATTTATTTTCTTAACAAACTATCTTTAATCACAATAAAAATAGAAAAAAAATTGGATCTGAAAATGTTATTAATGTACATTTTTAAAATATTTTTTAATTTCTTACCCAATACATTTAATGTAGTAATTAATAGGCATGGAATTAATAACTATTTATGAACGAAAAAAAATCAAATTTTTTATTATTTAAAATTAGTTTTTATTTTTTATAAATTATTTCAATTAAATTATTTAAAATATATAATATGTAAAATTTAATTTCAATATATTAAAAGAATATTAATTTTTTTTTTCTCTTACAACTATAAATAAGAAAAATAAATTGGGGTTGCTGATTTCCTGTTAAACGCAAACATTCTGGCTTGAAAAACAAGGAAACAACTTCACCGTCTAAAACCTCTCTCTCTCTCTCTCTCATTCCTTTATTTTTGTTCCTATGGGTTTGTTACTGTGCTTCCAATGACAGTGTAGCTGAAGCATCTTCTCCAACATTTCTGATTTGGATACAAAGCATCAAGCCTTCTCGCTTTTGTAAGCTTGTGGTACGAACGAGATTTATTTCCATGTCATCGTTAGAATTTGAATCTAACTCTCCTGTATAGGGTAATAATAAAAATATATATATTTTTTATAATTTGTTTTGTCGCTATTGACCTGAACACACTGCAATAGTGTATGTGTGTGTATTTTCCTGGAATCCTTTTGTGTGTGTTTTAATGCTGCATGTCTGTCTGAATCGATCTTGCCTATGTTGTTGCTCTGTAGTGTTTTGTTCTGTTCTAAATCCCATTCTTGTTCGGCATTTTCACCAATCTGATAGCTGTGTGACCTATGAGTACTCACTTCTTGTTGCGACTTCTGAGCTGGTTTAACCTTGTTGATTACACCAACTCCAATTTGATTAAAATCCATTTATGGTTTTACTTTTATTTTTGCTAGGTATATCTGGAACTGGAGATAAGAATTTGGTGGTTTTTTGGATTCAGAAGGGAACATCCTTGGGGTTTGTGTGTTTGCTAACCAACCGGTGAGTGAGAGGGTGGGTTGATTTCAGATTCAGGATTGTTGTGATGATACATATTAGAAAATAGATTACATCTTGGAATTAGTTGCTCGTGCTTTTCCTTTTTGTAATTATTGTTAGGTAATTGCTATGGCCAGTGGCGGATGTTGACCAAATATTTTAAGAGGGTAAGTGCTGTTAACATATGACTATGTGCTCAAGAAAAAAAATGGGGCTGGAGGGAGGAGGGGGGGGGGGTTGGCTCACCCTATTACCAAGAAGATTCACCACTGGCTATGGCATTTCTCTTTACCTTATGGGTCTTACGTAATTAAACGGTCTGTTACAGAGGAACTAGTACGGGTGTGTAGGAGATATTCTCCATGTCGTTAAGCTAATTTATGATTTGCATTTCGCTTGGCATGATTGTTAATTTTAACTTGAGAGTTGTAGCAGACAATGTGGTTTTGTGATGTTGTTCAAAGATTATCTTCATCATGAGAAATGCATGTCAAAATAAGATGTCCCTTAGGTTGCCAACCATAAATAAGGTTCATAAGTGACATTTGTCGTATAGTTTCTTGATTATACGACGACCAGTTAACTTTCTAAAAGCTGTTTTTGATTACCTATTTTTCAAAGATGTAACTTAATGCTATCATTGAACTTAAAATAACGAATTACCTATTTTTTAAAGATGTAACGTAATGCTATTATTGAACTTAAAATAACGAATTACCTATTTTTCAAAGATGTAACGTTGAACTTAAAATAACGGCAAGTGTTGACTCAAAGGAATATGTCTAATCTGAAGATCTTGTTTAGGTCTGTACATGGTAGGTGTTTGCTAGACAATTGAACATTGAGGTACCTATAAAAATTTATAAAAATAAATTTGAACAGAGGCAATATGATATTTCACCATCTAAGAGTAAATTCAGCACCTTGCTATTGTTTTACAACATTGGCAAATTGTTGGATGTGTTAAATCATTTCCACTCACAAAATGATTCCAATTCAAGATCTTTTTAATATCCCTTGATCTATATGTTCCTCTTTCATTCTGAACCATGTTACAATTATGGTTTAGTGGTTTCCTTATATTTTCTTCACATGTATAATAGTCCTTGTAACATTTATGGAAATATTTTCCTCTGCCATGATGAACACAATTTCTTCAGGGAAGGGCATGTGTGCTGGTATGGTGCTTTATAATCACTGGTAGCCTATTGAATCCATTTCTTTTTGTTTTCTGATTGCAATGCACATGTCTATGACTTTAATCATATTTAATATCAGACTCAGGTTTTGTTTAGTATATCACTAGTTTAATAATTATTTAAAATTTTCTATTATGTGCTATAATATCGTTTTGCTATGCCAATTTAACCCCTTGCTCTTACACCCTCTTTTACTTGCAGCCAAAAAAATTACCAAGCCAATTTCTTTCCAACTTAACAAGCTAATTTTGGAATCATTTATGCAGGCTTTAATATCAAATGTGAAGGAGTTAAATACTATACCCCATTTGCTGGTTCCTTGCAATTTATGCTGGTATTGTTGTACGCAAATTCTTCTGAACAGTCACATAGCTAACTAACGGCCTCTGCTTTGAAATTTGTGCTACCATGTCATTAATGGCTAGACTACGCTGTGTCACTATAGATGTTACCGGTACCCTAATGGCTTACAAAGGGGAGCTTGGTGACTATTATTGCATGGCAGCCAAATCTGTTGGCCTTCCATGCCCAGACTACAAACGTGTGCATGAGGGATTTAAGCTTGCATATAAGGACATGGCAAAGAACTATCCATGTTTTGGGTACGCAGCCAAAATGCCTAACATTGTGTGGTGGAAAACCTGTGTGCGAGATTCTTTTATCAGGGTAAGTTTTCTGTAAAGTCATTACTGTGGGTGTATTAATTGTCAAGATAGCTAAATTTTGATATTTACATGGGTGCACAAGAAAAGATAGCTTATTTAGTATGGCTCTAAATTTGTCTTCTGCAACAATGAATGTACCGAACTAACAAATATTTAACTCCCATCTTTGTTGATGTGTTCATCCTTATTAAAAGCGATCAAAATTGAGCAATGAGTTACAGATTCATGATATTTACAATCCTATATGTGAAAATTCATGAAAGAGAAAATTTGTTTTTCTGGCAGGCTGGATATGATTATGATGAGGAGACATTTGAGAAAATATTCAGACGCATATATGCCTCCTTTGGTTCATCTGCTCCATATACTGTCTTTCCAGACTCTCAACCATTTCTTAGATGGCTACGTGGACAGGGTCTTAAAGTTGGCATTGTGAGCAATGCAGAGTATCGATATCAAGATGTAATTCTTCCAGCTTTGGGTTTAAATGAGGTAAATTTCCTATGACTTTCCTAAAGTTTGCTACCAGACTTACAAATGAATATAAAAGATAAATCAACATTTACCATTGTCAGAGAGACCACTTAAACACATAACTATGAAGTGACATAATTTCACATTCAGAAACATCTGTGTGCGCCAGCATTGTTGTGCAAAAACACACTTAACTGGTGGAAATGTTAAGAGAGAATGGTGCACTTTCATTTTGAAACACTGATTATTGATTTATGATCTATGAATTAGAATGAAGAAAATTTTGTTGAACTGTAGTATTTTTGGCTCTAAAATGTACTACTCAATACAAGCTTTCAACGTTTTTCTGTACATTTGTTATGTGATTATATTAAGACATGTCTCTACACTTGTGCTGCTCGAGACAAGAATGTCTGATTGTAACGATGTTTGATGATGCAGGGATCTGAGTGGGACTTTGGTGTGTTTTCTGGTCTTGAAGGTGTTGAGAAACCGAACCCAAAAATTTATGAGATTGCACTTGAGAGGGCTGGAAACATTGCACCTGAAGAAGCTTTACATGTCGGGGATAGCATGCGCAAAGATTATGAGCCGGCTAAGAGCATAGGGATGCATGCGCTATTGGTGGATAGATTTAAGACACCAGATGCTGTGGAGTGGAGGAAATCTGGTGCAGTTGTTCTTCCTGATCTGTTGGCAGCACAAGAATGGCTGTCTTCGCAGAAGTCAAATTTATAGAGAGACTTTTTTTGCTCAAGTAGTATTTGAGTATCAATTTTCCCCTCTAATGATATTACTGTGACATGTGATGTTTCTCCGGGTATCATAATAGCTTGTGGCTGAATATTCCTCTGTAGAGCCATATTTGATAATCTGATGACTGAGAGTTAAATTCTGATGTAGCTAAAGTGTAACCTTTGTAATACAAATATATTCAAATGTTACTTTCTCTTCTTTGGGATTCTGGCATCTGTGGTTTTCCCTGGTTACTTGGTTTCCCAAGTATTTTACTTTACCAGTGGGAAAAGAGACAAGCATATCAAATTCTTTTTAAGTCACTAGTTTAGTTTAGTAATGAGGGATTTGAATAATTTGAGATCATGAATCATGACCTCATATTTTTTGTCATATTTCATATAAAGTATTCAAATCCCTCATTTTTTATGAGATCACGAAATTAACCTCCACTTTTGATTTCTTTGCCTGATTTTTGGGTCCATATCTGCTATAAATGAGGCTTTCTTTTTTTATGGTCAAGGAACTAGAGGATTTTTGTGCGGGATGCAGAGTCATAGACCTAGCATCCATTAAGCCCAATAGCATGGCTGGGTACTGTAACCCAAAAAGAAAAATCCATTGGGATGCTGCACCTAACACGGAATGACCCATTATCACCCTCGTTCTACATTCTTGCCAAGACCTTCCATGAACTCAAATTCATGATTCATATGGCCGTCTTTGTCTTGCAGAGTAAAAGTTGTAAAAGTCCTTTCATCGTGACGTTATGTATGGTTTTTCTGTCGACTACTTGCTTCTATTTTTTTATTTAATAACATAGTTTTAAGGGTTGTGTTTGTTTTTGGGTCTACCTATCAAGCCCTGTCATTTGTAGTGACTAGTTTGAATGAAGACAAAAGAATATTCACTTCAATCCATGAATTATTACGTGAATAATTCTTGTTTTATTTTAAGGTAGATTAATATGAATAAAAAAATTTGAAATAATAAAAATCAGAAATGATAAAAACATAATATTTATTAGAATTCTTGTTATTGGTAATGTACTTTTTTAATTTAGATCCATGGTCAAGATGATTTGATGTCATTTATGAAGCATGGCATCTTTCAATTATGCTGGTGGCCATGCTAATTCAATTATCTTGTTTTGCTGAATTTGGCAATCGATTGTTTTTAGAAGCAATTTTTATTTGGGGAAAACCTTGAAACGATCATAACTATTTGGACCTTCGAAAATGGTAGCGTTTAATAGGCTGAATACCATGATTCACCGTCAAATATTTTTCCACATCGAATCTTTACTAATAAATTTAGTGTTGGATGAATTTTGAACTTGGTTTTGAGTGATTTTAATTTTTGTAAATTTAACTTAAATTGAATTTGAAGTAAAATAATTTATATTTAGAAAATTTTATCCTAAAACCGAGCTTATAATAAAATTTAACATACAATTTTCAATCACATGTAAGAACTATAATTTTTCCTCCTCTTGCTTTTAGTCTGATTTGGTTTTAAGGTCAAAAATCAACGTGCGTGCGTTTAAAACAATCAAACAATTTATCTTCACACAATGACATCTATCTTTGATTATTCTTGCCTTTGGCGATGATAAAATAGAAACACAGCATGTATAGTAAATATAAATTGATAACCAACACAATATAAACAAATATTAATACTTTCTTCTTCTTATATTATTTCCCATCATTTGAGGTAACGTTTACTTCTTTTTAAAAAATATTAATATTCAAGTGATTATGATATGATTTTTTTTAAAGGTCTTTTATTAAAGGAGTTGGAGTGTAAAGGTAAATTATTTAAACATTAAAATTTAACTTAATTTGTGATCTTAACTTCAAATTTAAGTAAATACAAATATGTCAAATACGTATATTTCATATGAAAATACAAGTTAGTGAACTTGCCGGGGGTTATGTTTTGAAAGTGTTGCTCCCATACAAAGACAACCAAGACGTACAATGGTGTGATAGGATTGAAAGTGTTGCTCTCATACAAAGACAACCACGTCGATGTTCATAGTCTTCAATGGTGTGTTTGTTGACTTTTTTGTTTTTGAAAATTGCATGCTCCATGGGACAGGGAATGATGAGAATCAGTCGAGTTTTCAAATCATCAAGTGCCCCCAAATGGACATCCTACACTGACACCATCCACATTGAAAGATAAAAATATACCATTGATTTAAATATAAATCACCGTTAATTCTTAATTAGGATGAAAATTGATAAACTCTAGAATATCTGTCTTAGTAGACAAATTAATCGAGAATACCACATTAAGATTAAATTATTTTTTTAAAGTTTTGTTTTCTTCAATTTTTAAATACCAAACTCATATTAAGATACAAAATATTATACAAATTTTCAATTTCTTAGTTAAATTTCTTTTTAAGTGTTATAATTTTTTTATTTATCTATTTATTTCTTTTTCAGTCCTTCAAACAAGTGAAAATATTTTTATTTTTATTCATCCAAAAGATATATCATTTTTATTCTTTTTTTTTTAATTTATATCCTTGTTTCATTCATCTTGAGGAGGGTCGTAAATTCCACACTAACTGACAAGATAATTTAAGACACTTGGAAGGACCAATTCTTTACTTGAAAATAAGATATCTGCTTGTGTCCTAACCTGTCATTCACTTTCATATCCGCCTTAGGAAATACAGAGTTTTTGAATGGGGTCCAAAAGAGGCATGGATGAGGCTGAACCACAGAAAAGTTATTGGAGATTTAGCAAACAAGATTTCTTACCAGAAGAGTCCTTTGAAAGCTGGAACAACTATGTTTCTGCTCTTTCACAAACATGGTCAAGGTTCAAGGACCGTTTCTTCAGCAGATCAGATGAAACCACTGAGACAGAAGAGCTAAGGAAACAAAGTGAACATGAAATGAAACGTTGCCTCAACTGGTGGGACCTCATTTGGTTCGGTTTTGGTGCAGTGATTGGTGCTGGAATCTTTGTGCTCACTGGTCAAGAAGCTCATAACCATGCTGGCTCAGCAATTGTCTTATCCTATGTTGCTTCAGGCTTTTCAGCAATGCTTTCAGTTTTCTGCTACACTGAATTTGCTGTAGAAGTTCCATCTGCTGGAGGGTCATTTGCATATCTCCGAGTTGAGTTAGGAGATTTTGTTGCTTTTCTCACAGCTGGGAACATTCTTCTTGAAAGCATTATTGGAAGTGCTGCAGTAGCAAGATCATGGACTTCTTACTTCACAAACCTTTTGAACCGTCCTAAGGATTCACTGCGCATTAAGACAAATCTCAAAGATGGGTACAATTTGCTGGACCCTATAGCTTCTGCGGTTCTTATTATTGCTGCAGTGGTTACAATGATCAGCACAAGGAAAACTTCGATACTCAATTGGATAGCATCTGCAGTGAACACTGCTGTTATTATATTTGTGATCATTGCAGGGTTTATTCATGCTGACACATCAAATTTGACACCTTTTATGCCTTATGGGGCTAAAGGGGTGTTTCAAGCTGCAGCAATTATTTATTTTGCATATGGGGGGTTTGATAGTATTGCAACCATGGCTGAAGAAACCAAAAAACCATCAAGGGATATACCGATAGGCTTGGTTGGGTCAATGTCCATGATCACAGTGATTTATTGCTTAATGGCGCTTGCACTTAGCATGATGCAGAAGTACACAGAGATAGATACAGGTGCTGCTTTCTCAGTTGCATTTCAGAAAGTGGGAATGAAGTGGGCAAAGTATGTGGTAGCTTTTGGTGCATTGAAAGGAATGACCACAGTGCTTTTGGTAGCTAGATTGTCACAGGCGCGTTATATAACTCACATTGCACGTGCCCACATGATCCCACCTTGGTTTGCTCTTGTACATCCAAAGACAGGAACCCCTATAAATGCTACCCTCTTGATTACCATTGCAAGTGCCATCATAGCTTTTTTCTCTGGCTTGGATGTGTTATCAAGCTTGATATCAGTGAGCACACTCTTTGTGTTCATGATGATATCTGTTGCTCTTCTGGTGAGGAGGTACTATGTGAGAGGGGTCACACCAAGAGAGAACCTGTTAAAGCTTGTTATATCCTTGATGCTCATTATTGCTTCCTCAACAGGAATTTCAGCTTACTGGGGGCTTAGGCCTAATGGTTGGTTTGGATACACTCTGACTATTCCTGTTTGGTTCCTTACAACTCTTGGGATGTCACTATTTTTGACTCAGCAAAGGGTGCCAAGAGTTTGGGGTGTTCCTCTTGTGCCATGGTTGCCATCTATGTCAATTGCAACAAATATCTTCCTCATGGGGTCTTTGGAATCTGAGGCCTTCATAAGATTTGGGGTGTGCACCATGGTAATGCTGATCTACTACTTTCTCTTTGGCCTCCATGCAACCTATGATATGGCTCATCAACACGAAAAGATGCAATCTAAAGTTGACTACACAGAGACCATAAAGAATGCAGGGCCTTAGATAGTTGTACTCTAGAATTTGAACCCAATTCCACAAGTTACATGTAATTCTACGTGTTATTTTAGTCCTTGAATGCATAAATAAGGGTCTTATTACTGAATACAAATATATTAGCATAATGATCTTAATTTATTTAGTAGTCGCAGCAGTCGTTTTCTCTAATGGCACATAAAACATATATTATGCAGGGTGCTACAATTAGCAAAAATGCAAATCTACATAAATAACCGAAAGTGGATCAAGGTTTGATGAAAAGGATGTCTATATCAATGTTTAGCTTTATGCTTGGTTAACATCCGTAAGAAATGTTCCTGCATCATTAACAAGTTGCTGCCACTTGGTAATAAAATGCATGAATAGTATTTGAACAGGAAGTGTACTTAATACCGAATTCCACCTCCCCTACCCATTAGAAATTCAAAACTTAAATTTAACTTTCTAAAATCTCCAACAAGCCATTATAATAACGAAAATACTCAAATAGACAAAGATTAGGAGATTTATCATTTATACATAACTATTCACCACTACTTCAAAATTGTTTATAATGAAAAAAAGCGTGCACATTATCATCGATTTATCTCTTAAATGACGGGAATACTATTTGATTTTTAAAATAATGTGATTTGAACATCACATAATAAAAAAAAATAACAATTTATCCAAAAGAATTATCCGAATCTTTAAATAAAATAAACGTACAATTTATTCCTTAATAATGTATTATTTTTCTTGTTTTAATCTCCAGAATTTTTCATGTATATTATCAAATTAATAGCATATTTACCCTAACAAAATTATCAATTTACTTAAAATTCATTTTTTCCAAAATACACACATCCACACACACCAAAAAAAAAAAAAAAAAAAAAAAAACCTTAATCATCTAGCAGTGCCACCACCACAATTCGATAGAGTAGCACTACATGTTTCAATGGAAATTTGACCCTTTCAGCAATGAAAAAGCACGAACTTGAGAAGACAACATAACTAATCGTCTCCGACAAGACGATAACAACAACATTCTCAGAACTATAAACTCCACTCGCTGAGGTAGCCATTACCTTAACCAATCCAAACTCCACCTTTTTGGGTCGATCCATGCTATTCCATGCCAAAGTGCTCTACCTCTCCGATTAGGCTTCTCACACTCTCTCTTCGAACAACTCTCCATCTGGGTTTCTCCCAAACCCTAACACTTTCCTCTTACTCTTCTGCTTCCGATGCCCATCAACCCCTTTCACCTCAAATCTTCAAATCAGGTACCAAAATGGGTTCTTACAAATTGGGTGATTTATCTTTCTACTCCCTCATTGAGAATTACGCCTCTTCTTTTGATTTTGAGTCCTTGGAAGAGGTTCTGGATCAAATGAAGCGTGAAAGAAGAGTTTTTATTGAGAAAAATTTCATCATCATGTTCAAGGCTTATGGGAAAGCCCATTTACCTGAAAAAGCTGTGAACTTGTTCCACAGAATGGGGTGTGAGTTTCAGTGTAGGCAAACTGTGAAATCCTTCAATTCTGTTCTCAATGTGATTATTGAAGAGCGTCTTTTCAATCGTGCTTTGGAGTTTTATTCTCGTGTTACTGCATCCAAGAGTTTGAACATACACCCAAATGCACTCACTTTTAACTTGGTGATTAAGGCCATGTGTAAGCTTGGTTTGGTTGACAAAGCTATTGAAGTTTTTAGAGAGATGCCTCTAAGGAATTGTGCTCCTGATACTTATACATACTCTACATTGATGCATGGTCTGTGCAATGAGGGTAGAATTGATGAGGCTGTTTCATTGTTGGATGAAATGCAGATTGAAGGCACGTTTCCTAACCCTGTTGCGTTTAATGTGTTGATCAGTGCACTGTGTAAGAAGGGTGACTTGGCACGTGCAGGCAAGCTGGTTGATAATATGTTTCTTAAGGGTTGTGTTCCGAATGAAGTGACTTATAATGCACTTGTTCATGGGTTGTGCCTTAAGGGTAAGTTGGACAAGGCGGTGAGTCTCTTGAATCAGATGGTGTCGAATAAGTGCATGCCTAATGATGTTACTTTTGGAACACTTGTTAATGGGTTTGTCAAGCATGGTAGAGCTTCTGATGGGGCTCATGTGTTGGCCTCCTTGGAGGAGAGAGGTCGTCATGGTAACGAGTATGTATACTCGTCCCTTATCAGTGGTCTGTTCAAGGAGGGAAAATTCAATCATGCAATGCAGTTGTGGAAGGAAATGGTTGGAAAAGGATGTGAACCAAATACTGTAGTGTATAGTGCTCTTATAGATGGTCTTTGCCGAGAAGGGAAGCCAGATGAAGCAAGGGAGGTACTATTTGAGATGAAGAATAAAGGTTATTTGCCCAATTCTTTCACTTATAGCTCCCTAATGAGGGGTTATTTTGAAGCAGGTGATAGCCATAAAGCTATTCTTGTTTGGAAAGAGATGGAATATAATAGTTGTGATCATAATGAGGTTTGTTACAGTGTGCTCATTAATGGCCTGTGCAAGGGTGGGAAGCTTATGGAGGCCTTAATGGTGTGGAAGCAAATGCTGAGTAGAGGAATTAAATTAGATGTTGTGGCTTACAGTTCAATGATTCATGGCTTTTGTAATGCTAACTTGGTAGAACGTGGCCTAAAACTTTTCAATCAGATGCTTTGTCAGGAGTCAGAGTTACAACCAGACGTGATCACATATAACATACTCTTAAATGCTTTTTGCGGGCAGAATAGCATCTCCCGCGCTATTGATATTCTAAATGTTATGCTAGATCAAGGCTGTGATCCTGATTTTATTACATGTGACATTTTCTTGAAAATTTTAAGAGAAAATATGAATCCACCTCAAGATGGGAGGGAGTTTCTAGATGAGCTTGTAGTTCGGTTAGCTAAGCGACAGAGAACAATAGGTGCTTCCAAAATTATAGAAGTGATGTTACGTAAATTTTTACTGCCCAAAGCATCTACTTGGGCAATAGTTGTTCAACAGCTCTGCAAACCTAAGAATGTTCGAACAGCCATTAATGAATGTTGGAGCAGGCTATATTGCTGATATCTTGTAAGACATGCTATTCAATTACAATTTCCTTGAACCTTAAAAACTCTGGATACAGGGATTCTTTATCAAGGTCCTCAAGCATAAATGCATAATGCCTCAAACTTCCAGAAGGCAGATACAATGATACACGCCAGATACATAATTTTCCTTATCCTAATTTCATTTTGTGTGCGCGGAGATGTTGGTGTGAGCCAAACAGGTGACAAATGATTATCGCACCATTTAACCACTGCAGCTGTCTAAACCTCTCACTTGCTTTTGTCCATTCAAAATATTAATGTTATGCAACTTACGATGGTGATCAGAATCTTAAAACGGTAAAGTGCTCAACTATCATATAGTCAAGTGTATTTGTACTGGGCTCAGTCAAGGTTATTGATTGTGTATGCATGTTACAATTTCTTAAAATGCTGTCTGAAAATTTGGCCAGTAAATAATTTTATACAACTTGCAAGTATTTTACAGATTGCAATTGTGCAAGGCAAATGAAAGTAAATGATGATGAACTAGTGAACTGGATTGCTACTGATGCCAACATACAGAAGTGTAATTTTCTTTTGTGGGCATGTGCGGAGTCCATACATTGCTTTGTCTCTATGTGCAAAGGCAAAGAATGAAAGGGTGATTTTCTCATTATAGTTTTCTCTCTCTCAGACCCTGCCATATCTATTCTTCTTTGTAATTTGCTTGTTTTCCTTGCTCCTTTCCTTTTATATTTGTCTGGCACCCTGGGTTTAAAAAAATATCCAAGTTTCTTAGTGCTCGTTTGGTTCAAAGTTTAGTAGCCTTGATTTTAATAAAATTGATTGAAGCATTGAATGTAATTGATATACACGTATAAATTAATTTAAATCACACATTTTTATTGGAACGTATGCTTTTCATTAGAAAATGCAAGAATTGATTTTGTTAACTCCTAAATATCACAGTTGTAGATTTAAATTGAGTGGGAAAATTGTGGGGCTATGAGTGATGATGCCAAAACGAAAGTGATAGTAATTGTTGTTTATTCGATCATTTCATATATATATCAAGTTTCTTAAACTTCCTCTATTCCAGTAGTATAATCAGAAATAAGAAACCTTTTGTTGATACTTCATTCTTGATTGCTAATAACTTTTTTGTTAATCTAATGTATAGCTTTTGGCTTTTTACGCTCTGATTCGCATTATTAATTCCTTGAAGCATGATAGAGGTATGATGAATGTTAGGTTATTGTTTTGCACTTATTGTTAGGTTCTTGTTCTTCTCTTATCCAACTAGACCAGTGCAACAAAATTTTCAGTGTTGAACCAGGGTAAGCTTGTACGAGTGGATGAATATTGGAAGGGTTATTGGAATAAATATGACAAAAATAACTAAAACCATCTTTAGCTAGTTCCTTTTTAGGTGTCTCTTTGATGAGCCATGCTCAATGGCCTTAAATTTTCATTTCACAAACTTCTCTCACTTCAACTGGAAGCAATAGAAATGTAAAACATAATTTCCTGATAACTTCTGGATCTGTTACTTAGTACATTGAATCCTCTATCAAAACATTGTCTTTTGTTGATTAAATTGGTTTGATCTTTTATTAATTAATGTTAATATATTGGTAATGATATACTCTTCTTCAAGTAATGAATGACATGCACATTCTTTACCCCGGAATTCGTATCCCTTTTTTCATCACTTCTTCGTCATGGATTAATGGGGTTTTCTCTGCTTTTATCTTGTTCGTTTAATTGTGTCAAGACTGCTATTTATTTGTCCTGCTTTATAATTTCCTCTTTTGTTCAAAACTTAGTAACATATAAATATTTATTTTGTCATCTTATATTATACTATCTGACAGGATTTCAATTTGATTATCAATTATTAGCGGATAATTACAGAACAGGGCCTTGACTTGGAAGAGTTGAACCAAAGGCTATCGCTGTTGAGTTGGTACGGCAGAGTAAGGCATCTACTGAAGGCTAGCAATCTACAAAGGGTTTCTGTAAACTAAGTAACATTTTTCATTGATGAGCAAATTTTCTTCAAATTGCATTCATTGCCTCTACTTGTTGTGAGGACGTACCCGTTTAATTTTTAAAAATTCTGCTACCGTTTAACATATTTAAACTACTCTTATCACGCTCTCTCAATCACAATTGCTCTCTATTCAAGATAAGAAGATAATCGCACCATTGTTTGCTGCGGATTAACCTTTACATCATCTGGTCACACCAGCAATACTCAATCCCTCTCTTCAAAGTACCTTCACCTCTATTTTATATGGTTCAATGCATCTGCTATCTCATTTTGATAAAAAATATTTTAAAATATATAACTTCTATTTTTATATTAATTAATTAATTTTACAACTAATTTTATGAAATAATTTCAATTTCGATAACTACATTTTTAACTTTTATTTTTTAGCTTTGAACTTATCTATCCACTAATATTATCAAACACACCCTTCATTATTACTTGAGTTATTTGATGACATTAGGATATAATTGTTAACTAGACATAAAAAATAAATCGTTAACATAGGTCTGAAGAGACAATAAAAAACTAATAAATAATATTTTTTTTAAAATTATAACATTTAATGAAAGGAAGTTTTATAATATTTTATAATTTTAATAAAAAATTATTATACTTAAAATTTTTATCATATAATCTTTAATACATATTAAAAAAATTGATTAAAAAAATAAAATATTTACCAACTCAAATTAAAAGAGAATATATTAATAGTAAGGACTATTTTATGGTAAGAAGTATACTAAGCCGAATGTAGATGCATTGATAATATTTTTTTAATAAAAATTCATCACTTTTGATTTCTTACGAAGCATTTGCTAGTCTGTTCCATACCACGTTTGGAATGTTTCCCAAACGTAGGGAATTGGCGACCCAAATCACTCTGCTCTTTGATAGAATACACGAGTTGATGAAACTAATGTGTTTAATATCTTTCGAAAATCATTTAAAAATTACTTCTGAAATTTAATGTTAAATTAATTCTAAACATATTTATTTCCAAAAATAAAATTCCTGAAATCACAATAAAAAAGTGATGCAAATAGCAATTCCCTACATAGTTTTTACACACTGTTTCTGTTTAAGCAGCAGCTTCAACAACAGAAGAGACCTTTCGGAGAACATACACAGGATCTCCAACCTCAATGATATTACCATTCCCTTCAGCTGACAAATCCTTCGAATTCCATACCAAATTCTGGCCAAAGTAGATCTGTAGAAGCACTTCACATGTCATTTCACATCATTAAACCAAAGGAATGTTCATTCAAAGCTTGATGACTCACCCGGCCTTTATTATTGTGATTTGGCCTTATGATTTTTCCTGACCTAAACTTCGATAGAGTTATATTTGGTTCAGGTCCAGCTTTTGCAGTCTCTTGATTGATTGTAGGTATCTGATCATACAAATGGAATCAATCATCCCAGTTAGTAAACAAGACTATGTGCATGGTTGGTTCATCTTAATTTGAAACAACAATTACTTATTTTTGCTTGCTTCCTGAGAGAAGTTCTGAAAAATAAGCAATTACTCTTCAAATTTTCGTGTTTCCAAACATGCACCAAGAAATTACAGGAAAAAGTATATTTGCATGTGTACTAAAATGTGCATATTATCCATGTGATAGATATCTGTGTAATACATGCAATTATAGTGTAGTGAGAAGACAAAGAAACACACAGAGCATAAAGGAAATTACGAGGTAGAACTTTTCACCTTACAACGGTAGCACAGTTTGACACCGAAAAATGAAAACCTGTTTATCTTAATGTCAGTCCATATGTCCTCAGAAAATGGTTCACAACCTTCAACAAGAATACTGCACAATGAGTCACCCAAATGTCAATTATGTGATTTAACAATCCATTAAGATTTCAGTAGCTTCTGGTCTGAATAAATAACAATGATTATAAAATAATATAATTGCAGTAGACCAATACACATTGAAAAACCAATACTTGGGTCTAAAGCGATCAATAGGTACAGGCTCCTTCAGCTGATTGTTTAGTTCATCCAATGATTCCTGAAAATCATAAATGACAAATAATGAGTATAGATTCAGCAAATAAGAAAAGTTACACTTCATTTTCCAGCTGGATTAACCTGAGAAGCAAGTAGGAATTGATAACCATCAGTGAATAAGGTCTGCTGTTGTCCCTTAGCATAATCAGGATCCACTGGTCTAGTTTCAGAAGCTGCATTTGGAAACATTGAAGAGGTTTGTTCAACTCAAGAGTAAACACATTTTATTATGTATGTATTACTGGAAATAATCTGGTTTTTAAGCCAAATTTCCCATACAAGATATACACTAACACAGAGTTTCTCCCTAACAAGGAGTCTCCTTTAACACGCAACAAACATTATCATCCTGTTTGATTATTTGCCTTTTGGAAACACATGCTTTGCAATTGATGAAATGGAGTTCCAAGGAGTCTAAAACGCAGAAACAAACAGGTCGTAAAGCTGTTCAATGGACAACAACATTCCATATCATGTACATATAAGACACTAATACTAAACAAACACTGATAATTCAGGCCAAGTGGGTCTCAGTCTGCCTCTTATACCCTCTCACAAACTTTCCAAGGCCTATTAAGGTTCATCGTAACTACATGGTTTTGAAATATTATACTGGTCAGAACATACGTTTAGTATAACAAAAAATTAACAATAATATATAAATGAAGAAACAAATTTATCTGAAAAACCTTATTCTTACTTAACCATAAAACGGTGACTCTCATTGACTCCAAGAATCATCTAAAGTTTCAAATATATTATTATTAAAACACAACACTACATTAAACAATTTTACACAATAAGAGTTCAAGGTTGGAAGGGTTCATGAGTTAGGAGTGGAAAGTCTGAACTTTTAGTCTTACCATAACCCGGGAAGTAGGGACTGCAAATGCAATAGTTAAGTTATGCTCATTGTCAGTCAAGATACTAAGAGTAAAAGCATATCAAAAGAGTTTCTTTCCTGAATATGGGTGATGGGGTCACAGTGGTTGCAACATGCCTGGCGGGACATCTATCTCCAGCCACAGCAGCTGCTAGCAACAACAGCCACAGAGCTGGTGACAGATAACCGGGTTGGCCTGCCTTGTCATTCAAAACCAAAAGAAGAGAGACAACATAGCAGAAAAGGAATATTAAAAATGGCCAACTCTCATTCACAACATAATTGGTTTTATTTCCATGGATCATGCTTGACTACTATATGCGTTCAAGACGATTTAGCATGTATTCATCATAATGAATCGATGCATTTTGATATACAATGCCCAAATTTAATCCCAGCGATGTTCACATGTTCTCAAAACAGTTATATTTCTTAAACAATTCATTACATGTTTAAGGTAACACATGTAGATATTTTCGTTGTTCTCATTATCTCAAGGTTTCATAATTTTTCAAAGACCTACCAGTATTGAAGCGGACCAGGCGACAGGGTTTTCCTATATAATCCGAGAACCACTGTGATGCTTCAGCTCCCTCATCCCAGGCAGACCCAGTCCATTCCCATACTGAGACACCATCTGCTACTTCGTTTTGTTGTTTACTCAAAGAAATTTTGAGAGTTTGCATCCCAGGTGCTTTCACCACTGTTATGAAGTAAAACTTTATATTCAGTTACTAAAGAAAGGAAAAAAGTGATAATGAAGAATGTGCAAAGCAGAAGTTCGTCAGCATTTCAACTACTGTGTTTTTGTTTAAAAATTAACAACACGGGGAAAGCATCTGTCAAATGAGAAATAAAGTTTACACACCATATTCAGAACAAAACACATAAACTGAAACTACAAATCATGTTAAAACTCCATAACATATCAAATGAAAGCAAAAAAAGTGATCACACAAAGACATCCGTATTGGCCAAGTATATGGGGTCAGAAAGTATTCCTTATAACGACTTGGGTTAACCATAAATGTCCAACGTTGTAAAGTTCATTCTCTAGTTGTCCGCTCATGAATGTGAGGGGATGTAAAGAAAAGATCCCATGTTAACAATGAATATTGTCAAATAACTACTTATAAAGACTTGGACAATCCTCCCTCTTGAGCAAGCATTTGGGACTGAGTTAAGCCTTGTCCATGTTCAATTATACCAAAAACAATAATGGAGCACACACAAGAAAGCGTGTAAATCAAGTCAAGAGGGTCCAGCATCAAACTCGTATGCAGAATGCAGAAAACCAATGCGAAAAGCATAGAGAGAGAGTGCAAGATAAGATCTTCTTATAATGGTTTAACCAATGTGAACTAACTAGTTCCCAAGATGATTCATTTGATATTTTCCACTATCAAACCAAGCTTTGTTGTGCACATCAAGCTAAGGCATGGCTGTGTTGTGCACATCAAGTTAAGAAACAACAGGGTGCCACTTATCCTACATCAAAAGACATCTACTTTCTCTTGGATCAAACAATATTTTGAGGGTCCTTTAAGAGAGATGAGTGTGTCACATTGCTTCATAACAGATTTTGATGATTCTTTATGAATATTTTGGTAAAAACAAGGAGGCTGAAGTTTCTCACAGTATGCATGTAATAAGCTGAACCAAACACTCACTAATAATTTCTGATATTTTTTTCTTAAAAAGAAGAAAAAGAAGAAGCACAGGTGCCAATCCATATCCATATAATAAAGAAACTAACAAAAAATCATCATATGCATGAGAAGCTTATTATAGATCAAGAAAATGTAATCTACCAATGCAGGAATCTTGTGTAGGTTCCCAATCTTCAACAAAAGCATCAGGTGGCAATTCAACCTCAACCAAAGCAAGCTTTGGCTCAACTCTTTGTGTGAGTGCCTTCCCTAAGGAATTCACCAACATCCATTGTCTATCCCATCGAAATCCTGCCACATAATAATATTACAAAGTATATACATTCAACTAGAAACAAAAAAGAAAAAAGAAAAAATTGAATAAAAAGCAAAAAAAAAAAAAAAAAAAAGTGGGTATGTATTTGTGTACCATATGGAGTGAGAGGAGCATGAGAAACAGAAATTCCACGGCATGACTTAATTGGGTATATGAAAATGGCTGAAACTTTAGCTGAAGGTGTTGTTGGTGCTGATGCCGTTACTTCCATTTTGGTTTGGTTATTGAGCAACCTGAGCAGTGTCACTAGTTTAAATACCTTAATTTTATGTATATACTAGGAAATTTTTGCATTTTCGGGACCAGCACTTGGTTCTAACCAATAATTATCTTACACTTTAATATTTTAGATATGTATAAAAATGTAAGTAGTTGATATTAAGTAATTTTGAATTAAATTTTAAATATTTTATTTATATATATATATATTAAAAAAATTTGCATATTTAGGGACCACAACATAATCTCAACCAATAATTATTTTACATGTTAACATTTTAGATACATATAAAAATATAAGTGGTCAAACCTATTAAATTTTAGATCACATTTTAAATATTTTACTTTTTTATGTATATGAAAATTTTTTCATTTAGAAACCACTGCATGGTTCCAACTAATAATTACCTTACATATTAATATTTTAGATACGCGTAAAAATGTGAATGATTGAGATCACATAATTTTAAATTACAATATATATATATATATATATATATATATATATTAATAATTGCTTTACACATTAACATTTTCAATAATTATCTTATACATTAATATTTTAAATACGTATAAAAATCTTAGTAAACGAAAGTACATGGTTTTAGATCATATTTTAAATATTTTACTTTTTATGTATATATTGAGAAAATTTTTCATGTTCATATTTTAGACACGTGTAAAAATATGTGTGACGAGATTACGTAGTTTTAGATCTCAAAATAATTTTTTATATGTAAAAGTTAGTAAGATATAATGTTTTAAATAAATTATAAAAAATATGAATTGTTAAAACTATAAATTATTATGGCATTTTTTATATTTTAAAATTTTTTATTATTTTTTAAAAAATTGGTACTAACGATTTTCAATTTTTAAAATTTTATTGACAATTTTTTATAATATTTTAAAAATTATCATTGACAATTTTTAAAATCCTTAATTTTTTTATTCTTTTATTAGTAATTACACGAAAAGTTATCTATGACAAATTTTTAATTCATATTTTTATAATTTTTTAAAATACCATATTTTGATCTCATGTGTTGCATCATCTGTGGCACAAGAAATCCACACGTGGCACCTCACTTTGCAAGTACACACTTATGAAGACACGTTACTTTAGATAAGATTTTTTTTTGTGTGAGAGAGAGATCAATATGAGCTTTCTTTTTAAGTTTTAAAGTTTCTCTACAATTACAAACAAAATTTTATGTATTTAGTAAGTTTATTTTCAAAGTGATAAGGTTTTCTAATTATAGATAAAAATTTAACTTAATGATTATAAGTTATTAAGCTATTTTTTTTATTTTTAACAAAGTTTTTAAAATATAAAATTAAATACACTTTTTTTATTTTACAATTAAATATAATTTTAAATAAGTAAATGATTTTAAAATATATTTTTAATTAACATATTTAATTATAAAAACTTATTTTAATCATTAATTTTTTTCATAATTAATGCATATTTAGTAAAATAATATTTTTTCAAAAAATATTATTTATTAAAAATAAGTTTAATAAAATAAATGATTTTTTTGACAGAGTAATCTTTCTTTAGCTAAATAATATTTTTTTTTATAAGTTTAAGACAGTTGCTTATTGAATGCTCGAATTCTAAATCATCAGTTAAGGTAGAAAAATCCACACGCTTTAATGCTGTGAGGATATTAGTTATAGAATTAAAAACATTTTTTTTAACCAAAAATATAATAGTGCTCCATCCTTTTTAATACTTTTTAATAAGATGCAAAAATATATTTATATTTATATTTATAATTAAAAAATATTTATTGTATTAAAAAGTTAAATTTAATTAACTTCAAAAGTCAACTCAAAATAGGAAGATTATTTAAGTTTTACATTGAATATTTTTATTATATTTATAATCAATATAACCCATCTTAACATACTATTTCACACTTCAGAATGAATATTCAATGTGTAAAATTAAACATTTAAGTGTGTCCAACATTAAAATTAAATAAATTATGATACTATATTAAAATTTTAATTCAATTCACTCTTAAAAAGTAATTGAAGAAAATATGAATATTCAAGCCATAGAAAACAAATATTTGATTATATATTTAATCAAAATGACATATTTTAAAATGTTACATTCTCTCTCCGATTTATTTTTTAAAGCATATTAAATATAATCAACAATAAAAGAATATTTATAATCAGTGATGATGATTTATTGTTCCTCTTTAATACGTTTTTTAAAGTAAATTTAATAATATAAAATATAATAATATATTATATTAAAAAAATATATTAAGTATGATCAATAATAATAAAAATATTCATAACCAAATGAATTTTTGTTGCATCCTTTTTCTACGTTTCCTCAATCAATTTCTTTTCTTGTATACCAAAATCTGTACGTTTCTTAAATTAAATGTTATAATTGTAAAATTCAGATGGTAGATATGATGATGTAAGAGAATTGAATTTCTTTTTTCATTAAAAAAAGAGTACCATCCATTCTCAGCAAAAGAAAAGGAAAACACGCAACCAGCTAATAAAATTATCCAAGATATTTTTTTTTTGTAAAAAACAAGTAATTATTTTAGTTTTTAAAAATTATTTAATAAAACGCTTTAATTTTTATATTTAATGAATAAAAAAATAAAATATTTATACTTCTAATATTGAGAAATTATTTAATATTTTTTTTAAAAATAAATTAGGCTTGTTGAATTTTTTTAAGAACTAAATTAAATATTTAATATTTTAAAAATTATATTCATATTAAATTCTGACACTTATTTTATCCATTTATAAGAACTATAACTTTTATGAAAATAATAAATTCAAACTACGACTATTATTTTCCATAAACAGTGAGTGATACATACATCAACTTGTCAATTTACGACCCAGCTATAAAGATCCATCAACTTTCAACCTTGGTCCAATTCTTTGAACCTTATTACATGAAAAATTATTTATTAAAAAATGAACCCTAGGTTTGAACACTTTTTGCTACCTCTCAACATTTTTTCAATGTTTCTAATCCCAACTTTGTTAAAGTGACTTGTTTTAATTGGCATGTCATATATCTTATGAAAAGCTGATCATATTACTTAACAAGGATCCAAAGCAAGATAAAGTGACAATTCAACTGAGAAAGGTTTTGTCTATAGCTCGAGGGAACAACATTTTGGTCACATATTACAAGAGTGATTGAAATTGATTGCTCAGCTTTGGAGGCATGCATTGTTTCTATTGAATATCACTGATATTTAATTGTTTGACATGGATGTGTGAAGGGTCTTCATCACCATCCCAAGAAGAAAGAGTAGTCAGATATGGTACGTTGTGAGGTGATTTTTAGTGGGCTATAGGTAAATGTGAAAGAGATGTCCAGTGTTCAATCTTACTATTTAATTTTATTAAAATGTATTATTTAATAAAAATTTATGATATATATTTGATGGCTGGGATCTGTAAAGCATCTCTTTTTGTATTGACATAGATCATAATCCTCCTTTGAAAATATGTCATTAGCAAATGAATTAGAATATAAAAATTTATTAAATTATGAATCTAGCATGATAAATTGAAAACTTATAACTTTGGACAATCATACAATGAATCTTGCTTACTTACAATTTAAAAGAAGTGTGAAAAACGTGTATGTCTACATATAACATGTAAAATGCAATGGAAATGATGTTGGGACAACAAAAGAAGAAGTGATAGCAAAATAAGATTCATTTTCTTCTTCTCATTTGTCAGCTGGAGAATTTGAATAATGCATACATTGTGTTTAGTCTACAACTACCCACAAATGCACCCAAAATTCAAAACTCAATTCAAACATGGTTTAATCAATAAAAAATCATTTTATATTTATAAAAATTAGTACATTTTCAATACGTTGCACAATTATTATTAATTTAAATTTAAATTTTAAAAGGGAAAATCAATTATTTGATTTTTTTTTACAAAAAAATTGTTAGACAATTCATTTGTGATAAATTACGGTGGGGAACACATGAAGCGTACCACTACATTTGTACCAACCGGTCAATCAATAAATAAGGATCGTTCATGGATTATTATTTTAAAAGATGATTGAGATTCAAGATTCTTCATACTTTCCAAAATTCATAGGCAAGTTTTTACTTTTGTACAACCTGTTTTTATTGATTGTACTATTTTCTTTGAAATTTTGTTTCAAAATATGTTAAATATTCTTTAAATAATTTAGTTTTAGAATGTAATTTGAAAATCACTTTCAAAAATATAATTACTAAATCATTTCAAAATTAGATTTTGACTAGTTTTTAAGCACTCTTCTAGAACTTTAATTTTAGAATATATTAAATTCTCTTTTAAAATTATATTTTTAAAACGGTACAAAAAGTAATTCCTAATAGACTTGTGTTTTATAAAGTTTGTTTTATTGTAGCCTTATAAATGTCCGTACACACTTTGGTTTAACTTATTTAAGAAAATAATCACTTTACAATTTATTGAGAAAGCTGTTAAAAGATAAGTGATTATTTTCCAAAATTAATCCTTCCCAATCAAGCACAATTGCTACAGATCCTGCAGACACAGTTCATGCAGCTGCTTCCGTAGCAGAAGATACATTTTGGAGAACATAAACAGGATCTCCCACTTTAATGAATTTTCCCCTCTCGTTAGCAGAAGAATCCATCCAGTTCCACACCATATTCTGACCAAAGTAGACCTGCAGAAGCATTTCACATCATTAAAACCAAAAGAATGTTCAATCAGAGCTTGGGCACATAATGCCTTACCTTGTTTTTATTTGTTGCATTTGGTCTAATGACTTTGCCAGACCTAATCTTCATAAGAGTTTGAGTTGGTTCAGATCCAGCTATCCCAGTCTCTTGATTGATTGTGGGTAACTGACCATAAGATACAGCATCAATCATGAGTCTAACCTATTTAATCAAAATGTACATGATCCTGGACACTGATCTAGGCTACAAGACTAATAACATATTCAACAATTATGAAGTTTCATCTAGTCTTGTTTGATTTAGAATGATATGAAGATGACCACGACACAACCACCACCATACTCTAATTGAAAGTATTATTCCTTCCTTACTTCTTTATCTAATGAAAGGCTCACAACAGAATTCAAGTTCTGCCCACCACCTAAGTTAATCTATGTATGTCATATTGGTACGAGTTAGAATCTAAAATTGTTAGCAGAAATCATCTGGTACTTGTTACAATGGAGCATAATGATAGATAGGAAGTTACAGAGTAGAACTCTTCACCTTACAACGAGAGCACAGCTTGACACCCTGAAATGAAAACCCGTTTATCTTGATCTCTGTCCACAAGTCCTCAGAATATGGTTCACAGCCTTCAACAAGAATACTGCACCGTGAAGTACCCAAGTCTCAATTATTTGATTTAATAATCCATTAAAGATCAATTCAGTATCTTGCGGTCAAATTAGTAATGAATTTTATGAAATAATATAATTTAAGGAGTTGACCAAAAGACATTGAAAAATCAATACTTGGGTCTAAAACGATTAATAGGTAAGGGTTCCTTTAGAAGTTTGTTTAGTGCATCCAATGATCCCTGAAAGCCATAAATGACAAATACTGAGTAAAGAATCAGAATATAAGTTAAATTAGATTCATTTATCAACTAGACTGACCTGAGATAATAGTAAGAATGGATAACCATCAGAGAAATGGGTCTGATGATGTCTCCCAGCATAATCAGGATCCACTTGTCTAACTTCTGATGCTGCATTTGGAAACATTAAAGATGTTCATCATAATTATAGGGTGTAGTAAGATTAAAGTGGAAATTTATTGTAATTATTTATGTCATTCAATGCACTGATGCCACGATGGGCTCATGGCCCCATTGTGCATTACATACTCAGGGCAACACTGTAGTTTGGTTCACATTATATTAAACACATTTACTATAACCAAAAATAACAATAATATATACATAAAACAACAAACTTATTTGAAAATTTTCGGTCCTACTTCATTAGTTAAAATCTGAAGTTCTGAATGTATCAAACACAAAAGACAACATCAGACACGATGAAAAGTTCAAAGTTGGAAGAGTTTATGAAGTAGGACTTTAGGAGTGAGGAGTCTGAACTCTTTGCCTTTACTATAACTCATTTAGAAATTAAGGACCTACAAATTCAATAATTAAGTAGGAACTAAGGACTTAGAAATTCAATAGTTTAACTTTTGCCTTTTTCAGTACAGGGACTAAAATACCAACAAGATTTATTTTCTATACATGGGTTACAGTAATTGCAAAATGCTTGGCTAGCCATATTTTGCTAGCCACAGCAGCTGCTAGCAATGGTAGCCGCAGGATTGGTGGGAGATTACAAGGCTGACCAGCCTTATCATTCAAAACAAAAAAGAAAAATGGGACAAATAAGTAGAAATGTGCTCATCTTAATGAATCAATGCAATGCATGTTGATATACAATGGCCCAAGTTAATCCAAGCAATGTTTGTGTGCTCATCTTCACATTTTTTGTTCTTCTCATAATCTTATTCAGTTATTCTTCAAGGTTTCATAATTTCAAAGACCTACCACTGTTGAAGCGGACCAGTTGACAGGGTTTTCCTAAATAATTTGAGAACCACTGTGATGCTTCAGCTCCCTCATCCCAGGCAGATCCAGTCCACTCCCATACTGTGACAGCATTTGTTACTTCACGCTGTCGATTACCCAAACAAACTTTGAGAGATTGCATCCCAGGAGCTTTCAACACTGTATTATGAAGGTAGTGGCACTTGATATTTATTAAACAAAAACAAAAGCATTCATGATCATGAAAATTGTACGAAGCAAAAGTCATCAGCATTTCAACTACCGTAATCTCTTTTCAAAATAGAGAAACACAAGGAAAGCATCAATCAAAGGAGAAATGAAGTATTTTATTTTCATAAACAATGAACTCGCTAAGAAAGTGTTGGAGTGTTGGATTGCTGTCTCATAAACATTTGAGAATGCTATGGCTTATTCTACAGTTTTCAATGCTATGAGACAGCAATCCAACAAATTGATGCTATGATGTCGACACTCTACAGAAAGAAGAGAAGGATACAAAAGTAGAAGATAACAAATTCTCAAGGCAGAAAAGACAAAAAGGAAAAAAGCCAGAAAAAAAAATCAAGAACCTTGAAACAACGCATGCCAATCCCTCTGAATATCTAACAAAGACACCCCCTCCCCGCCAAAAATGAAGTTTAAACATCATATCCAAAACAAAATGCAGAAACTGAAACCACTAATCTTGTCCAAACGCCATAAGATAACAAATGAGAGGAAAAAGCTGATCAAGCAAAGACATATCCCAGATGGGCATAGCATATGGCCAAACTACTTCTTATAATGACTTGAGTAATCTTCCCCATTTGAGCAACGTTTTAGGGGCAGAGAATTGAATTGGGCATTCAAAAACTATTTAAAAAATTATCATATGTTGTGAGGAGCTTATGATGGCTTAAGAAAATGAAATCTAACCCATATAGGAATCATGCTTAGGTTGCCAGTCTTCAAAAAGTGCACCAGTAGGCAGTTCAACCTCAACCAATGCAAGCTTTGGTTCAACTCTTTGAGTGTATGCCCTTCCTTGGGAATTCACCACCATCCATTGCCGATCCCATTGAAATCCTATCACATAATGATATTACATTCGAGCCAGTTTGAAAAGGTTTATTTAAAAGTCTCGCAAACTCTTTTTAACTTATTTCAATAAGCTTCTAAATGAAACGAATATTTTCAGCTTATTTCAACAATTTCATAGTTAAATAGACAAAATAAATCATCGGTTAAAAACAGCTTAATGAATTAGCGTTTAATCAAACTGTATATCCAAATCCTAAAGATTTGTTTGTATTCCACTGGAAACAAATCGAAGTGTGAAGTGTTAAAGAAAGAAAGATTACCAGCAGGAGTGAGGGGAGCATGAGAAACAGAAATTCCACGGCAAGACTTGATTGGGTATATGAAGATGCCTGAAACCTTGGCTGCAGGTATTCTTGGTGCTAATGTTGTAATCCCCATTTTTGGATTTCTCTGTCTCACGTTAGAACTACGCAGAATCTTATTATAATAAGGATGTTCAGTATTTTAGTCAAAGACAATTCATGATTTTGTTTAATAAGAATATAGGATGAAGATTTTAATAAATCTAACTAAGTACAGTGTCGAGTGAGATTGAAGAAAGTTTTATATTGGATATGAATTCACAAATTGAGCCATGGATAATTGGTAAGAATTCATATACTTAATATCCTAAAATTTTGGATTGAATCAAGTGTCAAATTTACGTGTAAATGTTTACCGAATATTTTAGCTTCCTGCAGATTACTCAACATAATTTATATTCAGTAAATAAATTTAATATACTGACAAATTATGAGAATGAATGATTATTTTCATAACAATATGAAAATTGTTATCTTTATCAGTATTCAATAATATTCAATTTATGCACGTCTCCTAATTTTCTTTACAAATTATCCAGTTAGCAGATATTTTCGATAGTTATAATGCAAGGAAATATTTATCTCTCTCATCCCTATGTTTTAAAAAAAATTATAAAAATATGAATTTTTTTAAAAAATCAGCGGTGTCAGTAATAATTTTTTAGTATTTTTAAAAAATTCATAATTTTATAAATTTTGTGTTATTCTGTTAACACTTGCACTTAAAATTGTGATTTTGAAACTTCATATTTCATAATTAAAAAAAACCGTATTTTTTGTATATATAATTTTCAAATGTTTCAAATGTATACAACATGTTATGTTATGTGTTGCATTCTCTATCAGTGACAAATTGAACAGTAATGATGTACGATATTTTATTTCCAAGAGGGAAACAGAGAAAGATAAATAGCAGATAAAGTATCCAAAAAAAGGAGTGTTATTTAAAATGCACTCACATCTTAGCCTTACCCAACTGCCCCTCCCTTATCCTTCTTCCCTCCAAAACCACCCTCCACCAACCGCCACCGCCACAGCCACAAAACCCTGTTCTCCTTCCCAATGGATCGACCTTCTCCGCTCCCAAGCCCAATCCTCCACCACCTTCCGCCAAGCCATCTCCACCTACGCCGCCATGCTCGCCGCCGCCGCTCCCCCAGACAACTTTGCCTTCCCCGCCGTCCTCAAAGCCGCCGCCGGCGTCCATGACCTCAACCTCGGGAAGCAGCTCCACGCGCACGTCTTCAAGTTCGGCCACGCTTCCTCCTCCGTCGCCGTCGCCAACTCCCTCGTCAACATGTACGGCAAATGCGGCGATCTCGACGGGGCTTGCCACGTGTTCGACAGAATCTCTGAACGAGACGACGTGTCGTGGAACTCCATGATAGCCACCCTGTGTCGCTTCGGGGAGTGGGACCTGTCCCTGAAGTTGTTTCGGTTAATGCTGTCTGAAAATGTGGACCCCACTTCGTTCACTTTGGTAAGTGTGGCACACGCGTGTTCGCACGTGCGTGGCGGCGTGCGGCTCGGGAAGCAAGTGCACGCGTACGCTTTGAGGAATGGTGATTGGAGATCATACACCAACAATGCTTTGGTGACTATGTATGCAAAATTGGGGAGAGTTGAGGATGCGAAGGCATTGTTTGGTGTGTTTGATGCTAGAGACATTGTGTCTTGGAACACTCTTATTAGTTCTCTTTCTCAAAATGATAGGTTTGAGGAAGCGTTGTTGTATTTACACCTTATGGTTGTTGATGGGGTTAGGCCAGATGGGGTTACATTGGCAAGTGTTCTACCTGCTTGCTCTCAATTGGAGATGTTGAGGATTGGGAAGGAAATACATTGCTATGCTTTGAGGAATGAGTTTTTGATTGAAAACTCGTTTGTTGGTAGTGCTTTGGTTGACATGTATTGTAACTGCAAGCAGGCTGAAAAGGGTAGGTTGGTTTTTGATGGGGTCTTGAGGAGGACGATGGCGGTTTGGAATGCTATGCTTGCAGGTTATGCACGGAATGAGTATGATGATCAAGCCATGATGCTCTTTGTTGAGATGGTTTGTGATTTGGAGTTTTGTCCCAATGCCACCACATTGTCGAGTGTTTTGCCTGCTTGTGTGCGTTGTAAGGCATTTTTGGACAGAGAAGGGATCCATGGTTACATCGTGAAGAGGGGCTTGGAGAAGGATAAGTATGTGCAAAATGCACTAATGGACATGTATTCTAGAATGGGAAGGATTGAAATTTCAAAGAGGATATTTGGGGGCATGGACAGAAGAGATATAGTGTCTTGGAATACGATGATCACTGGCTGTGTTGTCTGTGGGCGTCATGATGATGCACTTAATCTTCTGCATGATATGCAAAAAGGTCAAGGAAAAGATAGGAGTAACACATTTGGTGATTATGAGGATGATGAATGCATTCCCCTTAAGCCTAATTCAGTGACTCTAATGACTGTGCTTCCAGGTTGTGCTGCCCTGGCAGCATTAGGTAAAGGGAAAGAGATTCATGCTTACGCTGTTAAAAAAATGCTGGCAACTGATGTTGCTGTGGGAAGTGCATTAGTTGACATGTATGCAAAATGTGGTTGCCTAAACATAGCTAGGATAGTCTTTGATCAAATGCCTGTAAGAAATGTTATTACCTGGAATGTTATTATCATGGCTTATGGGATGCATGGGAAAGGGGAAGAGGCTTTGGAGCTTTTTAAAAGAATGACAGCTGAAGAAGATGGCAATAGGGAAGTAATAAGGCCCAATGAAGTGACCTATATTGCCATTTTTGCTGCTTGTAGTCACTCTGGGATGGTGGATGAAGGCCTTGATTTATTCCATACCATGAAAGATAACCATGGGATTGAACCCACCCCTGACCTTTATGCTTGTCTTGTAGACTTGCTTGGCCGTTCTGGTCAGATCGAAGAGGCATATAAATTGATCAATACAATGCCATCCAATATGAACAAAGCAGATGCATGGAGTAGCTTGCTTGGTGCATGTAGGATCCACCAGAATTTAGAAATTGGTGAAATTGCGGCAATGCACTTGTTTGTCTTGGAGCCAAATGTGGCTAGCCATTATGTTCTATTATCTAACATGTACTCCTCAGCTGGACTTTGGGACCAGGCAATGGATGTACGAAAGAAAATGAAGGAAATGGGAGTGAGAAAAGAACCTGGTTGTAGCTGGATTGAGCATCGTGATGAGGTTCATAAGTTCTTGGCAGGGGATGACTCACATCCCCAAAGCAAAGAACTCCACGAATATCTTGAAACTTTGTCCCAAAGAATGAGAAAGGAGGGTTATATACCGGACACTTCTTGTGTCCTTCACAATGTTAATGATGAAGAGAAAGAAACGATGCTCTGCGGGCATAGTGAGAGGCTGGCAATAGCTTTTGGCCTTTTAAATACGCCTCCTGGAACTACCATCATAGTTGCCAAAAACCTTCGAGTTTGCAATGATTGCCATGTTGCCACTAAAATCATATCAAAGATTATGGACAGGGAAATCATTCTTAGAGATGTTAGAAGGTTCCATCATTTCAGAAATGGAAATTGCTCTTGTGGGGATTATTGGTAAAAAATGAATAGTAAAAAATTGATTCTTTCTAATTAATTCATCTCAACCTCCTCCTTCTCTCCCTCTGTTTTTTCTTCCTCTCAACTCCCATTTTCCCTCTCCTTCATGGGCGAGAAGTTCAGTTGAGATCATGTATCATTGCAACTGGATAGTTACATAATTTGGATAGCTAACAATTTGGAAAGAAATTCAACGTTGTATCTGCTGAATCCCTGATGTTGTCTTTCGTATGACACATTAACATCAGTACCTCATATCTGAAATAATCTATAACAATTTTGCTTACATCCTTTACTCCACAAATTTTTTAGGTGGCCCTAAGTTGGTTAGAATAAATAGTTTGTTTGTAGATTAATTACTTAGAGTCAGTTAGTTGAGTGGGGACAATTAGAAGAGATAAGCATGTTCCCCATAAATAGGAAGAGAGGACTGAGGAGGAAGATATCTTGTGAATTGAAAGAGGATTGGGGTCCTTAGGCATTGGGAGAGAACAAGGTCTCTCGAATACCTGGATTGTACTGGAGTTTGGTATAATAAAGATAATCTTTCCTCAATATCCGATAGAGTTTCTATCAGAACTATGCAGTACTTTGCTTTTTGGAACAGAACGTTCCGCTGTGTTCAGTTATAACACTAAAATTGGTGTATGTTTCCGCTTGAATAGTTCCATTAATTATCGAATTGAAGTGAGTCACTTTTTTAATTATGTCATGTTCAATTATCTTTTCTAAAATACATCAATCATAAAACAAAATTCATGTTACATTGTGTTTGGTTTTAATTTGTTTATAGGACACTACCTTCGAGTTTTTCGCTTATATTTTTTGTATAATTTTTTTCAGGTTCGCGTGTTTACTTTCACAAAAAATAATAAAAAATTGTCATTTGATTTCACATCAAATTTAGGGCTTTATATTTTTACTTTCATGGAAGGAAAACGGATTTATGTTGTCTTTTTCCAATTGAACTGTCTGAGTCAAGGTTAAACCATTGAATTGATATCTCAGGCCTCTGACCAGATTCATTTCCAGTCTGGATTGGGGGGGGGGGGGGGGGGAATGTAAACCATAACAAATGAATGACATGCAGTCCATGGATAAACATTATTTTTAGTGACACAGATTACAGTTATACAGCAAAGTGACAAAATTTTCCTGACTATTCTTCAGTTAGAAGATTGGGATCAAAACAGTATTTTCTCTTGATACATCTCCAATGCTTGGATGATTTTTTCAATGAACAATTTCCTGTGCAATCTATACCTGCACATGTAGCATTCACAAAAAAAAAAAAAAAAAAAAAAAAAAAAAACCTATAATTAGGGGGTTTAGGATTTAAGATGTTACTGAAAATAAAATTAAAAAAAAAAAGTAGCAAAACTGCTAGATGATGTAAATTTGGCATACTTAATTGCAGCTTCAAGTGTCCTTGTAGCATCTGTCATGGAATCTGTGGTCACAGTGTGTAAGCGAAGCATTAGCTTTTATTATAAAATCTAAGTCAGCTAGAGATAGAAGAGTAACACAATATAATATAGTATCTTTTGGTAAATTTTTATCTTATAATAATTTTATACGGTTGAGTCCATGCTTTTGTGGATGGACTACATGACTATTTTATAAATATCAGGTGATGCTTTAAAGAGCCCCACTATACAAGTGGTTGAGCTTTTTGCCCATTGGAATCGTGTAACTGACTCAAGATGCATGCTTGGTGCAATTAAAATTTAGTGAACTTGCCGGGGTCAATGGAGGCTCGATTGATCAAACTCTAGATAGAACCCATGAACCTAACTTAGCAGATATAATTGTAATCATGTAAATTTGTAGCTCCAACTCAAAATGGAAGTTGTTTTGGTTACATTGATCAACTGACTCCAGGACAACCAGAATATCACCCAAAATATTTTCAAGTTAAGGCATAAGTAGGGAGGATCTTTCAATGTTACAGTTACATCACCTCACAAGTGTGTACTCCTATTACTGATATAAAAACATAGTAAAATTAACAAGCTTATGCTAAAAGAAAGTGCAAATTATACCAATTTTAGGAAGATATATATTATCAGAAAGCAAACATATTGCAAAATACAATTATTTATTCACAATCAGTTCCATGTTTCTACGTTCTTGTGCAACGATACAAACATCATTACCTAGCAATTTCTGGTCTTGTTTAGAGGTTGTAGCAAATTCTGCAAGCATCTTTTGGCATTCGTCTTGCAACTCCTTCACAGCCTTTCTTTCCACACTAGGGACTGGAGGCACGTCCCCATCTGACCAAGTTGGCAATGTTCGTGCTGCAGCTATGACTGCTCCATTGACAAAAGTATCTCCAGGGTTTGATAGACGATCTGTTATAAATTTCATATTGATATGCTCAATAATGCCAATTTGAACATACAAAAGTGTAACGAAGCAGATTCCAGAAAGAAAATTCAAATGTCCATACTGTTATGGTAATACTCTTCAGGAAGGCCAGATATATTGAAGATTGACAGGAAGGAATCCAAATGAATACGTGCATTTCCTGAGAATTTGATCACATCCCAAGGATTCTGCAATTATAAGCAACTCCTAGAATTAGAACTACATTTCAAGATTCAATATATCTAAATACCAAACATGAAACATATATAAGTTTACATGAATTGTTCATCACAAGAACAGCAAAAGAACAAAATCACATAAATACATCAAAGAAGCACCTGCATACGGACTATTTTGCAGTGACCATGACCATGAACAAGTAATACAAGATACGAGACGAATTTTCTCAGGCAAATTAGGTTGGATCTTCAGTGGATGGGGCATCAAATCTAGGATACTGTATCTGTGGGAGAAAGTTTAGTGTATTTGGTGCTTTTCTATTTTCACTTTTAGATGATATGTCTTTTTCAGTGATACATGCTATACATACACTTCAACTGCTGCTTTTAAACAATCGGATTGCCAATAACAAGAGTAACATGTAATTTCCATATACCAGGTTTTGAAAGCATTAAAGAATGAAGAGTCAAAAGATAAGATGTCGTTATCCCTAGAGAAAATGGATGCTGACTTTCATTTGGCTTTTCAAAATGCTGTAGGGAGAGAGGAGAGGCACTTATTTATTTTCAATTAAAAAAGAAAAGGATTGAGCCGAATACAATAAAAAGATACTTTTTGTATATATTAAAAATACTTATTATTTTTCTATAGAATACTTATTATTTTTATATATATATATTGTAACAGAACCCACCACAATAATATTTTTTTTTAGGGCGATAGTTTTGAAAAGACAGATTACCTATCTTTTCTTGAAGAATTTCTTGGGAATCTTGCAAGAGCCAATCGTTCTTTTTTCTCTGACAAATGGTCAGAACTTCATCTAGGTTCGAATCCTACTGAGGGAAATTGACCACATTAAAATTACCTTCTAGGAAGGTCTGTTTGATATCCAAAAACTATTCAGCACGGATTCCTATTTCTCAACGATATCTCACGACCAAGACAATTGGTTGAATCCCGTGAAACCATTTCATAGAAGTTCATTGATATCCTCTTTTTATAAAGCAAATCGACTTCGATTCTTAAATAATCGATATCACTTCTGCTTCTATTGTAATAAAAATGGTGATATTGTTCCTCCATTGATCAAGAATTTCGATTTTTGGGAAGTATCATGGTCATCCAATAATAAGGGTTTCCTTTTTTTCAAATGAAAAATCTTTTTGGTAATAGTAATTATGGAAAATGGTAAGAAAATGATCAATTCTTACTACAAATCAAATAATAGGATTTCTCAATGGAAAAAAACGTAGATGAAAATTCTCAGTGTACATTGACAAATTATTGAAAGGAGTGGCTCTTTGTATGACAATATTAGAGGGAACAAAGTGAACACTCGAGAGTTTGTCAAGAGAACTTAAGCTCAACTAGAAGAGAGAGAAAGATTTTTTTCTCTTTTCCCCACCAATGGGATTTGTCATGGTCTTCAGTCCAGTCATATGTACAGATCGTAAGAGTGCTTGAACTCCAGTGTGCTAACGAGGGACAAAGAGAATTAGCAAAGAAATTTTCACAACAGTAGAGAAAGAGGAATAGGTAAGTAGGTCAAAGCAAGAAGAATTAAATTAATTAGGAAATTAATATCATGTTTTTGGAAAGGACCCTGAATACCTAACCAAAACTAAAGCGTAGAGAGGACTCCTTTTTGCTAAAACACTGATTAGATTTTGCTACATGGCTTAAAAGTAAAAGACAAGGAAATCTGATGTTGTAGTTCCACAGTCATGCTCCAACTTTTATATAGATATAATAGATGGTTGACAATGGCATCCATGATGCTTTTCTTTTTATTCCCCTTTATTAATGAACATTTTCATGAGCTTCTCTTGCAATAGCTGAGGGTCTCAGCCCACAAATATTCAGGATAAAGAACCAAAAAATATAGAACATTCCTTTCATCAAGATTTAAAAGGAAAGAAAATTACCACAGGCGATGAAAATCCATATCTTTGCATGAACATGTCATTCTTCTGCGAACTCATGTAATTGACTGTCATCTGTTACAATTTTGACACCATAATCATGATTACATGTCCCACAATGAATACAAATTACAAAGAAAATAAACAAGAAAGGAAATATTTTAGTTTCACTAACATAAAAGCAGTTATGCTTTAAAGTCATGTTAACCAATCTAATAAATAGATTGACTAATTAATAATTTTCAAGCTTAGGAACAATAAATTTCTATTTCCATAATATTGAATATAAGTACAAAATATGAAGATATAATTACACAAAAGCTATTGAAAGAAGTTGTGACATAAGATGCTTGACATTTTGAGGAAATGGTTGTCTTCTCAACTTCAATTTCTCTTCTTCTTTTTTTTTTCTACTCCTTGTTCTAGAGGTTTTTAGCAGTAACAAGGAGTTGTGGACTTTTGCTCTCTTTTGTTGTTTTAGATGCATATATCAATACAGTATAAAATGAGAGTCTTCAGAAGGAAATTTTTTACCTGATTATCTTATCTATATGATCCTGTTTTCTAGCTTTTGTGAGTATTTTTTGGCCAATGGGTGGTCTTGAGGTTTCTTTAGCAAATATGCAAAGCAATTGTAGAGCCTTCTTGAGCTAATATCGCCTTTATTTCTTTTTACATTTCTTTTTTCTGTTATTTTCATTTTTTTCTCTTTTCTGGGTATCTTTAGGAGGATTATTCTTTTATTTTTTCTGTTTTTCTTAATTTTCTTACTAAAGTCAATTGTTATCACCCTACACCTTGGAGAGCATTCTAGAACACTATGGAAGTTTCTAGAATTCAATAACATTCTAGACTGAGTACATGTGAAGCAATGAGAAGTAAAGGTGCAAATGGCTTAGATAATTAGAGTAATGAAAAACAAAGGTTGTAGAGCCATCACCTTGCATTAGGTATAATCATCATATCATTAAGGAGGTGGAGCTCTTATAAATAGGAGAAGTCATTCTATGTACAGCCATAGTGAGTATGCAAGGTTCCTTTGTACACTAGCCTACATTGAGAGTTTGGCATTCATTTGATATACACCCTATCTGTCTATATTTCTCCTGCCTTGTGAGATTAATTAATGTTACAAGACATAAAATATATCTACACTTAGTAACATTCCCTAGAAGCAGGGCATCAATAAAAATGCATATTATAGAAATCTCAGAATTTGAAGAATGAGGTTAAAAAAAGAATGGTATTCCTTTCTGAACAGACGATACAACAATGGGTTATAAATTCGTCTAGGATATAAATGCATTCCTATTTACAATAAATAATTAAGCTAATGCCAATGCAATAATAATAATTAATCCAAGACACTTTAATACAATTTGTTATTTGAATAGAACTCTTTCCTAGGATATTTAATTGAACACATTTTTCATACAAACATCAAATGGTTTACCTCATCTCCCTTTTTAATGCGCTGTCCAGCATTTGTAAGAACCTCAAGCATCCTGTCCTTAAAACGCCAATGGAAAAAACAATTTGGCTCAAATGAATGGTTCAGCATGTCTGAAAAAATAAGACTAAGTTAATCAGCAAGCTAAGTTAAAAAAAAAAATTCTAAGTATGTCATTTTTCGCTTCTGCTCAAAGTGTTTGATGCTTCTTTTTTCAGTGCAAAAAAAAACACTCCATGTATAATTTTATGCTACTTGTTCATCAAGTTTTAATATTAATGAACATCTCAAACGGGGAAATTTTTTTAGTTCCCTTATAATAATACATACTCCTATTACAATTGTAACTTTTTGCTTCGTATGATTATTTTTTGACAGTTTTATTTTTAAATAAAAATAAGGAATTTTCTAAATTTAGAACATTAATTCAAAGGGAGTAAATCCTATAGAAGTATTGAAAATTTGCTCCAAAAACAAATAATACACGTCATCAGAAAATAGAACTAAAGTAAAATTATGAAGATAAAAGATTCATCTAATTATATCATGAGTAAATAAAGGTATCATATCTAGTCAGACTAACTAAGGTGAATGGATTCACCAGCATAAGGAATCAGCATATTTGCTTCTTGATTTAGAGCACCAATTCTCATCTGCATGTTAATACATCGTGACTGTGCAACACTTACAGCCCAAATGAACCTTTGAGGATCACGAGCAAGACACTTTATTTTAAGGGGTGCAGCACTGTGCTAAACGAGATTAACACAATTTGTTAAAACATAATAAGTTTTAAGCATAACGGAAGACTAACAAATTCAACAAAGACAATTTGCTCTATACCCAGTTATTCTCCCAGAATTCTAAGGCTCTTTGTTGCTGGTTTCTCATAGTTGAAGCAAGACGGGGATCCTGCAGCTCCAAAAGTTCCTCCTGGTGATACAGATCAACAGATGAGATATCATAAAACCGTTACTAAAACTATTTTAAGTTCCAAGTTCCAGAATGTAGTGATTCAAATGCATGTAAGTGTATAGAACAAAATCTTTAAAATTGCAAAGGACTCCAGACCAACACAAAACATGTAAGATATGTATCTTGTGGTTCAATGAATATTTATATAGTTATCTTTGAGGTTTTCATTATATATACATGCATACATACATATATATATATATATATAACCTACAATGACTTGAGTTACAGCTTACAAACATTGGCAGAGGAAAGTTGTTAAAGTTAGTCAAGTGCTATCCATAAAGTAAAATAAGTTGCTAGCTGATTTCTTCCAACCTAATTTTTGTACAACCCAGTCAAATATCTTAAGGTAAGAACTAAGAACCAAGTAAAGTAAAAGGTCTCTTAAATCTTCGCAGAACATCAGAAGGACAGTAGACAACTTGCATGTCATAAAACATATTACTAAGAATAATTAATTTTCACAGTCTTATGATCCAACTTCAACATGGAAATAGCACATGAAAATATTTTGAAGGAAAAAACTTCGAACAATTAAACATCTATTACATACATGATCTCCCTTGTATATAAAGAATTGTCCAGTAATAAGTTCAAAACAGGGATACCCCTATCCAACCAAGGTAACTGATACAGAGACCAATTTGTTTTTTACACACCTCTGAGGCTAGAAGTAAGCTAGTGCATTCATCTGCACTGGGTAAGAAGTCGCCATACAATTGCCAAAAGTTGTCTTCACAGTCAAACGCAAATAAGAGAAGGCATGCTAACCTTAGGTCCCAATCTGTCTGCCACAAAGATTTGCACAATTACATTAAGCAGATGACCAGAAGATCTTTTTACTTTTTTAGCAGATACGACAGTTAAAACAAAGGGTGGCACGTAGTTAGCATATGTACTTCTCATGAAAACAACCAAGCAAATTGGTTATATCTTATGATGAACTAATGAACTTAGAGGAGAATTCCAATTACCTCTGGATTTGTCGAGTTGATAATATCAAATATTGGATGATCCATGGGAATTATATCAGGGAAAAACATCCATGGGAGCTTCTTGCTTATGGTTAACATCAATTCAAGAGGAATTTCCATTATAACCTGCCCAAATACATCGTTAGGGAAAACATCCATGGACAACTACTTTGAATAAAATCATAAAGTATATTATACAAATAACTAAGTAAAAAATCCTATAAGTTGACTACACATGCAATCATTTTACAATGTGCCACCTCCAGCAGTCATGAAGATTATATCTAGCAGAATGTAAGGGGAGTACCATCACTTGAAGCAATGTTAAAGCTACTCACCCTTTCTCGGCGAAGAGGCTCTACATCTTTGGAAGCATACACACCAAAACCATCAGGCCCTTCCTTAAACTCAACTCCATAAGCTCGCACACTTCGGACATAACCAATCTTGTAGAAATCAGGATCTGCAGGCTCCAACTACAGGAACAAACAAAATTAACAAAAAGAAAAGAAAGAAAAATCTTAACTGAGTGTCTCATCAAAATAGAAGACCCTTGAAGAATTCATCCAAATATCAAAATTAAGTATTATGAGCATAAAAGCACATCATCAAATTATGGAAACAGCAGTCGCTCTACCAGATTGAGTGTTATGAACATAAAATCGCATCAAATTATGGAAACAGCCCGCACTCTAACATGTTGAGTGTTGTGAACATAAAAGCACGTCAAATTATGGAAACAGTGTTACTTACAAACCATCAAAACAACAACCAACCAGTAAACAAGTGCGAGGCGAAAAACCAAAAAAGCAAAACAAAAGATTTTTACCTCAGAGGATGATGATTCTTCAACTTGGGGAGGCCGAAACAATGGAAATGGGGGTGCATCAACCAAAGCTTTGATGGGTGGTGCTTTGTTTCGAGCATGAGAACCAAATGAGTAAGTGGGTCGGCACAAGAAGCCACTGCGCGAACCTTTGAACTGTTTAGAAAGAAAACAAAGTTGGGAAGAGGTTCAAATAAGGAGACACAAAAAGGATGGGAAAAAAGGAAAGAAAAATGAACCTGGGTGTTGGAGAAGAAGGTCTGGGTTGGGTGATAAAGAGGAAAAGAAGCCATTGGAAATTGAGAATGGAAAATTAAAGCATGTGTTGTTGTTGTTATGTGTAGCAGTGTGAATAGTTATGCAAATCCAAATGACAGAACAGAGTGTGGGTAGAGTAGAGTGACAACGTTATCCGGTCTGGTTTTCGATTCCAGCAGCATAGGTCATGCCACTCCTTCAAAATATATCATTTATGAAAATTTTTATTTCTTGTTTCAAATATTTTTTTTAGATCTTATTTTGTTAACACACTCTCTGCGTGTTTTTTTTTAAGGTGTACTTCGTCCATTCTTTTTCATCAACTTTATTTTATAAAATTAAATAACTATTAATTTTTATAACTCTATTCTAAATTTATTCAGTAACAAATTATAAAGAATTAAAATAATTAATGCCACCTCTAATTTTGTATAAAAATTATATTTTATATTATTAATTTTTTTTAGAATTTTGTTAAAGATAAAACTTCAGTATTTTTAGTGTTGTTTATTAATTAAAATTAAATTTTTACTTGGATAATATGTTATAAATTTAAATATAATTTTTTAATTAAATATAATTAATTTTAATTAGTGAACGATATCAATAGTATTTAAATAACATATAAATTTTTATTTTGTTGATAACTTTAGTTTGAATTAATAAGATGGGTTTACCCAATCAAGTCAATTGGATTGTGTTTAACAAAACATAATTCTTATACTTTAATTTCTGAGTTTTAATTAAATTTGGATGTTCTATCTAATCAAGTCTAATATAAGTTAAATATAAATAAAAAATTTAAAAAATAAGTTTTGTTAGGCTTGAACATTATTTTTTTATGTTTTAATTATATTTTTTTTATTTATTAAATCATAAAAGATCATTCTAGACTCGAATCGCTCAATTTATCAGCCTTAACTCTAAAAATTATTTTTAAATAACTAATAATATGAAATTTTATTGAAAAGGTAATAAATGTGATAAATATTATTTTTAATAGAATCTTAGTATTATTTGTTGCATAAATCTAACTTTATTAGTTTGAGTTAACAAAATTATTCATTTTATATTCATATTTATTATAATATTTGCATTAATACAAGATTGATTTACTATTCATATAAAGTGAATATATTATTACTTAATATATAAATCATTAATGTGGCTATTAATATTATGAGTATTTTTTAATATAATAATTTATAATATATAAATATTTGTTAATAATATTAATAATTGATGATTTGTTTTTTATATAAAAAAATATTAAACATTATATAATAACTTATTTAGAAAATTCAGAATACCATTTTTTAATTACTATGTAAAGCATCAAACGTCACAGGAGATAAGAAGAAATGCCTATTTTTAAGTATTCACCCTTAGACAAGTTGTGAATGAGTATACAAATAATCTCTTAAAGTAATATTTTGTTAATATTTAATATCTACAGATTTTTTTTTTACAATCTAGTTTTCAATCCTTTTTAAGAATTAATTAATTCTAAAAGTGTTAATATATACCATTGAATCTATAAAATATATTGATTTTATTACAAGTTTTTTTTTTTTTTTAAATGTCAAACTCTTTAAAATAATCGAATCTGTTTGTATATTTTTGTTTCAAACGAAATTGTACTATAATAGTCTGGTTTTTTGTTCCTTTCACAGAACTTCCCTTCTAACTTAATTTTGAGCATACTCCATTTTAGAGAGTAAACAAAAAGGCTCTTACACTTGAAAATACGAATGATGAATGATATTATTAACAACAAAGAAACTTTTCCCATTTGGTAATAATGAACTACAATTAATTAGAGGACGTAGTGAGCAATGCTCTTGTTATTTTTGCAACTATTATTCTATATGGTTTGAGAATTTTCTAAGTTCACACTTACTTTACTCACTATATTTTGTGTAGTGCCTTTGTTTTGTGAGGTTTACTAATTGAATTTGTGACACTCAAAAGTATAATGGTTTAAATAAAATACTAATGTTAATAATTGTCTTAAGGTATGAAAAAATATTAAAAATTGTTATTAATATGTTTTATCATAATTTCTAATATTTTCAATCAACATCCTAGACACTTAAAAGACAGCATCAAGATTCGTATCCACGTGTAATATTGTGTACCGTATTATTAGTTAAATTAAATATTGTAATGTGTCTTTTTCTACAAACGAGTAAATAATAATATTAATTAATAAGATTTTAAAAAATAGTAAAATTTATGATATCTATTTCAGTTAAAAAAGATTATTCTAATTATAAATATACTAAATATGTAAAAAAAAAAAAATTATGTGTGCGTATGTGCGTGGGGAGTGTTATGGGTTAACACAGATTCAAATTTAGAATCATGAACATAAAGTCTATTTGTTTCGAGTAAATTTTTACATATCTATTAAGTCTGAATTTAATTATTATCCATAATAATTAAAAGTTGTATTAAATCTTGACAAATCCGAATTGAGGTATATGAACCTACTCATGAGGTAGGGTAGGGGAGGAGAAAGTTTTTGTTTCTTTTACTCTAAAGGAGATAACTTTTTCAATATTTATATTTTTTTTTTCATTCATAGAATTGTAACCTAGCTAGTGATATGTGAAACTACTTAAATTTGGATAATAAATAATTGTTTTAAATTCTCAAAATACAAAATTAAAAGCCTCTATTATTTTTACTCTTTGTTTTTTATTTTACAATAAAATATTATAATTCAATATTAATTATTAAGCTAATATTTAATAATATATTAATGTCATTGATTGTCTCATATTTTCTTTATTATGAATAAATATTAATTGAATAAAATTTTATTAATAATAAATTAATGTCTTTAATTTATTTTTTAAAATTATTAATTAAAGACAATTTTCGAATATATATAGATAAAAATATCATATATAGATAGATATCCAATTTAATATATTTTAAATATGTATCGTGCCCGTTAATTATGAGTCTTTAATAATAGACAACTTGCTCAATACAATTTCATTAATTTATTTTTTTTGGTATTTTAAAATTAAAACTTTGGCGTCAGTGACATATATTTTGATTATACAAATTCATTGCACCAAGTTAGCTAGCCGTTGGGGCAAAACTGTTCTTCTCTTTTATTTATGCACTCACCCTCTACACTTTTCCATCTCTGTCTTCTAATTAATTATTATTATTATTATTATCTTGGTACACATGGAATTAATGCTCTGAAAACCACCAATATAAACTGTAATTTCTTTCCAATTAATATTTTCTCAAATTTAATATCATTACGCACAATACATATCACTTTCCATAAACTCCTCTATGATTTCCTAACCTTGTTAAAGAGGTAAATGCGTATATATCTGGAAAAACAATTAAAATTTTTCTCATTTACAATCGAATGCAAAATTCAATGGCAAAATTTGCTACATTTAATTCAGAGATATGAAGAGGCCGGGCATATATAAGATGCCCAACGAAGTCAGGATTCTCACACACAGAACAGAGGCAATTAGAAAAGAAAAAAACTTCACTCTTTGCAGGTGCCCTTTTTTTAAGCTTTAAAAACATGGATTTTTCAATGGAGAGCTCTCAAGGTTTTAACAAGGATCAAGATAGTCAAAAGTTCAATGAGGAAAAGCCATCCTACAACCTAACTTTTGATCAGCAAGGGCAACTTGAAGCGTAATTTTCTTGCTTGTTAATAATATTCTTCTTTTGTATTTATTTATTTTTTTCATATTCTTTTTGTATTTAGTATTTAATTTCTGTATCAATACACTAACATCAATTTGAGATTTTTGTCTTCATTTTTTTAAATAAAGATTTTTCGAGCGGTGCCCAAATCCAGACGAAACCCAGAGAGATCAATTAGCCAAGGAGCTTGAGCTTGAGCCGAAACAAATAAAGTATTGGTTTCAGAACAAGAGAACTGAAACAAAGGTGATCATGTATTTGTTTTATAGTATATATAATACACATCATTCAAGCGAGTATTACAAGCATAGTTAAGTAATGCTGATCATGTTTTACTTGTATGATATCGTAAAAATTAATCGGGTTGAGTAAGCATATAACATTGCAATTTGGATTGGAAATAAACTAAAGAATACAAACTTCTTGATCAGTGTACTTGGCTCATCTTTTGGGATGCCACTCCTCTAGAAGAAGGACATGGACTTAGGAAACTTTTAGAAGATTTTATTTGAATCTACAAAAGTGACTTCTAACCTTCCTCTAAATATTTTTTCAGTTTATGTAATTTTATCAAGTACAGGCTCTTATTTTATAAAAAAAAATATTGAATAAGTATTTAGTTAACATATTTGTCCAAACATACTTTAATATTTAAAAACCGAGCAAGTAGTTTTGCTAATTTGATTGATTTTCTTTTGATGTGAATCATATATTTAATTAGCTTTATGAAGTGTGACCGTGATCGAAGGGCTACAATGGTTCTTTTTTTTTTATGTGTGTGAGAATAATTTTATATATTCATGAGTTATTTTCAGCATATTTCTAATCGTTCTTGTAAAGTTCATGGAAATACAGATGTCTCTCCCTGCGTCACAGGCTCCTACCCTTGAAGAGGTGAACCAAGAGAACAATAATTGTGATTCTGATCAAGCTGATGCAACTTTGAATGACAATGGAATCTGCGACCCAATGAGTGGAAGTGAAGAATCTCCAGAGATGGAAAAGGCACAGATATTAAAGGTTGCAACTGCTGCTATGGAAGAACTCCTTAGGCTTACGAGTGAACCCTTTTTATGGGCCAAGTCTTCAGATGATGTAGGATTTGTGCTCATTCGTGAAAGATATGCAAAAATGTTTCCCAAGGTTAACGATAGTTTGGAAGGTCCAGATACTCATGAAGAGTCTTCAAGAGATTCAAAAATAGTGAGGATTGGTGCGATGCAATTGGTTGAAATGTTTTTAGATTCGGTGAGCTTTCTTATAACACTTGATAAACACTATCCTCCTTCTTTTATATTTAGATAGATAGCATACTTTGTGAGGATTTGATTTCTTTATATGAGAAAAGTGTACTTTAAAAAATAAAATGTATTTACAACTGTTTATACAAAAATCAACGGTTAAAAATTAACAATTCATTTTTTTATTAATATCTTTTTATCTATTTTATTCTCTAAAAGACATTTCTTCACTATATCAGTCAAAAAGCATTTGTAACGAATCGTATAGAAGATTTTAGTTTATTATTAAGAATTTTAGGTTTTTATTGGATAACGGGTAGTTTAGAATTTCAGAATTTGTTTCAAATATCAAAATAAACAAATCTTCGTAGTTTTAGTGTAATTCATTATTTATCCTCACTCTATACTTTTGTATAATTGTAAAAAAAAAAATAGAAATTCACATTTTTATTTTTACATATTTCTTTTTTATTATTTTTTTAAAATTACATTCATTATTTATTATAGTAATAATAATAAATATGAGAGAGAAAAAAGAAACTCTTTTTTTTTTACTAGGAATAGGAATTTGGTTATTGGTCCATTTTCAGTTTGTACTTAGTAATTAGTAATATTCGAATGAAACAAAGATTCAGAACAATTAATGTAATTCTATTTCTAGATTTGTATATATATATAGCAAGCTTAGAAGTTAGTTATAGCATCAATCATTGAAGTCAGCAAACATATTTTATCTTTTACATCACTTCATTTTAAAAAGAGATAAAAAAATTTTGTAAATGAATAAATTCTCTAAAATAAAAAGTTTACTTTATAGTCATTTCACCATAAATTAGAAACCAAGTTTGCGTTTTATTATATATATATATATATATATATATATATATATATATATATGTGTGTGTGATAAACGTATATAATAATTCCTACTTATCTTCCAAAGTTTTATAATTAATTTTAGTCACCAGAATATGATACTCTTTCATTCCAGGACAAATGGGTCAATTATTTCACACCAATCGTTTCAAAAGCAGAAACAGTCGAAGTGCTTGATGCTGGTTCGTTAACAAATCGAAATGGAGCCATGCAAGTGGTATATAATTGCATGCAAATATTACTTTATCTATGTTTCCTTTAATTGCATATATGGTTTATTTATAGACATATGGTAACTAAAGATTATTTTTCCCCTCAGATGTACGAAGAAATGCACATTCTTTCACCTCTATTGCCATCTCGGACATTCTTCTTCCTTCGTTATTGTCAAGTAGTTGGTGTTGGCGTATGGGCAATAGCTGATGTGTCACTTGATTCCTTTGGAGGGCACGTTCCTCATTGTTCTGCTAGGAGGCTTCCCTCTGGGTGCATCATCCATCAACTACCAAATGGGTCTTCCATGGTATTTATAAAAAAATTTAGAGAAAAATACATGTCTCAAATTTTGAATGTGAACACCGTCATCTTTATGGATGTAGCACTCAGTTTAATTCAACCACGTTTTTAAAAGGATAAAAAATATATGAATAAATATGTCACTAATGATATCAAAATGCTAAACATGTTTTGGGAAGAAAACTTTAGTGATTAAAAAGTTAGGATTTTGCACTTCTTATGTAGGTATTTGTGCACATTGCATGTATAAGAGAAATGGGAGATGAAATAATATGTGTTGAATAAGGTGTTAAATTGAACTCTACAACTATAATTGTGGCTACAATATCAAGGTTTTGGAGGACTGTGCAATTATATCATGATTCATGACCACTATTAAGCATGGTTGCATCAGTCATATATATTTGTCTACAACATTAAGGTGTTAGAGGTCTTAATTTGCAATCACTACAATTGTAATTTAAGACCTTGATATAATAGGTGTGATATGATAGAAAAAGAAGAGAAAGATTATGAAAAAAGTGCAAGGAGCATTAAAAAAACAAAGGTTGATAAAAAGAAATACATTTGTTTTGATATTTAATAATGGCAACTATAGTAAGCTTTTATGATGAAATTATATGCTTTATTCTAGGTTACTTGGGTTGAACATGTGAAAGTGAACGATAGGATGCAAACAAGCCCCCTCTATAGAGATCTTCTTTGTAACAATATTGCGTATGGAGCAAAACGGTGGCTTTTGGCACTTCAAAGAACGTGTGAGAGGTTTGCATGCACTTCATCAATTGAAAATTCACCCATTCATGATGCTGAAAGAGGTTACTATCTATTGTATCACTTCGCTACCTATACATTATTTATATTCAACTCTTTGATCCATTTAATATGCTATAGCTAATCTATGTCTTCATTTGTTCAGCGATAATGTCAATTGAAGGAAGGAAGTGTGTCATTAACCTCTCTAATCGAATGGTTCAAAGCTTTTGTAAAATTTTGAAATCACGAAAACAGGATTCTACACCATTTCTTGAGGAAAACAAGAACGAGATTAAGGTTTCCATTCGCATGAACACAACACCAGGCCAACCGCATGGCTTTGTTGCCACTGCTATTACTTCCATTTCGCTTCCTGTCCCTCCTCATAATATTTTTCGCTTCCTCAATAGTACGAAAAGACGACACAAGGTTAACAGATTATACAATCTTTATTTTGATTATTCGAACGTAAATGTGTGAGTGCATGCATGCAAGTGCTCATGTGTGACAGTAAAAAATTTTATCCTTAAAAAAATTATGATTTTATTACTTGGTCATCTAAATATTGTGAAATTTTTCATTTAATCTCACTCTTTGTTTAGTTTTCATTATGAATTCTCATAAAAGAATTACAATTTTTTTAACCTTGCATTACAAGAATGATATGTAGTTGTTATTTCTCTTACACGCAGTGGGATGTTCTTTGCTGTGAAAATCGAGCGGCTGAGATTGCGTACATCTCAATTGGTGGAGCTAATGCTGCTAATCATATTTCATTTATTCAGGTATATATAATTTTACCATCCTTTTTATTTGATTAGTGTTGTATTTGAATATATCATATATGGATAAAGCACGTTCTTAGTACAATGGTTGCAATCCACATGTCATAGGAAAAATAAAAGATCAAAGGAAAGCGTCTTTCACATTCTTAAATATTGTGAAGCTTATTGTCAAATATGCAAGTTTATTGGGTATATAGTGTAGGAGATTACTATACGCATAAATTAATTTTACACGTTCTCCAACACGTACGGGTTTAAACTCGTCTTCGTTCTTTTTAGAGATGTTGCTTCAAATTAATAGATTTAATTAAACTCACTATAAGGAAATATGAATATATTAGATAATGCATTTTAAAGCTTGTTTGATCATAAGATGAAAAATAATAAAATATAAAAAATAAAATAAGATATGTTTTTGTTTTATTTTGCAATTGATACATATTAAAATAACAAATTAAATAGATTAAGTTATCGTATTATGTTTATAATTTTAGACAAGATTTTCCCCACAAAATAAAATTTATAAGAGTATATGAGGGGTAAACTTATTATATTCTATTAATTAAATAAATATTCAAAATAAAATATCATGTTCAACAAATAAAAATAATAAAATGTAGGTTGATCAATTAAGTCATATGTCCCATAAAAAAACATTTCTTTAATTGCTTTAAAGTGTATAGCAGAAAAAATAATTTCGCTTCAATATATGTGATACTGAATTTACCTTTTAGAATCTAATAAAAGTCATTGTTATTAATTATTTTCATAAAAATAAATTTAATGAAATTCATTACTATATTCATGTGGAGCAGACTCTCAATGCAAGAGAGAGCAACGTGCTGGTTTTTCAAGAAAGTTACATAGATTCTCTGGGATCATATGTTGTGTATGCTCCAATTGATGTAACAAATGCAAGAAGGATTGTAAATGGAGAGGGCTCAATGGTACATATTCTGCCTTCAGGCTTTCTAATATCAGGAGATGGTCGTGAAGTTGCTGAAACTTCTAATGGTGGAAATGCCAATCGATCACGAGGCTCGTTGTTAACTATTGGTTACCAAATACTGATTTCAAGCAAACCAAAAACTCGACACCAAAATATGGAAACTATGGAACTTACCAGTCGACTAGTCATCTCAATAGTTGAAAAGATTAAGAATGCTCTCAAATGTTCCGATTAGGACTAATCTTTTGGTGAGGCATTTTTGCTATTAGACTCAAGGATATTATCCATGGTTTTAATTATAATAAAATAATTCAAGGATCTATACAGAATATTTTCCATATCGAATTTTGAGATACGCTCACAGAGCTGTGAGATTTATATTTTGCATTGAAAAGTAGGCCAAATCTGTAGCTCTTTTGATAATTTTCTATTAATAATAACTTATATTTATTCATTTAGTCGCACTGACTCAACTCTGATAGTATCACAATCTGCTACTTGAAATTGGGAAGTGGAGGATGCTTCTGCATGTTTTCCCTTGCACCCTCGAAAGGTCAAAATCGAGTAAGATCTTTCACTTATAAACGAAAAACCATTGCACCGACTGCATTAATATTTTGGGTAATTTCAGCGTCATGATGGAACAAATAAATGGGGAAGAACTGCGCCAGTAGGATTTTTATGCCCCACATTGGTTAGATTACTCATATATTATTCTTTATAGTACATCTGACATGGAAATTAGCCCGCCGAGTTGGGCAGCTCCAGCTTGTAACCCATGTGGGGGCAACAAAGTAATGGAACATGGTTCTGGCTTCGCTAGGTTGGGCTGTTGGGTACGCCATGTAGGCCTGCCCGTTCCAAGTTGAGAGTAGGCCCATGGGCCCATGGGATCTAATCGAAGGCATGGATTTCAAGGGCCCTAAACAAGAGGGAACCGCGTGAGGCTGTCTTCACAGAGCAGCGAACACCTCTGGCTCCTAACAGTGGAGGGATTACAGGTCTCTGTACTTACAGCCCAATACGCCTAGTGGTCCTTGCCGTTTGAACCATTACTTTTTTTTTTATTATTCACGTGGTAACTTTCACGATTTTGTGTTTCAAAATTACACAGACTTTACATTTTCCCCAATTTAGTTCAACTTAAAAGCATTTTCTAAAATGATATCGCTTGTTCTGTTCTTATTTAGTATTGGCAAGCCTTTGTATCAATGTCGTCATAAGTTGTACTCCAACATCACGTGAATCCTTATACTGTATCTCAGGTGTGCATTTACATCTCAAAACAGTTCTATTTACAAACTGTGGAAACTGGAATTTACTCTATTCAGAAAATTTCTGTAAGCATTGCAATCGTTCACATAATTATCCTACAGTAAAGTACTCATCTTCCTTCCCTGTCCAATGCATATATCCAGTCATGTATATAATCCATCTCTCGTGGAATTCAACTAGGTAACGAGTTTCCTTTTACTTCTTTTAGCTTATTATGTATGTCTGCGAGCAGAATGCAGATAACGGCAAAATAAGAAGCTTGTTACCGATAAAATGAATCTCAAATCAGGCAAATCAATGGAAGTTGAAGAAAAAATTGAATACCTTTGTATTACACTGTGCCTTGTTGTCGTAAAGGCTGAGCTTCGGCGTGAACTACATTATTTTGCTGGTCTAGTGGCATGTACTGTGACATGATAGCCATGATCTCCGAGTCCATGTAAGACTAAAAAAAAGTAGACAACGGTAATTAGATATAGTGCTAATTTGAATCTTCATTAACATGAATGATGTGTGCATTATCTGTAGTTGAGAATGAGTTAGACTTACCCTGAGCCTATATTTGTAAAACACGTAACCAGCTAGACCAGCACCCACAACAACTGCTATGACCACAAAAGCAAGGAATCGTCCAAATCTTGAACCGCTTCTTTCTGCATGATAAAAAAGAAAAATTCTAATAATTTAGTCTGATGAATTTGAAAACATAGTTTAGTTTTTAATAGGAAAAGGATAAATTTAGATGTTTATATATGCATTCTTTTTAAAGCATACTACATGCATAAATACAAGAATGTGGCAGTAACTCATCTCTCTCATGCAGATCTGTATAATGCACTTTTGAGTTCATATTATAACAAATCAATCTTTTGAAAAAACAATTAAACATGTAAAGACCTAAGTGCAATGACCATTTAGTGTATTTTGAATGAATCCTAGTCATTTGTAGAATTAGGATTGGAGTATTATAAAATTGTCAAGGTTTTCGACTAAAAGTTTAGTTCACTACTAGTTGCTTCACCACTTTGAAGTCCACGGGATGCCATTCATCTATTTCTCATATAAGAATCTCTGACTATAATATCTCACCAATACAAACATCTTGTTCCTTTATATATAGAAGATTTCCCTTGCATTTACATTCGTAACCACCCCAAGTGTCCTTGCAGCTGCAGCCATCACACTGACAAGCACTTCGGTCCTTACATTCATCAACATCTGAATCAGATCAAAAGAGAATTTTTCAGATTGATTAATATTTTTGCAAAACTGATCATAAAAAGAAAATAACAAAATGTTTTTAACTTCCATGACGGATGCAAATATTACCTTCACATTTATGACCATCCCCACGAAACCCAACTGGGCACTGACAGCCATTTACCTGGGACTCCTTTATACAAAAGGGAATTCAGTTAGCCTTAAGGGATGTCACAGAAAGTGGTAGAATAAATTTCAATAACCAGAAAACATAAAAAGAAAAATGAAGATTAGGTTATGCAGTACTGAACTGAGCATGCAGAGAAAGTTACTCCATTTCTTGTTTCCGACCAACACCCACCATTGTTTATAGAACACCTTGCAGGCCCAAAAGCTGTCAAAAATACGAAAAGAATAAACATCTCAGCAAAATCATGGATAGGACCATATCACTTTTGAGTACAGAAGGAAAACAGGTGTCTTCTTATTGTGGACCATGCAAAGACATTATTTTTATTAGTTTTGTTCAGTCTAAATAAACATCAACCAACTTTAGAGATTTTGAATGTTATAGTAATTTATTCCACAGCACCCATACGTAATAATGACATACAAGGCTTTTCAAGGAGAAACAGGTGACTAGCTTGAATAACTCAATACTACCAATGTTGAAATGGGGATTTATATCTTTCAAAAGTTTTCAGTAGAAGTAAAATAGCAGCAGCCCAATACCGAATTGTCATTATTCACAAGATATTAGTAGTATCTGAAGAATGGATAGACCTTTTGCTCATAACTTAATAATGGACCTTTTTATTACGAAGACAGTGCTTATAAAGTGAAAATTACTCACATACTGACTAACAAATAAATAATAATTTTTATAAAATGCTCAACTGGGATTCATATTTCGTTTTCCTATTTTCCAAAGTAAAATGATCTAGCCTACTAATAAAAATGTTTGGGGGGAGTGACTATACTGATCTCCATCCACACTATGTCCAAGTATCAGTAAAATTGCACTTATATTTGGGTTTGAATTACAGTATGAAACAAATTTTCTCAATTGTTTGACATGAAAATTGCATACAGGACGAAATCCAATACCTATCTTGTTTTATGAGAAGAGAATAAATAGTATTGTGAAGTTCTGAAATAACAGGAAGGGAAAAATTCTTAAATTGGCGAGGCATACCCACACATGATGTATAACCATCACCCTTGTACTGAACCCCATTAACAACAGGGCACTCGCAAACTCTTCCCCTGAAAGTATCCTGACAAAGTATAAAGGTATAAATTGCAGCGGATGATAAGTAGACACTCATGGACTGTGATATGTCCTTTGATTCTAATTGTGAGAAAAAATGGTAACAGAAATTCCTTATGGATACCTTGCAAGCAGTTATGTTAGCATATTTGTCTTGCCAACATCCTCCATTTCTTTCAAGACACTCGTTAGTCTCAATATCTAACAAACTCAAACCAGAATGTAAAGATTAGAATATCAAACTCACAATATACTTTTAGAAATAGAAGAATCTATCATCAGTGAAATTCGTATAGTAAAATATTAAGCCCGCTAACCTCCGCTTAGACAAACCGAAGGTTCAGTAGTCTCCTTAAATCCAGAACATATTGCCTTCAGTACAGCAGTTCTCTCCAATTTCCCTTTTGACAAAAAAATAAAATCTTCAGAATTCTGACATACCAAATATGTTCTAGTAAATGATTGTTGATGTTGAGACATAACATATATATATATATATATGCACTACATTACACCAAGGACAAAGATTTTGAAATTCAGTTAACCAAACAACTGAAATAAAAAGGATAGATTCAAGTAATATACAGACAACGAAGGAATAGAAGATGACCACAGAGAAGCAAAATTAAATCAGGGAGAATCTAAACTTCGCCCGTCTGCATCAAGTGAGAAAGAAAACCCAGATTTTTAATATTATAAAGGGATCGGGAAAACCTTAAATTCATAAATAAGAATTAGGGTAAAGCCAGATAATGAAACAATATACTTCTATGAGCTTTTATTATTTCTCTGAAAATGAAACAAGTCTTTTCATATTAACAAAAAACGTGTTCCATTTATGTGAGGAAAGTGATCATGATGGTTGATGCTGCTCTAGTTACAAGACAGAAGCATCATCTAGTTGAAAGTAAGTTCACGGGTCTTTTCAGTTGCCAAGCCAGTGAAACATAAAGAACCGAAAGATATAATAGTTATAGATTCAGAATTTTTAATATGATAACTGGATTTTGACAGCCACATTCAATAATAGAATGCACATGCCTCACATACACATAGTTGAAGATCAGCAAAAGCATGGCGTTTGCAATACACTTCTGAGAATTCAAGCAGAAAATCTATTAAATGGGTACTTAAGTAACTAACCTCTGTACTGGACATTGTTTATAACCAATGTTGGCAAGATAGTGACATCACCACGAGATCCTCTCCCAATCTGAATATCACAAATGTAACAGAAGTATATAAATTATTTAACACAAACAAAAACCAGTCCTGTAATCAACTGGATCTCATGTTTCATTTTACATGGTACTATTAGATGGCAGTTTATATTGTTTTTAATTTTAAGAAGACATAGAGTAAACACTAAAAACATGTTTTATTTTATTTTATTTTTAAACAGTTTCTGTTTTTTAAAAAATAAAATATAGTACTAAAAAAAAATCAAACATGCTCTAAATATTTTACCTGAACTTGTTGCTCACTCTTTAGCACTTCATTCTCCACGTCCGCTTCAGGATCACCCATGCATTTCTTAATTTTCTCAATAGGCAGATCTGTAATATTCAGATAAAACTTTAACAAAAGAAGAGAAAACAACAGAATTCATGCATAGCAATATTAAAAAGAAGTATTTACCTAAAGATTTCATGACATCATCAGCACAATCTTTGCTGTATCTTTTCTCCTTCATAGAACATCTGACATGGAAATCCGTCACATAATCCCACCAGACCCACGAACGGTTGCTCTCATTGGCAACTCTATGGACACACAGCTGCCTCAAATTTTCATATACGACATCCTTCCCTTCATATCCCTCTCCAAAATCTTTCTCTGGATCTGGGGCACAATATCTCCCGCGGTTAATACATTGAGACTTGCACTGACTGCTAAGAACGAAGGGCTGAGGACAAAACCAAGTTATATAGTGTGGAGTGAATAAGGTATAACCACCCCTCTCAAGAATCTGAGCATGACCCTTAAAATTCTTCACAAAATTCATCTGCTCGTCACAACGAGCTCCACATTCATCATTGCTGTTGGTCCAGAACTCATACTCAACTCTGTTATCAGGGTGAGGAACTGACTCTCTCCAGTCTATTCTAAGCAAAACTTCATCTTTGTTATTTAAAGATTCCTTTATCGTATCACCAAAGGATTTCTCTATTAGAGCCGATGGAATTTCAATCTTCTCTATGTATCCATCAGCATCAGAGCTCTCCTCAGGAGAATCCATGGTTATCAGAGACTCCTCAATGCTATCAGTCACCAAAACAGCTGCAGCTCCAGCCAGTTGGGCATGCCAAACTTTCAAGGCAAAATAACACTCTACAAGAATAAATAACTTATACAGTAAGCATCACAAAACTTGGATTCAATAAATTCTAATGAAAACGGATGCTTGAGGCTTCTTATTAAAGATTTTTCTGATCACGTGAGGAACTTTTTTTTCACTAAAACTAGCCCTTCTGTTGACTTTAGGATTCATAAAAAAAACCATATAAACTAAATATATATATACACACACAAAGATAAATTATGGATATACGACACTTTAATTGTGGGACAGAGGGATACACAATATTTTCCTTCCGTGGAAACTTTCATTTTTCTTCCTTTTTTCGCGGATTACAGTAGCCTATATATATATATATATATATATTCCATTTTAAAAAATATAAGAAATTCGAAAAAAAATAGCTGAAAAATGCAAAATTAAAAAAAACGATCAATCAACCGATAAACCTATAATCAATAACTACTTATATTATATCATACACAAATATAATAAATCTCAGAACACTCAAAAAAACGAAAATCAGATGTTCACATAGATAACGGTCAAACAGCTATAATTAGGAAGGTGAAAAAAACTCAATCAAATAAAACGAACGAACGAATTGAGAATACAAAGTAAAAAAAAGTCAACGAAGAGAAAAGATAGATAGGTACCTCCACGATCAAGGAGAAGAATAGTTGGACGATTAGAGCGAAACTTGAAAGGCTTATCGCCATCGAAGACTTTGCAACCGTGAGAGTCTTTATCAGGATAAACGACGGAGCCAACGATGAAGCCTCCATAATCTGGAAGGCCAAAATTACCGATAGCGCCATCGCGCTTTGTTCTGAGCTTGTGCGGTGAGAGAAGCGCGATGCTACTCTTCTCCACTACGAAGCGTCCATCAACAAAGGTAAAAAGGAGCAAAAGGAACAATCGAAAGAGCGTGAGAGCCATGCAGATGCAGGGTTTCACGGTTTGTTGCGGCAGCGAAGAAGAGAAGAGTAAGAAGAAGGACGCGTGTGCTGCAAGAGATTGCAATTGCGAGTGTGGGTATTACAGGTGGAATGTTTTTGCATATAGAGAGAGAGAGAGAGAGAGAGAGATATGGTTTATGGTGCGGAGGTTTGTGTTTCGCAATCAAGCTGTGACGTAAAGCGAAGGTAAACGACAGGTGAAAGGAAGAGGGAGGTGGTGGACGGAGTCAGGGGAGCTAACTTCATAAACTCACACCCACACATTCACGCTTTTCTTTATATTCTTCATTTTTATTTCCATCTTTTTTATTGGAGGGAAATTTTTATAATCGTTTATCTTTTTTTTTTATTTTTTTAACCATATTTTTATTCGTTATTGAGTTAATTTTGTGAAGTAAAATTTCAAGGACTTATTTGATGAAATAAATATAGTATCATTTCTTTTTCTTAATTTATTTCTTATAAAAAAAATAATTACGTATGTAATATATAAAAAAAATGTGCTTGTTATGATTTTTTTAAACTTGACTATATATTAAATATTTTTTCTAAATTATATTAAAATATTAAAAAATATTTATATTTTTTAAAAAATATAACACTAATTTTAATTATTTCACATATACAAGAGTATAGAATTATCTTTTATTTTATATTATAAAAAAAATAAATCACAGGTGAAATATGAGTTTGAACTTAAAAAAAAATAGAAAGTGGTAGGGAACTGATTTTCTTCTTGGCTTTAGAAACTCTCTTTCTTTGCTATTGTTTGATCTTGTTCCGTTTTGTTGTGTGTTGTTTTAGAAAATGAATGAACTGTTATTGTGTTTTGGAATTTTAGCCATAGTAGTACTAATAGAAGAAAGAAACTTAACAAGTTGACGAAAATATTTTTAAGATTTTATCAAAGATTAGTTCTTAGTTTATAATTTCATGTATAAAAAGAAGGGGTTAACTACTTTCTTCATTTTTGTGCAACCATGAGTATACTACCACGGGAGTATCTTATGACTTCGAAAATGCAAGTATGCGCATCTTAATTATTGAAAACAATGGCAATTGCAGAATATGAATAAACAATATTAATGTAAGGCAAATATTAAGACCCTAATTTATATTAACTTTTCAATAATTTTTATAAGACTACAAAATTAAATTAAAATTAACTTATACTTTTATATTATTTTAAAAATTATTTAATTTGACAAGACATTTACTTATTATATGAGTAACTTTAGTTTATTTCTCTTAAGAATATTTTTATAAATATTATGTTCATTAATTTATTTATTAGTTTAAGAATTCTCAATAAGAATATTGGGCCTATTAAATTTTATAAAATTTAAAATAATTTAACCTTTTATAAACAATCTTATTTTAATGTATCATTTTTTAAATATAAGTAAATATCAATTACAAGACTACATGTTTAATTTGTCTAAAATTTAACATTTATAATTATAACTATAATAATGCATAATTTAAAGGTATAATAAGATTTGATGACTATAAAAAAAATTACTAACCAAAAAAGTTAATTAGTTTTATTCTTTAAATAAGACGATCACTTCCCGTTTAATCTTTTAAAAAATTAATTTTAAATTTACAAAAGAAAATTTATTTATTTAATCTCATTTTTTTATAAATATTCATTTAAAAATTTATCTAAAATTGAGCCTAATTAATATTTTAAAACATTATTAATAAACTCAAAATTAAAAGTTTTTTCAAAAAATATAATTAATCCATTTTTACCATAAATTTTTATTTATTGGTTTTTTAACCAATCCCAAATAACTAACAAGACCCATATTTTACTTTAAAAGTTAAAATTATTTAATTATTTTTCATATTACAAATGCCTAAGTTTTTCTGCTTTGTATGTAACATTTGCATTTTGTCGGTATTAAGAAGTTTCATAGAATGTTAAAGTAGTATAAGTTCCAAACGATGAAACCAATAATATATGCATTGATCAAAGGCAAAATTCTCCCCAGGATAACTTTTTTTTTAATTGACTTAGTCTATCTTGACAATGAAGCATCATGGATATTTCCGACTTGTACAATAAATACACTAATGAAAATTCTCATCAACTTTCCTTTCCTTGTCCTTTTAATTTGAGGAAAATTCTTTTAATTGACAATGAGGCACATCGGTTTTGTGGCATAATAATATAATATTGTGAAAAGGAAACAGATTTTTTTTTTACTGAACCCTAAACTACATGAAGAAAAAGAAGAAGAAAATGCAAAGTGAAAAATACATGCTCTAGATTTTAGTATAATTCAATCCCTTCAGAAAAAATTATATGAAACATTTTTTTGACAAACACACAAAATTTTAATTAAGAAATGAGAAAATTCTATTTATTTATTTTTTTCAGTTTTAGGCCAAGTCAATGAAGAAAAATAGAAAACAGAGGAGGCTTTCTATGGTCGTTAATGGTCCATCTTAAAGACTTCTAACGGATAGTCAATGCAAGACGATGATGCTGAAAAACCCACCTTACAAGGCACGTTGAGTGCTTTAAGGGTACAAGACTTTGCAATCTTGATTTTTTTTAACCAATAAGTATTCAGTATACGACATCACATTTGTATTTTTAAATCATGTGAAATATAAAAATATTAATTAAAACTATAAAAAGTTATTAAAATTATGAAACAAACGTGAGCATTTTGATTTAAGTCAATTCTAAGAAATGAAAATGAAAATGAAAATAAAATTATAGTACGATAACATGATTATTTAAAAGATGATAAAATAATTTTTTTTAATGTTATTAAAAATAATAAACTATAGTTTAATATATGATAATGAATTAACTAAAACCGCCACATGCATGATGCAAGTGTATACGTCTATATATTTAAAATACTGGTAAGAATACCTTAGCACAAATTAAAAATCAGAGGAGCATAACACAAGTCAACTGCATGGTAGTTTTTCCTGCCAAAATACATGTTATAAAATAAGGCACAAGAAGGCCCATATAGAGTAATGAGATAAAAAAAAAAAGACAAATAATTGAAATTGGTAATAAAAGAGCATTACATATATACGAGGGACATTCTAAATTTCTTTCTGAATTTGTTGTTAATCCTAGGTTAGTAAATAGTTGATAGTTAAATATGTTAGAGTAATTAATATTTCTTTATTTTTTAATATATATTAAATATTTTATTTTTAATATATATTAAATTATATTCATTGGTGTTTATTTAATTTTAAACACGAATCAATTGATTGGTCGGGATAGGAATATTTCAAAACTCAACCTATTGAGTTTTTGGAACTTGGTCTGATCTCATATTCCAAGGAAAAGAAAAGAAAAACCATAAAAATTTGTCTTATTTAATGACCTAATTTTAATTAAGGATGAGTTCATATCAACCTTCGCACACACGCAGAGAGAGACAGATATACAAATTTGACTGGTTGGGTGAGTTCTATTTTTATATATTTTTTAACATCTATTAAATATAAACAAGCAAAGGGACAAATATCACGAAAGCTACTTTTGAAGAATTGTTTCAAAATAATTAAATATAACGATTGATTGGTTGGATGAGTTATAATGATTTGAATTACTTTATAATTTTGCTTAACTCACTTTTAAGTTAACTTATCCGATCTTATTTAAACTTATTCTCATATACAGAACCATCAACAAATTTTCACAAGTTTATGAATGGGTTTGGTTTAAAGAAATAGCCAAATAAAAAAAAAACTATTGTCATGAAGTATAATTAATCCAAACTCATTTCATAAATATTGTTATTAATAAATGTAAGTATGATTCAATTATATTACTACAATAATCAAAACATTGTTAATGGCACTAGTCATCAATGTTGGTTAGTAATTGAATGTAATGGTAATGGGTTTTAATGACCACAAATCATAATTGGTAGTAATTTGTGATGGACACAGTGATAGTAATGACTAAAGTTAGTTGATGAGTATAGTGATAATAATAGGATAGGTAAGTTTAGAAATATGGTGAAAGATGTTTTGTTTTATCGTGTTCACTCATGATAAAAAAAAAAAGTGAGTATGAACATTGACTAAGTATATAGAGTTTAGTATTATATTAGGACTATGTGTTGATAAAAAAATTATAATAATAATAATTTTACAGGTTATGAAAATTTACATAACTCCACGTGCATATTTTTTATATTGATAGCGCTAGTTATCAAAAGAATAGTGATTTGAATTACTTAATAATTTTGTTTAACTTACTTTTAAGTTAACATAATTTTTACAAGTTTATGATTCAGATCAGTTTAAAGAAACAGCTAAATAAAAATTATTGTCGTGAAGTATAATTCATCCAAACTCATTTTATGAATATTGTTATTAATAAATACAAGTATAATTCAATTATATCGCCACCATCGTCAAAACATACATTAAACAGACATCCCTAACACCACATTTTATCAATGTTGGTTGGTGAATGAATCTAATAACAATAAATATAAATCACACTATTTATGAAGAACATAGTAATAACTAGAATTGGTTGATGAGTATAGTAATCATGACATTTTAGAGAAGTTTAGAAGTATAGTAAAAGATATTTTACAGTGTTGACTCATGATAAAATAAATTAAATTAAGTGATTGAATCTTAACTAAGTACACAGAGTTTTGTATCATGTTTATAATCATATGTCCATAAATAATAATAATAATTTCATAGGTCACGAGAGTTTACACATTTTCACTTAGAAAAGAAAAATAAATATAAAAGAATGAAATTTAAAAATAAAAAATTATTTTGTTTACATCTCAATTATTATTCTAGTATCCACTAAAAGTTATTGATATCCAATTCAATTTAAAATTTTATACACTATCTATAAATGGCTACTTTATCTGGTGTAGAAACAGAAAAAAAAATTATCAAAATATATTTTTTAGCAGAAATGTTTATTTATATTTTTATGTGTTTATTATCAATCTGTTTAAGTGATTTTTATTTAAAATACTCCTATTATTAATATAATTATAAGAGAGAAAATAATATTGAAAGAAAAATTATAATGGACACATAGGAGTAGTAATAAACATAAACTTTTATTGCATGTAAAGTGTGTGGTTAGAACTAGGGCAATAAGTGTGGGTTATTTTTTTTCATTTTTGACATATTTTTATTATTAACTGTAAAAAAAACATATCACATGATTTTTGTTATTCGATGCAAGATATTAAAAACAAGAAGGAAAATAAAAATCAATTAGCGTGTTTAATTTGTAATTATAAAAATATCAATTAAACATTAAAAAAAAGAAATAAATAGAGTATGCTAAGTTATCCATCAATTGTGAATCATATTTGATTAAGGAATCCACATATGATCGACCCTCGTCCCTTAAATGCTGAAAACGGACGGTTATTTTAACATCACACAAGACTACTATGGCAATAAGATAACATTTAATTAGTTCATAACGTCATTGACGATAGGTCGTGATTTGCACAAGGCCTGTAATGGAATTAGCTTTGGCATGGTGATCCCTTTGTCCTCCATCATATCAAGTTTTTCCTCACTTTCTCGTTCCCATTCGAAGCATTGAATTAATAATGCCATAGTGAAGCCCACCGTACGTTGGGCCAAGCCCAGACCAGGGCAAGCCCTTCTCCCCAACCCAAATGCAATTAACTTGGTCACCTCTCCTTCCTTTTCAAATCTCTCAGGCTTAAAACTTGTGGGGTCATTCCAAAGTTTAGGATCTCTATGAATGAGCCATGCATTAGTCAACACTATAGTGTCCCGTGGAATATTGTATCCTCCAATAGTACAATCCTCTGAAGAATAATGTGGTAACAATAATGGAGCAGGAGGATGTAATCGAAGTGTCTCAGATATGATGTTTTGAAGGTATGGGAGTTTTGACAGATCTTGCTCTTGTACTAATCGTTCCTTTCCAACGTGAGTGTCTATTTCATCTTTTGCCTTCTTCAATACTTCAGGGTGGTTCAATAATTCAGACATTACCCACTCTATAGTCACAGCTGATGTGTCTGTTCCAGCTAGAAGCATAGCCTGTAACTCATTTCAAATCAAATACCATATAAATTTCACAAAAATATATCAATGCCGCACAAATTGATTTGCAAACTATGCTGACACAGTGGATTAAAATTTTTGAAACTCCATTTCAATTGGTCTGTACCGGATCCGATAGCATGTAGAAGATTTTTCCGGCTTGATAAGACGTGGTCCTAATTTTGATGTAACTTGTAACGAAAATAGAGTTGGTGGTTAAATTTTAATAAGGTAAGGTACTATTTAAGTTTTATGCTTATTTTTCAATAAGATATTAAAATTTTTAATTTTATCTAATATTTATGTAAAAGATAAATCATTGAGGTGTAAAAAAATTAGAATACAAAATGCTTACGTTAAACAATAATTCAATGAATGTCTTTGTCTTTGACCATAGCATAGACGAGTGCGGATGGACCGTACGTGTCATAGGAGAAATGCTTCTTCGACATTTTTTAGTTCTGTGGAGATACTTTTCGACCTTCACGTGTCTTAATAATTATCAAAATTTTGTCTTTTATATTTTGGTTTTCGGGGTAAGTATTGAATACTACATGTTATTCTAAATGTTTAAAAATTATTTGTAAATAGTAATATGTATAAAAAAACATTAAAATAAAATATTTTTCTAAAAAAAAAAAAAGAGTCACTGCGCAATGATTCAATGATTAATTAATAATGAAATAATAGCACAAAAAATATTTTAAAAAGTTTGATTGATTACCTGAATAAGACCTTTGATGATGTGATCAGAATAGTACTCAGGCTGCGACTCACTGAGTTTCAAGAGGTGATCAATCATGGTGTCAGCACTCCCATGCTTCCCACTTCGGTGCTCCTCAATTAGACCCTGCAAGAATGCATCAGCTCTCTTCCCAATCCTCTTCAGCCTCTTCTCCAAATCCTCAAAATCGAACAATCTTATCATGATAACATCAGTTAGTTACGAATACTGAATCTGTTAGTTTGACCTGTTATAACAGATCAACAAACAGTTAGTTACGTCATCATTGATACGGTACCTGAGGAGTGGCAAGAAGTCACTCTTGTTGTTGGCGCCAAACAGAGACAGCATCTCCGTTATAATTTCCCTGAACTGCTTAGCTTCCTCAACGTCCGTTACGTCGATGTCCTCACCGTAATATCTCTTCCCCGAAATCATCCTCATCATGGCGTTGAACGTCATCTCCGTAAGCCTCGATCTCAACTCCACCTTGGTGGGTTCATGACACGTGGCGTCCTGTCCAAGTTTCCAAATTAACCGCTTGGTCTCGTCCCTGCGGATTCCCAAGAAAGAGTTGAGGCGGTTGGTGGAGAGGACGTCGATGGTTGTAATGCGGCGGAGGTTGCGCCAGTGGTCGCCGTAGGAGGCGGAGCCCAAGGTGGTGTAGTTGTAGAAGATGTACTTGCCGGCAATGAAGCGAGGGCGGTTGGCTAAAACGATGTCGTTTTTGGTGAAGCATTCTTGGACCAATGAGGGGGACGAGACGACGACGACGAGACGCGAGCCGAACCAGAGTGAGAGAATGTCGCCGTAGGTTTGGGAGAGCGCGGAGAAGGTGCGGTGGATTGGTTGCTTGAGGTGGTGGAGGTTGCCGATGATGGGGAGGGTTGGTGGACCCGGTGGAAGGTTTCTGATCCTTCTTGATTGGATTTGGAAGAAAATCTTAACGGTGCAGATGAATGCAAGGGAGAGGATAGCGTAGTGGAATAAGGGTTCCATTTTGATTTTGCCTTAGTAGTGCATGTAGTTGGTGAAGTAGTAGTTATATATAGTGGTTTCAATTGCATGAGTGAAAGTGTGAGTGGTCAACAATGGAAGCAGCCGGCATCTATTTCGTATCTTAACAGGGAGTTAGGTCCTGGGGAAGAAAAGAAAAGGTTCATCAGTGAGTTCGGTCTACAAGCAAAAAGAAAGAAGATTATTATTATTTTTTAATTTTAATATTTCAAATAATAAATCATAAATTTAATAAATTCTTTATTTATTTTTCTAAATATTATATTTTTAATTAAAATAAAATATTACGTTTTTTTCCCTCGAAATTCAGCTTAAATATACCTTTTATACGAAAAACTATACTTTATATTTGTGTGTGTGAAATGGGTAAAAAGAAAAGAAAAGAAAAGAAAAGTAAAAAGTAGAGATGTGATTAAAAAAAAAGGTAGTAAATAAATCTAAAAAAATAGATGTAAAAATATAAATTTATTTACGTATAGGTCCTGATTGCTGCTTAGTGTTTATTTGAAAATAATATTTTAAAAATACGTGCGGTTAAAAATTTTAAACAAAAAAAAGTATAATAACATGCAATAATATTTTTCAAATTTGTACATATTAGTTGTTTTTTTCTATGTTTGCATAACTTAAATGGGAATTGCATTTTTTTTATTAGAGAAATGTCATATCAATATTATACTAATTGATTGTGTTTTAGTAAAAAAGAAAAGAAAAACTACAAAATAAATATTATACTAATTTATTTGAAAGAAAGCGGCGAGAATACTATGCACTCTGTCAATTTTTTAATTTGACTCATCTAAAATCTGAAGGCATTTTAAACGATAAAATAGTAAAGAATAATAATCATTAATAAAAAATAAAAATGAAGATTTTAGTAATTTCATCATTTATTTTATAAATAAAATATATTATATTACAATCTTAAATACTAATTCTTCAATTAATAATTATTATTGAAGATCCTTTAACTATGTTACTTTACGTTGGCGTATGTATGTTTTTTTGTTAAACCTTTATGAAGTTAATATGATTTAATTGTACAGTGAATAATTTAGATTTTAAATATAAAATTTTATTGTTCATGTACTAAATTTGACAACACAAATTTCAATGCAAAATAAATTTTGCATTGAACAGTATTATCAAGATTTTAGTGAAAGTGATGAGTTGGGATGTCTAAAATATTATACAACTAATTGTGATCGTTGAACGCATGAAATCATTTTCACCAAAAATTGACGGACTAATTTAAACATTCGTTTAAAACTTGGCGATGGTTTATCGTTTATCGCATTCATAAAAACAAAGTTTTCGATTCTTGTCTTGCAATCACCCAACGGCTGTCATAAATTCATAACAAAGTTTGAAATTCACTAAATAAAAATAAAATCTTCATAAAATTAACTTAAAAATTATCATTTTATAATCAGTTTCTATATAAATCATTTTATCGTCTCTACACTGTGCTTTCCTACGTCAATGTATGACAAGCATTCAATAAAGTCAAATATTGTAATTGGCATGCCTTAGAAATCACTCAAATATTGGAAAGCACTTACTACAAAAGCAAGCATCGATATGTCAAGCAAACGATAGTGTGGGTTGCTTGCGTCGTCCCCAAGAATATTGCTTCTTTTATGAGAAATCGATCTCGAAAGTTTCAACATTTGAGTTGAAAATTCGTCTAATATTTCGTCAGCTCAATATACAACATGTGTTCAGCACCAAGAATTAAGGGTTAATTTATATATATTTTTCGTAAGTGTATGGAAGAAAAAGACATATCGATGTATATTCTTTTATAAATTTTATAAAATATGTATTTTCTTATTTTAAAATAGTCTGAATAGGAAAGTTTTATAATTAAAAAGTTTCAATAAGTTGAAATTAATCTAAGTTGAACCCTATATATATATATATATATATAGAAGAAAGATCTTCTTACATCCAGATTATAATTTATTACTTCATTAGCCATTAAATTTAAGTTAAACGAAAGGTTCAAATTAAGTATAAGAGTTTTTAGACTTTAAAAAAATCTTGCTCCTATATATATATATTGTAAAGAATAGATAATATATATATTTAATTGGTGTAAAAACTGAGTTCTATTATTGATCTCACAGAGGCTATTATATAGCCTAGAACAGAAACAGAATACATAAAAATAGTTTCACATATGACTATATGACAATATTAAAAAACAAACTGATCCTATAAACTAAGATTTATTAAACAAACTAGAAATAACTCCTAACAAATAGTAAAGACCTTTTCATTTCCTCCCTTAAACTGATTGCAATATGTAGTAAGTTTACTTCAACAAGATCAAGCATCCATATCTTCTTTCTAAGTTTCTGGAAAGCCTCAAGTTTTAAGGCTTTAGTCATTAAATCTGCAACTTGTTCCTGAGTTCCGTAGTGCACCAACTCAATTTCTCCATCTTTCACAAGATCTCTTAAAAAATGAAAACGCACACTAATATGTTTACTCCTTCCCTGCATTACTGGATTTTTTGAAAGTTTAATTGTTGAACTATTATCACATAATAACAGTGCTGTTGTCTTGAGAATGAGTTAGATTTCTCGAAACTCTTCTCGTCCACATTGCTTGACAGGCACTGGCAGCAACAGCCATAAACTCTACCTTTGTACTTGAAAGAGTAACAATTGGTTGTTTCTTGGACATCCATGACACTGCTCCTAAACTTAACAAGAACACATAACCAAACGTGCTTTTAGAGTCATCTTTATCTCCTATATAATTAGAATTTGTGAACGCAAGCAGATTTTCTTCCCTTTCTTTCCTGTAGAATATCCCATAACTAGTAGTTCCTTTTAAATATCGTAAGATTCTTTTAGTAGATTGCAAGTGCAACTCTGTTGGTTTGGACATGTACTTGCTAATTAAACTCACATTGTACATGATATTTGGCCGTGTAGCTGTCAGATACATTAAACTACCCACAATTTGCTTGAAGTAAGTGTCATCCATCATTGCACCATCAATATCTCTGTTAATCTTACTACCTGGAACAATTGGACTTTTCACATGTTTGCTTTCAGACATTGCAAACTTCTTCAGAACATCATTGGCATATTTCTGTTGACACACAAAAATTTCTTCTGATTTTTGTAAGACCTCAATGCTGAGAAAGAATCTCATCTTCCCTAAGTCAGTCATCTCAAAAGTTTGCATCATAGATTTCTTAAATTTAATCATCATACCCATGTCATTGCCAGTATAAATTAGATTATCAACATAGATGCTGACAATCGCTACTAGAAAACCGCTATTTACAGACGGATTTTTAGTTTTTATCTTATTTTTTTTAAATTTTAAAAAAAAATTGTCTGTAATACAAATGGATAAAAATTCGTCTATAATTGCGGTCCGTTGTTGGCCTGCCATTTGGCACAAAGTATTATAGACAAGAATTACAAACGAATTTTTTCGTCTATAATTTGAAAATGGGAGAGAAATTTGGAGCGGGAGTTACAGATGAAAAAATTCGTCTGTAAATATTGTCGTTTTTTACTGACTTTTTAGCTGGCAATCTGTAGACAAATTTTTCTGTCTATAACTGTATTTGACAAATTTATAGACGAATAAATCTGTCTATAATTAAACTTTTAAAATGCACTGTTTTATTAAACCATTTACAGATAGATTTTTCTGTCTATAATGTGCAAAACACATAAATTCGCGCCTCCTCCTTCTTCTTCTTTATTTTGCATAATTTCCTCTCTCTCTTTAAGAGCTTCAGTTTTTTGGCCTTTGCGAGTGATTGGAGCATCTATTTGAAAAATAATTTGCATCATTGTGTTCCTGGTACAAAACTGTAACTTTTAATCAGTTTAATTTTTTTATTTTTTGATGTATTTTAGAGACTTAAAATTTCTAATATAGAATTGTAGGATTGGAGATTGTATGATTGGGGAGAAGGGCGTAGAGGTCCTTCTTCGAACCTGATTATTGTGTGTTGTGGAATTGTTTGTGCTTGCAGAGTTTATAGAATATGCATGTTGTGGAGTTATAAGATGATGTGCTTTAGAACGGTTTAGGATTGTAATGTGTATATTTTTTATGTATTGATTAATAGATTGTTACATAATATATATATTGTGTGTAAAGAAAATTTAGATTTTTATATTAAGTACGTGTAAATAAATATAAAGAAATATTCATATATTAAGAGATATTCTGCCAAAATTTACATTAGAAATTTGTCTTCCTCCACCACGTCCACAACCTCGGTATGATCCTTTTCCTCTTTCTCTTCCTATGCCTCTATTGCTCTCCAACGTGAGTACTTGCTCATCATCTCGACTGACTCGTTTGAACTTTTGCTCATGGACCACCAAAGAGCTTTGAAGTTCATCAACGGACATTGCTTCTATGTCCTATGACTCCTCAATCGAAACTACCACATAGGTGAATTGAGCTGCCAAGGTTCGAAGTATTTTTTCAACCACTCTGGAGTCAGGCATATTTTCTCCATTGCTTCTCATTTTATTGGCCACTGCCATTACTCTAGCAAAATACTCTGTGATGGTTTCGGTGTCCATCATTTTAAGCACCTCAAACTCCCGTCGCAATGCATTAAGCATTGATTTCTTCACACGTACATTTCCTCCAAATTTGCATTGCAGGGAGTCCCAAACAATTTTGGACGTGCTCCTGTCCAAAATATGTTCGAAAACTGATCTATCGATGGCCCTAAAGAGGTAATGCTTTACCTTGTGATCCTAAGTTCTGGATTTCTCCAATTGCTCCAATTGTGCATTAGTCGAAATAGTGCCTGCAACAGGCTCCTCAACACCAGTCTTGACCAAGTTCCAGAGACCTTTGGCACGGAGTAGATTCTCCATCAATTCACTCCAATGGTCATAATGCTGACCATCAAAATAAGGAATTTTTACGGAGAGTTTCTCGTTGTGCATTATCAGAAATTTCTATCTTCACAGGTAAGTTGCGACTTACGTATCAAGCCCTAGTGAAGGCTTTAATACCAATTTGTAAGGAATAAATAATATATATATATATATATATATATATATATATATATTTTAACTGGTACAAAAACTGAATTCTATTATTAATTTCACCGAGGCTATTATATAGCCTAGAACATAAATAGAATATATAAAAATAGCTTCACGTATAACTATGTGACAACGTTAAAAAACAAACTAATCTTATAAATTAGGATTTATTAAACAAACCAGAAATAATTCCTAACAAATAGTAAAGACATTTTCATATATATATATATATATATATAAGATTTTACTAACTCTAAATTTATCTTTTTCTGCCTTACTTCTCATAATAGAACGTTTCACGTGTCGTTGACCTGCGAAACTTTATTATTATTAAGAAATAACTAATGTTTTATAGGGATTATAATTATTAAAATATAATAAATAATAAATTTTATTTTAAAAAACTTTATTTAATAATAATTTTAATAAAAATATCATATATAAATTTGTATTATCTACAACAGTATATAGGTTTGAAAAATCATACATAAATATCATTATTGGATCTTTGTTTTCATGGCGGCTATATGGCCCTTTCGTTAATGTTGATGGGGTGGGCCTTTCTACTGGTCTTACTTTTAAAGGGTTACGTTGGTGTTATTGATAATGACTTTCCAATTAATAGTCGACCGAATAATAATAATCATAAATTCCTTTAGTTTTGCAGTATTGGTTTTAGATAAATTTTTTATGTTGTTTTCTGAAACAATTTTTTCTACTAACGAGTCAAGTAACGATTCTGTCCGCAAATTAATAATAATAAAAGAACATGGAGTTTGGATAACATTTCATCAAGAGGAAAGACTAGTATAAAGTATGTTTGGTAAGGTATTTTAACTGACTAAAAGTTTATTTTATTAGCTAAAAACTTACTTAGCTAAAATAGATAATTACTAGCAATTTTTTATGTTACTTTGATTAGCACTTCTTTCAATGTTAGTTTTTTATTAAATTTTATTAATGTATAACAAGTTAAACTATAATAACTCCACATGTTCGATGGCACTTTGTCATTAAATTTTATGGCTTAATTAAGCCTAAATCTTATTACAGTACAACAAGTATAAATAAATATTTATTTTTATAATAAAAATTATCACAATAATAATATAAATTAATTTATATCATCTTGTTTTATTTTAAAATAAGAGTAAAATTAAAATTTATACTTTATTAAAATATATAATTACCAAGTTTTAAATTTTAAACTAAAAATCAATGATAACTTTATTTGTTATTTTTAGTACTAAATTTTTGCATATATAAAGATTTAAACTCAAAACTTTACTTAAAATATACTGAGCTGCTTGACAATCGTACTAATTTTTATTAATTTTAAATAGATATTTTTTTAGCTTTTATATTTTAAGTTTAATCTTTTAACGAACTTTTTATTTTTCAACAAATTTATCCTTTCTCTTGAACAATACAATATATTTTGCTTTCCCAACAAAAAATAAATCAAACGGTGTCAAATTTCAAAGCTTGAGGTTGCCGAATATCAAAACAACATTAAAAATGGTAGATTTAATTGTATGGAAACAATTTTACTCTTGGTTTGATTCGTATTTATTTTTTCCTTCTTTTATTCAAAAATATCATTTGCAGCATTGAAAGACATAATCCAATTAATCTATTAGGGTTGTTGGATATGATCAAAATGAGGTTATGGTCTTGGTTTAATCTCTCATTGGGATTGTTCTTTCTCTAAGTAGTGAATTAGCCTCTACAATATATTAACCTCTGGTAGTAATTAAAACTTTTAATGCTCTGTTTGTAATTAAAATATTGCTTGTACTCCGAAACTTTCAATATGATAATGGCATTCACTTTAGTGGCAGATTTTAATGCTTAGATTAATTCTTTTATAAGATGTGAGGGATAAGTACTGAAGACGATTTGCATGCCTTAAGTAGGGTTTTCTTTTTTTGTTTAAGTATATCAATTTCCAACTAATCGTTCTCAGGAGGACGATTCTATTATTATACTGACACGTGGTGCAAGTTATTTTTTTATCTCCTGATTTATTATTGTGCCGTGGTTATTATTTAATTTTTCACTTATTATATATATACTCTTCTCACTAGCAATTGTAATTGACGTTGTAAGAGCAGAAAAAGATATTTGAGATTAGTAAATTTAGTTATTAATTTTTTAATATTTATCTATTATTAAATTTAAGTATTGTTGTAGTTATTAATTAAATATAAAAATATTAAATTTGTGTTTAAAACAATTTTGAGAAGAATAAGTGTAAAAATTATGTAAATCAGGATGCACAAGTAAGTAATAATTTTTTATATTATGTAACAAATATGACACGTTTAAAAATTAAAAAAATATATAAAAATAATTAATATAACCGAATGAAGTATAAATAGTTATTAAAATAGAGAAAAAATTATAAAATTTTGTATTTATAATTTAAATATGAATGTGTTAAGTTGTTATGAATAATAAATTTATAAAAAATACAAATGTAAAAATGTAATAAAATAAAAGTGCATGTAACATTGCCGTGTAATTAATATTGTTATTTAGAAAATATTTAATTTAATTTATAGAATATAAAATAATTAACAAATATAAGTAAAAATAATGTCATTATTTAATTTAGTATGGTAGGATTAAACTAATTAATATAATTTATTAATTTTTTACGTTGTGTTATTAACAATTTAATAATAAATATATGTTCTAATTGAGTAATATAATTTTTTGATGTAAGATGACTGATTTTGTTATTATTGTATATTGGAATGGTTGAATATTTTTAAGTAATGAGAATGTTACGTTTGAAGGAAATAATAGAATGATTAAGATTGAATATGAAATAAATTTGGAGACATTGAAAAGAAATATTCATGCTAGACTGAAATTGTCTACTAGTCAAGTTATATATAGATTGATTTTACGATTTTTAGTAGACCTAATTGTTAGACAATATACAATTATGATATATGTGATAATGAAGATATTGATTGCATGTTAAGTCCCTTTTTTACAACAAAATCAAAGAAGTGCAATTGAAATATATGCAGAATATTATATCTGGTGAGAGTTCTTATATTCAATCACAAGGTGTGGATTTAAATTTATCATGTTCACATGACAATATTTTTGAGGTAGCGTAATTTTATTACTTTGATGATAATTTATATTTAATTTTATTGTAATTATATTTACCTAACAATAAATGTCATGGTGATGTAGAATGTGAATATGAAGATGAGGATCTTGATGACAATGAAAATAAATGAGGTGATCTTAAAGAAAGTTCATCTGATTATGATTTGGATGGTGCAATTCATGCGAGCTTAAATATAAGTGATAATGTATGAGAAGGAGGTATTAAGTACATTGAAATGATATAATATGTTTCATTAACAAAATAAAATAACTCGATATAAATGGAATTAAACCTCTAATGACACGTCTATCAATGTTTATCGTCATGCATAACTCTATACAAGAAATTGAAAGCTGCTCCTCCTCGGCCATACTGCCTTGTGATGGTGAAATCGTCAAGTAATGATAGGTAACGAACTATGACCCTGCTACTAAAGTAATCTGTTAGCATAAACCTTCCAATAAGCTTCAAAATATACGCTATAGCAAATTTCGTTAACTAAAGCTTGTCATGATTATGCATGATAATGGGAGTGAAAATGTTGATTTAACCAACTAAGCTTTAAGTTACTCCCCACAAAAGCCTTCGGTGATGGTCTAACACCTAAACTATCTTCAATTATCTGTGGTCAATTACCTCATAGCTGTAAATACTGGAATCCTATGAACCCAAAGACCTATTTTCGAAGTCTTAGACCTTCATCTTTTAATCAATGTAATGATTAAATGCTTATCTAATGAAAATTTAGCAAGATGAGCAACTCCAACAAAGTCACCTATCTCCAAATGAGGTAAAATCTCTACTGGAATACCGTCTACGCTAGCTAGCTAGTATAAGCTGACACTTCCTAACCTTTAACATTAGATATTATCGTTCATTTTAAATGTATTCAGAGACATGTATACTTTGAAAATGCAACAAAGATGAATCTTCTGACACAGGATTGATTATAATACCTTCAAATGAAGATGAAGTCATCCAAAAAATTTAAAATATATATTAGCATTATTATGTCATTATGAATATATATTTAAAATAAACTATTAAATTATACAATTTGTTAAAGTACTAATCATACAATTTTTAAATTAAATTTAGAAGAATATAAAATTCAATATATAACCTAAAGTTATTATAAAAAATGATAACAACATAAGAATTCCAAGTTTTGATTTTTAATGATTTTTACGTCTCACATAGAATACTAATACTATTTTAACAAAATTGTTTTCTTTCTAAGTCTAATTAAATTTCTATCATATATATGTATATTAAATTTTAATGAAACTTTTTAAAATAATAGTTATGCATCAAAGTATCAAAGTATTAATAGCAACTTCTAATCTTATACTTACTATGTAAATTATAATCATAGTGTTATTAAAGTATCAATCAATATTCTATTTTACGCTGCAAGAATTTATAAAATTTAAAATAACTACATTATGACTTTATTAACTTTTAAATTTTTAAAGTTTATAAATTTATTTCACTCTTGATACTTTGTTTATATTAATACAAAGTCATTGTTTTATTTCAGTTTATTACAACTTAAGAAATTTAACTTATGTACATTTTAACTTTTTTGTTTTTATTAAATATTTTATTCTTTTAATTCACTCTTATTATTAATCAATACTAATAATATAATTTTTCATACTTTTTCATCAATAGCAAATTTATTTCTAAATGTATTTAGCTTATTATCCTATAAATATAACTAATTAAGTATTTTAAGCTTAATATATTATGTTTTAAATACAGTTCTACATTTTATAATATTTTTACTATCATTAAATTTTTTTATTAAATTTTTTTGAGTTCCCAAATATAATATAAAATATATCAACTAATATATTATTCAATTACAATTGTACATTTATTAATTTTTTTTAATATCATTCAATTTTTATATACAATTTTTTGCATAATAAATTAACAAATATATCAATCAATTGCAGTTTAGAAACAAAATTTCCATGAATATACAGTTACTAACAAACACGTGCAGAGCATATATATAAACATTCAATAATTTATTAATAAATATAAAATAAATTATAGAAACAGTCAAAAAATTTGAAAAAAATATACAACTACATTTTCTACTTATCATATGGATACCGACAAAAATAGTATTTCACTTCACCACCAACAATCCTAAAATTCAGATACAAATATGTTTGAGTTTTCCTTACAATTCAACAAAATATCACTAATTTCACAAATTAATTTTTATCTTTGGATTTCTCATATGATAATAGAGCAAAAAATCAATTTCTTTTGAAATTTTTTTCAAAATTGCGTAACGATTCTTTGAGGCTGGCATTAATGGAGAAATGACGATGGAGTAAGAAAGAAAAAAGTCGTTCGCGACACTGGTTCCAAGAAGACACGTGTCAAAATTTTGGCTAGTAGTGCCCATGATAAGATAATAGGCCAGTCTGTATACATAACGCGCTTTCTCTCTGACCGTCCATTTCAAAAGTCCATCGTTCATATTTGGTCGACACTCGTGTACCTATGATACGTGTCTAGTGTCTTCTAATTTGCTTTGATACTATTTATTATTATTTTTAAATTTTTTTTGCCAATTTTTAAGTTCCACGTGTCACTTAATAAAAAGGTATTAAATTATATGATAATCCATTAAATAATAATAAATAATAATAAAAATACTATAATCAGTACACAACTGATACTTGTGTTAGCATAGTAAAAAATTGCATCAGATAATTAGTTTTAAGTAATTATTTTGAGAATTAATTTTTAAATATATATTATTTAAATAAAAAAATATTTTCCTTTTTTGCTTTTGAAACAAGAGTGATGATTAGGTTCAAACTAATAACATCATACAGAATTGTCAAAATATTTAATGAAAGCGAAATTTGATATTGTGTAGGTAAGCAATAGTTTATTATTTTAAAATTTGATAATTTTTTTTGTTTTGCTTTTTTGTGTATTTAATTTTATTATTTTAATTCTGAAGCAAGACAAGTTGATAACGGTATGAAACTTTAACTCTAAATCTATTTGAGAATGATTTCATCAATGAATTTTATATTCTAAACAAGAGTAATTTATTTACAAGTAGAATGTTTAATAAAATTATGATCTTTTATAATTTGTCACATTTATTTTTTAAAATTAAAATTATTTGAGAATGATGTGGAAATTTTTACTATTTACTTATTTTTATTAATTTTATTTTATGGTTCGTGTTCGGCTTGAAACTCCAGTAGTCTTTAATTGTTACTTTGTGATTGGGCCGAGTTTTCGTCCTTCTTGTCAGCATGTCAAACAACAGCATAAGTTTTATGATGGATTTATTTTTCTTTTATCTTACTTTCTTTGTCTTCTTTTTGTTTTGTTTTCCCTTTTTGTATCACCCACAGTTTTTTTGCTTATCCCCAATTCCAAACATGTAACTCACGAATGAAAAAGCTATAATAATTCTACTGAAACTTACAAAATTTAAAAATATTTAAAAATAATTAAAAACTTAATGAAGAAAAGTTACAATTTTTGTCTGTCAGAAGTTACAGAACATATACTATTTTTAAACAGAGAATTTCAAAATGAGCTCAGAATTATAGCGCTACTTCTATTAAGTTTCGTATTTAATTTTTGTCACAAATTTATTATTGTCCTATCACAGTTGCTAACTTGCTAGTTATATTGAATCACCCAAAAATGAACACTTGACACTCATTTGATAGGTATGTGTATGTGTATGTGTGTGTGAATTATAAATGAATATAATATATCCACCATTGCACGTTACAAACATTATCCATATATTATTGGAATAGCACTAATTAAATACTGAAATTAATGCTACACACTTGAGCATAGACAGATCAACACACGACTCAAATTAAATACATTATTCATCATTACACCAAATGAATCTTGCTGACGAGAGGGCGAGCTTTACACATGGCCATCAATGGAGTTAACTTTGACAAGGTGAACCAATTTTGCTCCCTCATATCAATCTCTTCCTCGCTTACTCGTTTCCAATCAAAGCATTGAATCAATAATCCCAAAGCCAAACCAACGTTCTGCATAGCCAAAGTTTCTCCGGGACAAGCCCTTCTTCCCATTCCAAATGCGCACAACTTTTTCTCTACTCCTTCTTCATCAAATCTCTCGGGTTTAAAACATGTGGCTTCATTCCACACTAGGGGATCTCTTTGCATGGCCCAAACGTTAGCCATCACTATTGTGTCTCGTGGAAAGTTGAATTCTCCAACAGTGATGTCCTCTGAAGACAGGTGTGGTATTGCTAGGGGTGCAGGGGGATACAACCTAAGTGTCTCAAGGATTATTTTCTTAAGGTAAGGAAGTTTTGGAAGATCTGACTCACTTAACAAGCGATCTTGTCCAATGTGAGTGTCTATTTCATCTCTTGCCTTCATCAATACCTCTGGGTGGTTCAATAAATTCGATAATGACCACTCTAACGTTACTGTTGATGAGTCTGTTCCCGCGAAGAGCATGGCCTACATTGAGAACAAAACTCTTTGTTTATTTAATGATCGGTTGTGCATAACGTGTGGTGGAAATAGGTTGGATTAAGATAAGCTTTGGAAGACTTCAATTGGTGATTTCAACGTTTAGAATTCCAAGGCTAATCTTTGAGTCATTTTCAAGACATGATTTATTCTTTTCACTTGTATGACTATTTAAAAGTCTATTTTGAAATATTTTTTTTAAATATTACAAATAGATATATTTTTAAGATTTATACTGACAATAATACATCATGTTAATATTTAATAATTAAAGTTTTAACTAAAAAATATTTGTTTGTATATTTGTACTAATAGTTTTAATTTTTATTAAAAAATTATTCCAATAAAAGATAATATAATGTTAAATTATTAGTATATGACAGTCTTTTACGGTAACATGCTTAATATATTTCATTTCAAGTTGTGTGTTAGATGAAACCCTAAACAATACTCAAAATAAAATAATTACCAGAGCAAGTCCTTTGATGATGTGATCGGTGTAATTTTGGGGCTGCGATTCTTGAAGATTTAGGAGATGATCTATCATCGCATTTTCTCTCTGTTTCTTGTTACGTTGCTCATCAATTAGAACATTCAAAAACCTATCAAATCTATCACCAATACTCTTCAACCTCTTCTCCAAATTCTGAAAATCGAACCATCTAAGAAATGGCAAATAATCGGCTTTATTAGAAACCCCAGCGAATTGCAGCAACTCAGCCACCATCTCTCTGAATTCCCTCGCTTCTTCAACATCTTTCATCTCACTCTCTTCACCAAAATATCTCTTTCCCGATATCATCCTCATCATGTTGTTATACGTCATATCATGGAACATGGAACTTAGTTCCACTCGCGCAAACTCCACGCGCGAGTGCTTCGCTAACTGGTGTATTAGCCTATATGTTTCGTCCTTTCGGATTGGGGCGAAGGACTGGATTCGTTGAGTTGAGAGAACGTCGAGGGAGATGATACGACGGAGGTTGCGCCAGTGTTCGCCGTAGGAGCACGACCCTACGGTGGTGCAGTTGTAGAAGATGTGTTTTCCTGAGAGAGAGCGTGCGCGGTTTGCCAAAACGACGTCGTTTTTGGTGAAGCATTCTTGGAATGCGGACGGTGACGAAACGATGATGGCGAGACGGGAACCGAACCAAAGGGAAAATATGTTGCCGTGTTTTTTGGAGATTTTATGGAAAAAGCGGTGGAGTGGGCGTTCGAGGAGGTTGAGGTTTCCGATTATGGGACGAGGTGGTGGACCTGGTGGAATGTTTTTGTACTTTTTTCTTTGATAAAAATGATTCAAAGTGAGAAGAGATACGAGGAAAAGGAGAAAGTAAGAGAACAAGGGGAAGATCTCCATGGCTGATTATTGCTTTAGCTTGAGATTATGGAGAACTGACTCTAAAATGTGAAGTGATAGTGTGTAATAATGTAGTGAACAGAGTTTCGGAATTTGATATATTAATTAATCTTCACGATGGCTTCAAATTCAAAGTCATGACACAAGCTCTTTCGAAAGTCAATATTCAAATTTCAAATGTTTGAACAACATAATTAAATGAAGAGAAATGCTAATAATATAATTTTATTATTAGTTAAATTTTATTAAAAATTAAAAAAATAAAGAGATAAATATTATTAATTAAACAAGTAAAATTATATAAATTTTTTTGTAGTTAACATTATTTTTTTAATGTTATTTAAATAGCTATTAAAGTAATTAAAAGGAGACACACACACCTAGTCCAAGTCAGTTTGTTTATTTTTCTTCCCCGCATGCATTAATACTCAATTAGCGAAACACAGAAACCTAATTAATTATCGATTTATTTATCTATATCTAGTTATATACAGAGAATTACTCAGATAAAAAAGAAGCACTCAATTGCCATTAAAATTTTATCATATAGTGGTGGCATAATGCTAATTAAGAGCTATCCAAGTCTTAAAGAGCACAACTCAATTATGTTCTATAGGTTGAATCTTTGGAAGGAAGCAATGTGCCAATGTTAGACACAGATACAGGAATAAATGTATTAGTTCTATTTCTAGCTATATGGACCAAATTTTAATGTACCATGTGGTTGTCCATTTTTGAGATACCTACCCATCTAAGCCAATCTGTCTACACCCTTGACCACTAAAAAAATGAATTGTATTATTCCTTGTTTTAATAAATTTTTTTTTGAATTTTTTTAATTTTTAATTTTTAATTTATTTTTTTATTATTATCATATTAATTTTTAAATTTTATATAATTGACATTATTCTCAAATACTCTCGCAATCGTTTGTTTCACATTTTACATGCTGTTAACTAATCAATTATTTTATTAATTGTTAAGATTGACCAATTACATACTTAGTTGATTTATTTAAATTTTTTATTAATCAATTCTATTTTGCTGGAGAGGCAGCCCAAATTCTATAATTGCTTATTGAAAGCGATTAACAACGTGAAAAGAAAGGCAGCTTAGAATAACTGTGACCTAAAAAGAAATTAACGAGTAGTTATGAATCCATTAAGTTTACTTTAATTATAATTATGTGTTCTATATAATGATAAATGGATTATAACTATAGTTATAGATACAATATTTTATTTACTATTAAGTATTTTTTAACATATATTCAATGACAAATGATAAAATATTTATAAAAATAGGATTCAATGTATTAAAAAAATACAGAATAATATCAAATATTATAAATTTTAATAAAATTTGATTGGATGAAAATCGATTATAAAATTAAAGTAAAAAGCCAAACTATGGAATCGAGAACTGGAAACTTATTCCGCCGCATGGCATAAAATCGGTGACGTTATTCTCAGTCCCAAACCTCAAACCTTTTCAGCATTGCGTTTTTCCGTGTCTCGCTAACAAACCGGACGCTGTTCAGGTGGTTCTCTCCGGTTCCGAAGCGACGCAGATATGCCGCAAGCACGAGGTGGAACAATTTGTTCCAATCGCATTCCTCAAAATCCTCTGTTTATTTATCCTAATCCTAATTCTTAATTAATTAATTAATCACTAATTAACGCTAATGGACTAACTGTGTTCTTTGTGACAGAGCTTCCAGGGTTCTACTATGACCCTGAGAAGAACAGGTATTTCCCCATCAAAGGTCCAATTCCTGGTTCTTCTTCTAAGACTAAAAACCCTCCCCTGAAGTCACCTCAAATCCCTTCCAATCAGGTATAGTATTTGTAAACCCTAAATGTATTTACCTATTGGATTTTTAGGAATGGAATTCTAAATTTGATTGATTATAGTTACAGGAAAGGAGTAGGAGTTGTTGTAGGAAGCTTAGAAACACCACTTCTAAGTTGCTTCTTGCTAGGGAGTTAGATGGTCATCATGTCATTGCTTCTCGATATTGCAAGAGTAGCTTCACTGAGGAATTCCGGAAAATACAAGCGTCTAAACCTACAGTGTGTTGTTGATTATTTCCTTCCACGATTGTTTTTCTTTGTCATTTCGAATTTTGAGTGTAATGTGAGGTTAATTTTGCAGGTGTGGAAATATCGGGGAACTGATAAGATAGGTATTAGTGCTCTGGAACATTTACGTGTTGATGTGCAGACGTTAGAGGGTCAATCTGAAACTGATGTTTTATTGACGGGCAGCATAAATGGCTCGTTGAGGTAACTTGTACATGTGTATTTTCTATTTGCTGTTGTGCTTGCTTGCCTTCTTTAAGGCGATTGAGGTCGTTTGATGCAATCTCTAACCTTTGCGATTGAATTGTGAAATGCATGTACTCATGTCTTATAACTTGTTTCTAACTATTTATGTAAGTGAATCCATCTTTGTATTATTTTATGATCTCACCACAATGTATAAAATAAAATAATAAGGTTTTGCTAGCCGTGTAAGTAATGGTTAAAACTGAAATGTTTTTTTATTGAAAAATGTAACATTTACTGTTTACTAATGCATCCCTGCCATAATTTCCAATAAAATCTTTTTGTTTATTGATTCCTTAAAAATGCCCATAGGGTAATGGATAGCTAAACCTAAATAAATAAGCTCATCCAAAAACACAAAACAGGAGTGCTAGCAATGCACTTTCTTAAGCATTCTTTCTTATTCTTTCCAACATAAACTATTATGAGTCAACCTCATTTCAGAGGAAGTGGGAACTACTTCATTCATGACTCCCAATAAATTTTAACTAATAATAGAAAGTATTTGAAAGAGTGAGTTGTTTGCATTCTTGCACAAAAATATTTGTGCTTATTATGTTAGCTAAGTCCTTCCAAGGAAAAACCTACCTGTCTGAACAGAAAGCAGGAATTAAGTCTGTAATTGCAAATTAGATCAATTAGTACAAAGCCTGGCTCAATAATTAATAAGAGATCCTGAGTTATTATCATAGGGAAAGAGGAATTAGATATCCTCCCTTCATTACATATTGAAGATAAATACGTAGCTGAGTAACAGGCATGTTTATCATCTACGATATTAATAGTACAACTAACAGTCAATATGTGTATCTTAATCAACTGGTGCATATCTTTTGACCTTGACATTATATTATTCAATATGATTTTCCTTTTTGCTTTACTCTTAATTTGCAACACTGTCCTAGTACTCTAATGGACAACTGATATCATTTTACCTCAATACTTAATAAGTACTTTGATGGTCCTGCAAACTAACTGGATCAAGCTGGGCACTTGAACCTAAAAAATATTGATTTTTGTTAACTTTGATGTATAATGTTGATTACTATTTACTAGTTGTTGCTTGTGAAGTTCGGTATTCGCAGTTTTTCTGAAGTTGGAAGGTTTGGACAATATTTTGATGGTGGGATAAAATGGATGCCTGATTGTATGAAGAATTATGTTAAAGAGAAAACAATTGAGCATAATGTGGTGCCTGGGCCGGTTTTCAGACCTAATGGAGCTTCACTGCTTATGTCCTCCAGAATTTCTTGTATAAGATTGGGTCCAAAATGCACTTCTCATGCTGTGAATGATGGTCCTACAGTTGGACATGCATTGTATCCTTTTTCTTTTTGGTTGTTTTTTTGTCATTGCTCTGTATGCGCTATATAGATATATAAATATTTACATTGGGTCATATATGGTCAAGACTTGAGATTAAAACATTTAGTCATATGACCTTCATGTAGCTTCTAATCTTTGATCATCCTTGTGACAATGGATTACAAATAGCTCTCCTCTCTCTCATAATAAAGTGATATGCTCTAGTTTATATTTTAATTACTTGTTCAGTCCACTCCATCAACAATATTGCAAGTTTGATACATTATATTGCACTTATTTATGATAAATTGACCTTGTAGTGAAAGGTCTTAACATGAAAAATAGATTCACTACTTTGGGATCGGAGACATCTGGTGGATCACTTTATACTCTTGGTCTTGTTGAACCATTAGATCTTGGGCCAGATATACTGAACACATGGAGCAGACTAGAGGAAATTGCTTCTTTCAGGTGTACACTTTGGACTGCAGAATATGATTATAATAATCATCGGGCTATAATAGGCAAGTTATTCTCTCTCTGCTCCTTCCTTCCTTCTCTTTCTCTCTTTCACACACACACACACACACACATGCACATGCACCCACACTCAAACAGGCGCATGCATGCTATGATGCATGTGCTTATAGCAAATAATGTTCAATTCAAATACAACCACATGACATCATGTGTGGAATTTGTACTTAACAGTTAGCATTAGCTCATGGTCTTGGAAATTTGTTATGTCTCATGGTCGCTTATTAGGACTTCCCTATATAGCTTTCAACCCAGTTCAGTTTGATTGTTACCAATTGCGTCGGCTGTAAGGATAAATAGTTTTAGGCTGTAACATATACCCAAATTTTTGTCAACAATTTACAAGAATTCTGGATTATTGAGATACTATGTTTGTTTCTGTTCACTGTTCAGATTCATTATATTTTGTCACTTTTCACCCCATTATTATAGAAAATACCTACTTAATCCGTTAAATCTCTTCACTGTTTGACTTTTGGCTTTTAAAATTTAGCTACGTGGAATAATCAAGTGTAAGTAACCTGTGTCAATATGGTTGTGAATGATCTGTTTTGCTTCTGTTGCTCCTGTCTCTTTTCTGCATTTGGCTTCTATATATTACCAGATTAAGATATTGAAAATTGTGCATAGGTAATGATTTATTAACGAAAAGTCTTGGTAGTTCATGAAAATGACAGTAGTGATCTAAACCCTCTTCCATGAGAAATATCAGAACAAACTTCTAGAAATTATGAATTTTTCCCCAGTTAATTTTTTATCTAATCTTTTGCAAGATATTCATTTGTGTTCTTAATCATTATTAGGTACAAATCTGGGAGGTGCTTCAGTGGATCTAGAAACTGGGATGACATCATGGTTTTTGCGTTGTAAAAGTGATGTTTTTGCACAACAGATTGTTAATTCAGTAAGTTATCTCTTTTTTATTCAAACAATGGTATGGTATTCCTAGTAAAGTACTCCCCATGGAGTTTTCTTTCAATCAAATAAATCATTACAATGATGAAAAGCTGAAATGTTCATCATGTCTTCACAAATGAAAAATGTTATGGTAAAATTATTTATCAAATTCATGAATACGAACAAAAAATTTATCTAGTGTACATAGCTGCTGGTATATGTACTTTTCCTTATATCATCAATCACTTGCACTACTGTTATTAGATACATTGGAAATGAAGGTGGAATTATTTAATTGTTGATCACTCATTTTGAAAGACATTACAATAAGGTTGAAAGTGAAATATTGTGCTTGATGTTATAGAGAAAAGGAATCCATTTTTAGCAATTAGATACCATCTTAACAAAAAAGGGTGATGTCCCACAATAACTTTATATTCAGAGGCTTACGGAGGATGAGTCCCACTTGTTTTGCATTTTTTTGGGGGGTTATATATCTAGTTAGGAACATGGAGATAAGAAGCATTTGATTCTGGGGATCCCAGGTTAAACAGGATTTGTTTTAGGGACACATTTGATTTACTAAAGTTGGCAATCTTTTTACATAGTCTCTCTTAGCTGCCAATCTCTATCTTTTCCAATGGACCAAACCATTATTTTCTCTCTCTAATATTTTTCAACAGTTTGGAGCAACTTTTTATGAATTAGTTACAGGTGGTTTTGGTAGGAAAAGGAGGGAATTCGTTAGAAGTTTATTAATGTATTGCAAAGCATCCATGCTTGTAGTTTTCACAATGCTTCTTTGTCCTTAGAGATGGAATTTTTTTCATGGATTTTATTTGGTGCAAAACTTTTGCTTTTATTCAAAGGGTATTCCTAACTTGTGCTGAGAGACAAGTTTTATTGCTCCGATGATCTTATTTATTTATTTTTTTAATTTCTTTGTCCCAGACAATATCTTATCCTCCCGTTTACATTTTATTCCTTTTCTATTTTTATAATTTTTCTTCTTTTATGCACATGAAATGTGGTATTTCTTAGTGTCTGCCACTTTTAAGGTTTTCATTTTTTTCCCACAAAATCATGTCATATCTTTTGTCCATGTTATGAGGTTATTATTGTTAATATATTTTTCTTGTTGCAGGGAAATGTGATTTTATGTGGGCTCAGAAATGGGGCAATTGTCACTGTAGATTTTCGTGAGAAAAGAGAAAGGTTCTCTGGTAGACTTATTACACATCGAATACCTTATACACCTTCAGATAAGAAAGTTGGAGGTTCTAATAAAGAATGGTTCAAGGTATTTTCTTTGATTCAGATATTAGAATTGAGTAGAGGTTAGTGAGACAGATGTCAAGAACAAGCAAAACATAACATAATAAAATATTGTAAAGAGATTTGAATATGTAAACAATTGTAAACCTTGATTTTAAAATAATGGGGCAAAAACTGTTAGAATATCTATTATAAGGAAAGAAGGTGAAAGCTAAGAGTTCCCTATGTGTGCCAAGTGACGTAGGCTTGCTAATACTTTCAAAGCTTATTTCCAGATTTGACTGCAGAGGCAACAGACCATTATGATTTGATAAGTTTTCTTAAACAGTGCTTCCACCAAGTTGTTTATTGACAATAATCACAATATAACCACATAAATTGCATTGAATATATATTTTGTAGCTCTTGTTTAATATTGCATACCAGTGGCATAAATGTCAAACCAGCTAATCTTTTCAGATTCAAGTAGGGTTTTATCATAGATCTTTGCTTACGGATCCTTATAGTTTCACCTACTTTTAATATTCTCACTGTAGCTGAAATTTAAGAAAAATTGTAATTGGCTGTCTACTTTTAGTACTTGAGGAGTTGATTCAAATTTCGTTGTCTTGGTTAACATTTTGCATGTGGCAATGGCATCATTAAGCTAAATTAAACATTTTGGTAGGAAATAAATATTATAGAAAATAAAACTAACTCTTGTTAAGCTAGTTACACCTGATTTACTGTCACTAAAACTATATCTTTGTAAACAAGTTCTTTAAACACTGAATGAATTTTACGTTTTAATAGAGTCTGCTCCCATTTACCTATTTAAAAATTTAGCTTTTATTCCTTATTTATTGTTAAACATCCTTTAGTGGATTTTTGGGTCTTTTGTGAATCAGAGTTTAGGCCCCCTGTATAAATATCTGATTTGATGGAACTTGTTATTTCTTGCATTTTGATGGTATTTTTGTGATTGTTGTAACACTATAGCTTTATCTGTTGTTGATATGCTTACACCCCTCTCCTGTTGCAGCTCACTGGAGACATATATCCTTCTCATACCATTAGGATGCCTTCATCTATATCCTGGTTAGTCAGCCGTTTCCCTACTAGTTGTCTAGTTGACTTACATCTTCCTTGATTGGAATATTATAGATTTCAACTGACTATTTCGTGTAATTTATTTCATGTGTTGACACTAGTTTGGTGTCACTTCAGTTTGATGATCAGTACTTCTTGGCAAGCTCAATGGATGGATCGGTTAGTATATGCTATAAGGAAAATTATTACCTATATCATTTGTGTCTTCTCTTACATGTCATACAATGCTAATAATTTGCAGCAGAACCTAATTATTTGGCAGTTGGGTGAATTTATTCCTAATATTTTAATTGAAGAGAAACTATTTTAGTAGATCCTTTTTCAATTGAATTTCTATTTTCTCGAGTGATTTATCTTTACTTTACCCCCTAGGTCTTGCATCCCCTAGATAATATGGTGATTGATATAAAATAAAGGCATTGCAAACACACAAACCATTTTTTGCTGACTGCAGATCATGAAAAAAATTACTTCTAAATGATCTGTTGTTGTCCTTAGATGAGGCTCTATGATCATCGACTACTCCATAGGGGTGCTGTTCAATCTTATGAAGGCCATGTGAATTCTCATACTTTCATACAGCTTGGTGTTGATCCAGCTGAGAGATTTGTTATGTCAGGTGGATGTTACTTCAGTGATTTTTATTTTATTGAGCATCCTAGAGTTTGAAAATTCTGACTTTGCCATCTCAGGTGGAGAGGATTGCAAGCTACGTTTGTGGAGCATCAAGTCTGGTGAACTGCTTTTTGAGGATAAGTTCGCCGATTCAGTTCTCTCCACTGTGTGCTATAGAACATATAAAAGTGGTGAGCACAATATGCTTTTGATCTTTCTGCTTTCTATTTATAAATTCTATATTTTTATTGTCAGCTGATTGCTAATTTTAAACTGTATTATTTGGCTGTATAGGTTTTAAAGCAGAGGAGGAAAACAGATACAAGCATGACTCTTCTTTGGGTGCATGGCTTGGATCACACCAAGGACTATTTTATATGAACTGGTTATGACAGTGAATGGCCCTGCAGGCTGCAGCAATAGCACCTGTAGCTGCACCTAGGAGATAATGTTTTATATGACCAAGTTTGGATACCTCAAGAGCCCATGCTCAATGGACTAGATGCGCGCAATATCTGGTATATAACCTTTTTGAGGTGATAGTCTGCTTGCTAACGCCCCATGGTAATGGAAAATGGGTCTTTCTGGACTATCAGGTTGATCTTGGCATGAGGTGATTAGGTAGCTTGTAGATATTTAGTGAAATTCCCTATTTAAAGGCTTCATACAGGATTAGAGTTGATACTAACACATAGTAGAGATGATCCATTTCTCTGTAGAGATATTGCTGTTGAAGTATTTACACACAATGAAAGGTTGGGGTGAAAACCAAAAAATATAAAAAATAAAATGTGGTTGTTATGGCGTTTTTGCCCCTATGTTACTATGTTGACCTTGTACCTGTACTGTGAGAATCTTCAGATGCTGGTCAGCCATAGTTGTACTAGTGTCAACTGTGGTACTGTTAATTGGCTCTTATTATTAGCGGGTTATTTAAGCTTTTATTTTTTTAACGAATAACTGAAAAAAACAAATGGGTTGAATCTCAGGCAGTACCGTAGTTGTGCTGCGAGATTAAATGTGGCGTGTAGGAATGAATTTTGCAATTTTATTTAAATAAAATATAATAATGTTATTTTTAAATATAAATTAATAATAAACAAAAAAATATTTTAAGAACTTTCATAAACTTTGGTTTATTTATATTAATTTTTATTTTGAATAGGTGAAATAAATATCGACGTTGCTTGTATATGCTTGTATAGACATAAGGTGGCAACCCTAAAATAAAATGAAATCTAAATACTCTATTGCACTGTTTCATTTCTTTTATTGTCTTGTGATGTCTTTCCTAAATATTTTCGGGTGAGATTAAATTTTATTTGTGAAAATAGGAGTTATCCCCTTTTTTCATTACTTTTGTTTAATAATATTTTTAATTCATTTGTGAATAAGAAGAAAAATAAGGGATCACGCTTCGCTTAACTTTGAATTGGTTGGAACTTTGAATAGATTTTAGTAATCAGGGGAATTAGACAAAAACTTACTTTGTTGTCAACATTAACCCTAACATTGCATGGTTAAATCAACTTCAACTTTAAAGTTAAGTTAGCGATTACAGTAAGAGTAAAACTCAAATTAGTCATGAGACTTCATATTGGTTGTCAATAGATTCTGAATATTGTCCTTCAATGTTTAAGTTAGATATTTTTTTTAAAAAAAAATTGCTTTGATCCTCAATTTAATCTAAATACTTGTTATTTCAAGCTAAAATAGAGTAAATTGATAATAATAAAAAAAGTACTGAGTATTTCTTAACTAACCGTAAGAGAGTAAATCCTTGTAACAAAGAGTTCATTGAAGTAAATTTTATATCTTTTAATAAAGTGACATAAAAGAAGATAGAAAAGGAGTGACTTTTTCGATCACCTCCAAAGAAGACATAAAAGAAGGAATGAGCTAAGCTCCTTTTTCTGGTATCCATTAAAATGTGTAAAATTTTTTACACACACAGAACTCAATAGCAACTATTCCAACCACCCCATAAAACTAGGATAATGACTACATGTACTAACTAATCAGCACTAGCCACACCACTCTAATCACCCCATGCACAAAGAAATAAATAAATATTGGGCTTACACTAGTGTTTTTTTTTTTTTTTTAATACTTAACTAGAAATTGAACTTGAATTAGTCATGGTAATTAAGGGACCCAACAATATTTCAAATTTTTAAAGGATAAAGATATATTTTATTAATGAAAAAGAAGAGTATTTAGTCTAAGTTACATAATGAGTTCAACAGACTAAAAATATTTGAAAAATTAGTGTTACAGACCTAGGCTCAAATAGGCTAAGCAAAAGCTGAGTTGCAAACTTATTTTAATAGTCCGTAGTTAGTTTTAAACAGGATAAATTACATTTTTCTTTCTTAGTAGACACTTAAAATATAATCTCTTTTTCTTAACACTAAAAACAAACATTTCTCTCTTGAGAAATTAACACGTGTTACGCTTTAATTTATTCAATGAACAAGCATCTTAACGTTATCGGTATCTAATTTTATTTATACGAACTAGTGTATTAATAAATGTGATAATCTTCTTCCCTTTCATTTTTTTCTCGCTATCATTCTCAACATTATCATTGGCTTTCATTATTGATTTTGAGACTTTAAACGATGATTTTTTTGAATGAAATTCTAAATTAAGCTGATAGTAGAGGAGTTTAAAATATCAATTTATTTTATGAAGTCTTAACCAATAACATGAAGTTTATAAACCACTCCAAACTGCATGCTCATCCTCTCACCTTTCTTTGTTTTTCAATACATTATTTTACGAGATTGACATGCTTTCATGATGTAATTATATATATACATTTAAATCGTATCCCAAAATTTACCCTTTTAAGAAATCAGAACCCAAAAGAAAAAAAGAAAAAGAGAACAGATAAATCTTGAATGAAGATGAGGAATAATTAAAAAGGAAATCTAAATAGCCAAACAAAGAAAACAGTCGTGAAAAGGAAAGCTGTCAAGGCACTTTGATTGCTTTTGTCAAAGCAGGTTATAGCAGTTCTTTTGATATCTTTCTGTTTGACAAACATTCTCTAGCCAAGTAGCCATACAAAGCTTTTGAGTTGAGTCTTTGGTAACAAATTAAAGTAACTAACTAAAGCGACAAGACCCCTTGAAAACAAAAGTGAAGGCAAAATCATGTCTCAGTGCCTACCTACCTCTCTTTTAGCTTGGTTGCCTAACATGAACCTACACAGTTTCATTATTTTAAGATAAAACAAAAGTTTAAATGTGATGGGACATGAAGCAGTGAAAAATGTTGAATTTCTTCGAGTGTGCGTACATCAATTAAATTTAACAATGAATTTAGTAAATGGTACTTTATCATAATGTTTGGAATGTGAATGTTTTTCATTCCATAAAATGCTAAAAGATAATTTATTATGATTAACACTATGGAATCTTGGTACATATATCCCAAAATTTGAAATCATGATCAAATCGGCCACAAATATCTAAACAAGCAAAGCAAAGAAAAAGGACCCAATAATTAGTCCAAAACAGTTTGGTAATTTCGAAAGATAAACAAACAAGAGGGTACTAACAAGAAGAAAGAGACACTAGATTTATATACATTTGAAAATTGGATCAGCTTGTAATGGTTTGTTTCAGTTATAAAGGAAAGGGACAAAGGATACTATGGGAGTGCAGAGAAATTGATGAGGATATTTTGGGTAATGGAGGATGAAGGATATTGACCCTTCAAACACTGCTTTGAAGGCCAAATCCGTGTAACTTTTTCACGCAAAACTATGTGAGGGATGTTTCTGTATACTTTTTTGAACCCCAATTCTCCTTTCATTATTGTGTGCAATATGCAACTCCTCGTCGTAAGCAAAAGACCCCTCCTAACCTTTGTTACAATTTGAATCATTATGTCCATTGGAGCATTACCAATTGGTAGATGGATGCCCTTTTGTGATCAGTAGAGGGTTACTTTATAGTTTATTTTTCCTTATTTTTGTTAGGAACTTCAGTTACGTGTTGAGGGTTCCATTTTTGTGTCTCAATTTTCCGTTTACATCCACATAAGACATCCTTAGAACCAAAAACAAAGAGAGGTTTGATTGCCTGTCCAGATAAGATGTCAATGGCTTCCTATTAAATTAACATTTCTAAAAAAAAAAAACAGTAATTTTTCAGGTTTGATTTATAAGATTCTTTTGATTGAATCTTACAGATTAAATTATGTTTTTGTTTTTATAATAAACCGGGCAAAATCTCAAACAACAAAGAAACCGATTTAATCACCCTCAGAAACTAATTTCATAAAAATGTTAATGCATTAATTTTTTTTTAAAATATTACTCACATTCTAAATTTATTTTTACTTAAAGTTAAATTCTATTATCACTTTAATTATTAAATGAGAAGTTACAAAATAATAAATTTATTAAAAAATAAATATTTAAAGAAATAATAAATATTTCAAAAATTTTAAAAAGGATATTGTTTTAAAGACCGTTAAATTCTTTCAAAGGAATCTTATAAAAAAGAATAGAGAGTATTTATTTTGATTCCTTCAATATTTCCTATTTCCATTTATAAGTCATTTATCAAATTTCTTCAATGTCTTTGAGAAAGTTAGAATTTACATCTCACCAACAGAATTACATATTGTGGCGTCACTTTATTTAGTTTGTATAGGCATGCCATTAATTTGTTATTTCAGCCTTTTATCGCAAGACAAGCCTAATTTAGCCTCTAACTGATCAGATGATCTAATGGGGATTAATTTGGCTGCATTGGTGTAAAAATAAATACATAACTGAGAAGATGAGAATAACATAATTATCTTCAATAGGTTTAGTTTTTATTTTAAAATTGTAAAATTTTTCAATTTAAACTATATAATCATACACGAATGAATGATAAAAAATAACTCTCTTATCCTGGTGATCACTCCAGCTATATATATAAGAGAGTAAAGAAAAAATCATGATGACTATTCTAAAAAGAAGCAACAATATATATACATATATGAACAAAATGATGACTAGAAATAGATTCTCATGTACACATATCCTCATGTTCAAATGATTGGCACGTGTGGTTCAGTTTCATGACAAAATATGAACAAAACTGCACTCCGATATCAAACTGCATGCTTTAAATCCTAGCACTCAAATCAATTCTAAACAAATGGAGAAAAATGAAAAACAAAATAATAATAACAATAATATATAATAGTGAAGACAACATAAAACCTGAAAACCACGAACCTCTGAGTTGGTAATATTAATCCTAATTTTTAATTTTTTTTGGGGTGGGGGATTCTACCCTGATATTGAATATTTACCTGTTTGAAATGGGGTTTGGACCACTTGGGACTTCATGCTCACTAGCATTGAAAATCTTGTTTTGCCATTGAAATGGAGGCCGTGGAGCTGGAGAGATTTCTCCTTTAGGACCCTTCAAGAGATCATCAAGAACATGGGTATCTTTCGCAGTTTTTGGTGTGATATTTGTCTTGGAATTTTGTGTACTTTCTTCTCTAGCTGAAGCAACTATTATGGTGTCCCTTTTCTTTACGCCATCTTTTATAGAAGTTAAAGTGGAGAAGCTTCGTTCTGGGATAGCCATAGCAAAGTGAAAGGCTAAGAGCAAAGAGAAGAAGAGGGTCATGCAAGTGATATAGGGAAATGTTGCATCAACAGCCATGCAAAACGAAGTGCCTTATAAAAATCATCCAAGATGCACTCAACAAATTTGAAAAGAGTATGTATATATGTGAATTTGTTTTTGAAGCTGGAAGTAACAAGTAAGTGTTCTCAGGAGAAGTAAAGGTATCTTAGGCTGTAGGGTTTATATTGTATTAAAATTATAAAGAAGTTCAACTCAGAAAGTTGAAGAGAGTATATGAAAAGAAGAAAGCAGAAGATTGGTGAACCTCTCCCTTTGACGATGTGTTAATTGATTGTTAGGTACATAGCT